CTCTCATGCATTCGTGACTACATGACACCTCTTAGAGGCGTCTAGTAGTTGGAATGATTAATAGCCCATGGCTAGCTTAAAGGGGGAGTAACCTATGACACTACTTTATTAGAGGTTATATGTCAACTGTGTGGAATCTAGTAGTTTTGTCCAATTGTTCTACTTGACTAAGACATAGTGTATGAGATATTCCTCCAATATACTATTCAAATGTTTCGTCTGGTCATCTATCTATGGATGGTATGTGGTGGAGAAGTGTAATTGTGTCCCTAATTCAGTGAACAACACTTTCTAATATCTCTCGATGAAACATGCATCTCTATCAAATATGATTCTCTAAGGCAGCCCTCAATACTTGACCACATGCTTGAATATCAGTTGTGCCGCCTACTCTTCTAAACAATGTTGATTAGTGGCCACGAATATCTCTTACTTCATGAGGTTATCAACAGTCATGAGTATGATATCAGCCTCTTCATTCTTTGACAAGGTAGTAATGAGATTAAGGGTAATGGTGTGTCATGGTACCTCTAAAAGGAGAAGTGGTTACAATAGTCTCGTTGGACAGTGACGTTCTATCTTGTATTATTAGTAGATCATGCATGACTTGACATAGGTTTCTACATTTTTCTATCTTTGGTTAGTAAGTAGTCCCTACTCAACAAGGCCAAGATACATTGTTGACCTAGGTGACCCAACCACTAAGTGTTGGAGGTCCCTAATTATTAGGATGTATATTGATTATCCTTTTATGAATAGTAGTCCATCTTCATACTAATATTGTCATGTTGTGTTAGCTTGAATTTAGGCAAACATCTTCTAGATGTAGTAGTCTCATTTACAAGTCACCTTGACCTACTACAACACATCTATAGTTAATTTTATTCGTATAAATGACTTGGTGAATCATTTATGATTCATTGGTCATAAGACTATGTAAATCAAATATAATAGAAAAAAATTCAAGTTAAAAGATAAAAAATCTTAGTCATCTTTATTTTGAAATACTCATAAAGTTGTTGTTGAATCAACTGAGTAGTCAAGTTTCTTATACTTTATTTTTGGGATCTAATCTAAATTTTGTGTTGGTCACATAATCTTTGTTGTCATCTCCCCTCACGATTGAGGGCATCTACAACAAGGTTTTGAGCCCTTAGTTTATAATGAATATCACAATTGTATTTGGCTAGAAATTATTGTCATCTTACATGCTTATCTATGAGTCTTGATTGTGATGAGAAATAAATATTTACCATGTTTTCAATAAATATGGTGAACTTACTATCAAGTAGGTAATGATGTCATCTCTTTTTTGTGGATGGGGTAGTTTCGCTTGGTACTATTTAGCTTTCAACTTTCAAAAGTCATCGAGTGACCTTCTTAGTTGAGCACGCCCCCCATTGCCGCACTACCAACATCTATGTGCAAGACAAATGGTTTATCAAAATCGAAGGAGAAGTTTTGATGAAATTACTAGCTTAAGTTTGTTGAAAGCTTCTTCTCACACTAGCATATTGTCAAACCTTGTCTTTCTTCAAAAAATTGATGAGAGGGGTCACAATTTGGAAGAATCTTTTTATGAATCTTCTGTAATAATTAGTAAGCCCTAAGAATGACTATAAGTCTTTAATATTTCGTGGTGCTGTCCATTCCTTAATGGCTTTTGCTTTCATTTTGTTCATGTGTACTTTTCTTTTACCGATAATGTGCTACAAGAAGTTCACTTCCTTTTTAACAAAATTATATTTAGAAGGGTTCAAGTATAAATTATTCTTTCAAAGTAATTTCAATACTATGGAAAGGTGGTTGAAGTGTTCTTACATATTGTGAATGTAGATCAATATGTTATCTAAGTAAATAACTATGAACACATCTAAATATGACTAAAAAATAGAGTTTATTATAGTACAAAAAGTAGTCATGTCATTGGTGAGCCCAAAGAGTATTATTGTGAACCCCAATGACCCATATTAGATTACACATGCTATCTTAGGTTTGTTATTTGCCAAGATTTGCACTTGATGATATTTACTCTTCAAGTCCAGCTTTAAAAATATATTTTTACTGCACCTAGTTGATCAAATAGGTTTTTGGCATTTAAGATTGAATACCTATTGTAAATAGTGAGCTTGTTCAAAGCTTTATATTTCACACACAACCTGAGATTTATGTCCTTCTAAAATAACAACAGTGCATCGAATGGTGACTTGGACGATTGTAGGTATCTTACTTTCAGTAAACCTTAAATCTATGTGCGTAATTCTACAAGGTGATGTGGTGGCATCTTGTACAGTGCCTGCACTAGGGGATTGGCCCCTAAGACTAGCTCTATGACATAGTCTACCCCTCTTCTTAGATGTAGTTTGGTCGGTAACTTCTCTAGTAACTTATCAGCAAACTCCATTAGTAGTTGTTGAATTTCAGTAGGGATCTTAGTTTGCTCTACCCATGGGCTGATTTGGACAGTCAACAAGAAAGTCTCCTTCCCTTTTCTTAGTATCTTATGTACCTATTGTGCTGAGATCACTTTGTCACGTGATCATGTTAGTTCATAGTGTTTTGTATGATTTACTTCAACAGTCGAGACAAAGTATGGCCTTTTATCCCCTTAGATTGTCACCCCATTAGAAAAAATTCTTGTAGCTGCCTTTGTTAAGAAGTCCATACCCAATAATATACCAAAGGAGGTAGGAGACATCACCATGTAATCTAAGTGACCCTCCCACCTCCCCACCTTTGTGCGTACTTCCTTTGCTACTCCCACAAGTGGTTGCATAGAGGAGTCTATAGCCTTGAATCGTGTCTTAGTGGGTTCTACCTTGAGGCCAATTTTCTAAACTTCTTCTAGATAAATAAAGTTCCATGTTGCACCACTGTCCACCATTGTTGTGATTATTTCTTCATCAACTTGGGTCTTGACATACACCAATCTCTTTCCTGATTATCTTTGTATTGGTTGTAAGCAATTGATGATTTTAAAAGAGTTGATGCCTTTCTCAACTTCCTCTTCATCATTGCTCAGTTGGATGGTGTTCAACCATAGTTTTTTGTTGAAGTTTAGATAGTCACACTTCCTATGTGGTTCTCCACAATTGAAACAGCTCGTTTCGTATGGTCTCTTAGTGTTCTTAGACAAAGTTGGGTTGGGTAATATTTGAGTCGTCAGGCTTGTGCGTCCTCCTCCCTGTCCCTACTATCTATTTCTCTTGCCATATCACCCCCTGTGGCCCCTTGACACAGCTTATAAGGTAGGTAGATTGATAATCCTTGTGGCTCTCGATGATCCTACACATTTCATCTAGGGTGGACGCATGGTACTTAAGGCATTCTTTCATTGCCCACGGTTGTAATCCGATCAAGAAAAATTATATTTTGAGTTCTTTGAGCATCATTGAGATGTTACCATCAATGTCAAGAATCTCTACACATTCTTGTGTGGAGTCACTTTGTTTTAGCATTATCAACTCGGACACCACTTCAAACAGCCAAGTCGAGGGTCTAAAATATCACTTGAGAGAGGTTTTAAAATCCTCTCATATCTCTGGCATGTCTTCTCCCTTCGTCCTCTATCATAGGACTGCTGAGTCTTTGAAGAATCATGTGGTGATCCCAAGGCATTTTGCATCAATGTAGTCATGGTCCTTGAGGTAGTTTTCTACCTCCCACAAGGAGGCATCCACCTTAGCCATATCCTTCTGGCCTGAAAACAACATAGGTGGGAGAAGGCCAATTCTCTTCTAACGTTCCATCTGGGAGTTTATCTCCTATTGATGGAGTCACTCACTAAAGGTTTTGAAGTATTCCTCTGTTGCAAGAGGTTCCTCCCCAATAGTATTGCTCCTAGATTCTCTTTGAAGCTCCTCCACCTTCATGTTTGTCAACCAAATGTGCTCCTCTAGTCACTCTTGCCTCTTGTTGAGTGCTCTTTCCACCGAGCCATCATTTCATAGAGTTTGGACATGTTTCCTTGAGCGCCCTTTCAACCGCCTAGAAGGACTCATATGTGGATTGTAGTTCTTACTCCAATCATATAATACGTGGCCCTTGCCCCCTTTCTCTCATGGCTCTAATACCATTGTTACACCTCGAGTGAGATGTGACACTAAATAGTTAAGATTCGCTCTCCAGTAGCCCTCTAAATATTTAATAAAGCTCACAAAGGGTCCCTCCCTCCCTTGTCTACTCTTCACCTTCCTCAATTATGAAGGGGGAGAGAGGCAGACTAGCCGTTATGGGGGGTTTGGAGTAGCCATTATGCTTGAGTTGTAGTTAGTCATTAGGGCCTAACGGTCATCTTGCTCACTAGCTGTTGGGGCACCTCAGGTGTCCTACCAACTATTTTGTCTATCTAGGCGTCATCTCGCCTGACATCCATTGTGTCCCCCGAGACTACGTTCCTACCATCATGCGGGTGTATGAGTCTTCCCACCTCTTGTAGGGGTTTCATATGTTTGAGAACCCATTTTGTCTTGGGTCTTGTGATGTCACACCTTGCCGCCATGCCACACAAGTCCATCATGTCGCATGCATCTGTCATGCTCGCTCTACTGAGTGCACCCACCGTGTCGCACATGCCTACTATACTGTGCACGCATGCCATGCCCGCCACGCATGCCCATTGTGCCACACACATCCGCTGCGCCATACATGCTTATCCTACCACATGAGCTTGCCATGTCGTAGGTGCATGTTGTCCCTTGTGGGTCTACTATGCCACTGCTTCCTCCGTGACAACAGGCATCTCCTTTAGATAAAAAATTGCGGGTCACCTTGGAATCTATTAAGGCCCTTATTGATATATTGTTGACTATGGCCTCCACAAATAATAATTACTTCTTCAATCTTTAGTGGGGGTTGTTCTAATGCCAACATTGGGTTGAGCTGGACTCTCACTATATAGCAGTCTACACTCTAATGGAGTTTCCTATAGATGTGACACCTTATCCACTTGGGGCCCTTTCTATTTTAGGTTCTATTAGGTGGCTCCCAACCTCATTCTATTAGCAGCGGACTCTCTCATATGTGATTGTTGCTGAGTCGTTTGTTTCTTTGTGAGTTGTCATTATTGTTATTTGATTGTTCTTGTCGATCAAGCCATCTGCCACCATCATCACAGCATGAATGTCTTGAGCACCATGTCGACGAAGTTTATTTTTAGCCCATGTTTGTAGCCCTTCTATGATGTAATGAAGTTTGTCTTCTTCCTTCATTCATGGTACTATCAATCGGAACATTGAAAACTTCTCCACATACCCCCAAATGGGCCCCATGTGCTTCAAAGTCCAAATGACTTATTTTGAGTTGACAGGTTGGAATTGCTCATAGATCTCTCTTGCCAACTTGTTCTAATAGATCATTGTCAATCTTGACTTATCCTTTGACTAAAGTTGCCACCATGTCTTGGCATGCCCTGCAAGGAATAAGCTGCAAACAAAAACCTTTTTTCCTCCAATGAGGTACTTGCATTTAGATATCTTTGTAAATCTTTAAGAAAAATTTCAAATAACATTACATCCCTCTCGCCCGAGTAATGTCTAGGTTTCGATGCTTTGACCAAGATGGTCCAAGGCCCCGACCTTAACCTTAGGGTCTTAGAACATTATAGGTCCTCGTCTAGAGGTTGCTCATAAGATCCTCAATCTACCATTGTAAACCAGCCATATGTTTCACAAATTATGCCCACAATGTAATATTTCCCTCTTCTTAAACTTATAAGACATTGCCATCTCACATGTTTGGTCATATATTAATTGGAGCTCTTCATCAATTTTTCTTGAGAGGAACTCCACTATGTTCATTGCACCTTGGCATGTTCCCTCACCTAGGTCACTCACACCTCCATTTTCTTTTGTAAGCCAATGGACTCAAGTTGCAGTAGGCTCAGTTGGCCTATAAGGCCCTCCATAGTCCTCATTGTGATCCTTTGCTGCTTAACAAGTTGGGCAATTTGCTGCCCTTGGGTACCACTTGTACCCAACCTACCCTCCACATCTATCTCTCAGCTACCACTAAAAAATAAAAGCGAGAAGGGGAAAGAAGTACCAACCAGATCATGTTGAATTGACTTGATTGGCAAACAATCATGGACCTAGCTGATGGACTACTAATTGACATTTATTGGTCAGAGTAGAGCACAAAAAATATGGGCCAAGTCAACCCCCCACATCTTCTTGGTCAAGTAATATCATTAAATCCAACATAAGTAAGCCCTCATCATGGTTTTTCTAATTAGTTTTAGACTATTAGGAGGGGTGCAACTCTTGACTATTCTTACAATGCACCACCCTCTTTATCTATTGTATATCACACCCTATTGTGTGTGTGTGTATATATATATATATATATATATATAGATAGAGAGAGAGAGAGAGAGAGAGAGAGAGAGAGAGTGAGACCCTTGTTGAGCCTTGACTACTCTTTTTTATCTATATGGTATTATTATCCTCGTAAGCAAGATTCTTAAGCCTTATTTATTTTGAAAATTTTTAATTGAAATCTTAATAACACATTGCTCAAGTCTGGCAACCATAGCTTACACGTTCAAGTATTGTGGCCGGTGACGTATGAGAGACAAGGAGCGTAGCCACTATGGAGTAAGAGCCAAAGTCGACCCTATTGAGAAAAGTATCCCACGAGGACGAAGACAAGGACATAGCTCAAACGAAAGTTCCTCTAGATCAAATTTTAGTCACGACGGAACCCATGCACGACGACGTCAATCATCGACCATCATAAGCATCGACTTCCTGAGGTCGTCTACGGTGCTCCTGTGCCGTGCGGATCCTTGCGGCTGTCTCGGGAGTCTACGGTGCTCCTGTGCCGTGCGGATCCCTGCGGCTGTCTCGGGATGCTACTCCGAGCGCCACCGACTTAAGAAAGAGGGAAGGTTCCTTGGGAAAGAACCAACCGGATCAGAGAAAGGAAAGGTGGTTTCCTAGCTAGAGGAGGAGGAGGAGAGAGAGAGAGAGACCTAGTCGCCAAAAAGTTCACAATTTGGATATTTACATGAATTCCTCATGACCCCCACGAGCATATGTTTATTACTTCGATACCGTTGATCTCATTCACATGATGGAGCAGGCGTTAGGGTTCTCGTCGCTGAAGAACAGGGGTGGCTGGGCAAGCTCAAAGCGGTAACCGTAAGGCTGCTTACCGCCGAGGTACTCTATTGGGTCAGCCTTAGCTCCGCCGCCGTCCTTTCTCTCGCTGATCTTCTCGCCGCCGACGGAGTCCTCCTTGCCATCGCCATCTGCCTGGTTTCCTCCTTTCTTCTTCTTGTTCCCGCCAGCGCTGTTACCCTTCTTCGACGGGGCGACCTCCACGCTCCGCCTCAGCTTCTTCCTGAGTAAGTCCGGCAGGGTCTCCCCGTCCATGGTGCCCTTGACGGTGACCAGATCCTCGTTCGGGTCGAAGGAAACCGTTTCGACTCCTGTAGATACAGTCAAGATCGGCATTTAGTAGGGTTTGAGAGTCAGGGGGACCACGAGGAATCAGGAGCGCGTAGATTTCAACTTTTACGACTGCCATTAACATAAATGGTAAGAATGAAAAGGCACGTTGACCGCGAGGAGTCAGGAGCGAGTGGACTTCAATTTCCTACGACTGGGATTCAAATTACTGACGTGAATGAAAGAAAGGGTCATGAGAGCTTGGAATGTGGGTAAAACGAAATGTACGATTACTGAAAGAGATCTGTTCTCGCAGGTAGGCAGCTGGGTTAATGCCGTTTGCTGGAGCTAGTGGTTGTGAATCCCTCCATTGATGGGTTTACTCGAAATAGAAACGCAACAAAGTCAAAGAAGGAATTCAGAGACGACTCACCCTTGATCTTGGTTATGCTTTTCCGGATTCGCCGAATGCAGCCTCCACAATGAAGTCGAATCTTCAGGACGACTGTTGACGACGCGGGCTGAGCAATTTTGCGAAAGAATTGATGAACCAGATTAGAGGCAGAGCAGAGTAGTCTGCACAAAGACAGAACGAGGGGGCGAAATTCGGATGAATACCGCTTTCGGTTTGCTGTCGTCGGCCTTCTTATCCTTCGGGGGCGTATTTTTCTTTGGGACGTTGGGGGACACGAGGACCACCTTCTTGCGTATCTTGCTCTCCACCCGCTCTCGGAGCTCCAAGGGGTCAACCTTTCCCACCACCGTCAGCTTACTGTTGGAGTAGTCGGCTGAGACGGCTTCCACTCCTGTTGCGAAAGACGACGCGTCAACTCTCGGTCCATTACTAGATCGATGACAGTAGTGACGCAGTGTGAACAAGGAAAGGTACTTGAAAATAGGCGGGAAAGCAAGACACAGAAAAAGAAAAAGAAGCAGAACTAGGGAGGCCTGGAAGTTCCACATCTAGAAAGAAAGCGATCATGCGAGGAGGTTAAGGTCAAGCACCATCCGCAATCGAAGTGGCTAATCGCTATTCATCCCGATCTGGACCCTATCCTAAGGAAATCAAAGGGAGGCATGAATAGCAGCCAGGCAGGTGAACACATAAGGCCGACAGATATCTGGCCTCGGCATGGAAACTGGATCGGGATCCGAAGCACCACATTTCCGATTTTTTTCTTTGCTTTCAAATCCCTGGTTCGTCAAGTCCGCGTGATGGAAACCAGACGAGAATAAGAATGAAAAACTATGCAGAGGAGAAGAAACAACACAAACCGGAGTCTATATCGATGGGATGTATACCTTCGAAGACCTTGACAGAACGCTTCAACTTCATGGCGCAGCCCTCGCAGTGCAAATCCACCTTGAACACGACGGTGACGGGAGCCGCGTCGACCTTCTTCTTCGCCCCACCCTTGGCCTTGTTCTTCTCCCCTTCGGTTCCGTTGCCACCAGTCATCTGCAGCATCTAAGAAACAAACATCAGTGGCTGAGATCAGAAGCTCGGCGGCAAGTGCGCGCTTCTGGATCTACGCCGCCATTGTCACCTCTCCCATTTGCAGTGACCTCCCGTTCTCCTCCGCCCTGAGAACCCCACCAACTCGACGATTGATGGCGGGCGTAGTCAGGGTAGTGATAAATCGAGGAGACAGGAGAGCTCGAGCTTAATGAGGGTGGTCTCTTCTCACGTGCGGGTGTACGAATCAAGAGTACGAGGGCCATTTATGTCTTTTCATGAAGGTCCCTTGCACGTGCCAAGGACTGTTAGCGGAAAGTCCTTGCCACCTTCCTTGCGCCCCTTCAAAAAGGACCTGATTTTAAGTAAAAGCAAAGCCTCCCGACGTGGAAACTTGGGTGATAGTGGTCCCCACTTCACATCTTTCGGCCACGTAGGATGCGACTGCCGTTGACAATGGCATCGGGCCCCACCATCCGGGGAATGTTTCCACCAACTTCCGATGGAGTGAAGTAATTGACATTCTAAAATTTCCCGCCCTCTCGAACGTGGTCTCCATTTCGGGTCGGATCCGCATGTCATCCGGATCCAACAGCTAATCCAAATAGAACGTAAAACCTGACTGGATTGGGCCGAGTTTCGGCCCAAAAAGGACGACAGGAATTCAGGACCAGCCCAAATCCATCTACTACTATTGGTCTGGGCCGACTGACACAATGTAAACGGGCCGCTTTAGAATCAGTATTTAGCCCATTAACATGGAAATATTTAGATTGGGTTCTCAGCGTAGTTCGCCCCCACGGACTATCCAATGTCTATATTGATTAAATAAATGTAATATTTTTAGTGGAAAGTAATGACACTATAGTGGTGCGTTAATTGGTAATTAGCAAGACGTATTAACGGGTTGAGCCGGACAGATACTACAGGTCCAAAATCAGCATGATAGGCCCATTAAGTCTCTCTCCTTTTCTGGGACCAGAGGCTTTTGGGGTCTCCTCGTCAAAGGCCTCACTCACTGGGGACCACCCGCGCAATCTGGCCACGATGGGTCTCCATCCGCTACCCAATCCCCACAGCCTAAATCTATCTGAATTCGGTGGTCTAGAGAGAGAGAGAGAGAGTCTCAGCACAAAATGAGGAAATTCATGAACACGCCGCACTACCGTGCATTAATAGATAACAAACCGAGCGATAAACTAATTCGGAAATGTGTTGTTGCGTGTTGCGGGACAACAAATGTGCCTATGCGGAGAGGAGAGAGAGGGGGAGAGCCCAGAAGGCTGCCTGAGAGTCCCCTCGCGGCCGTGAAGGTTCGACGTTCATCGGTTTCCGGGACAGGAAACTGTGTCAAACGAAGGAATCCTACCTCTGCTTCCGTATTCCATACGTCTAATGCCACTGTTGGTCTCGTTGAAGAGCAAGCCCGAGGGGACGGCGAGGTCAGTCCGATCCCCTCCCGGACTCGGCGCAAGACGAAAAAGGTAAATCTGGTACTGAAAGCGTTCCGACGATAAACGGGAAAAAAAGGGTCTTTTATCTGCGGGGAGGGGAATCCCAGTGTTTTCCACCCGACCGAGGCAGCTTTCTCTCTCTGTTCGAGGGTGGGTTTCCTTCTCGAAGGTCATGAGCATGAAATCCGGGGTCCCCCCGGCTCGTATCTTGTTCACTACGAGTACCCACGTGGCCAGCCGAGGCTACTGTCGATGGGAATCTTCAACCGCCCCGATCTCAGAGACGCCCGTGTGGATGGTTTCCGACTGCCTTTACTGCACCAGAAGAACGGCGACTGCACAAGATGCAGAGAGAGGACAAGGTCGAGACGATGAGGTGGGATCGGCAGTACGCAAGGGGGGACGAGAGGTGGCCTCCGCACTGTAGATAAAATGTGGTAATTACACAGAACAGTTACTCCGCCAAAACAGTAGAGCAGGGAGGAGGGAGCAAAAGGGAGAAGAACAGGAAGAAGAAATGGGAACGGAAAAGAATCATGAGGAAGAGCCCGCGGCCGCCGGCGAGAGGGACCGCACGGCGGGGAATCGCTGTAGCTGGATCATGCGGGCGTAGCACCCGTCGGGGAAATGGCTCAGGAGGTGGGAGTGCGAGCCCTTCTCCACTACCTTGCCGTCGTCGATCACGGCGATCGCGTCGGCCGTCCGCACGGTGGAGAGCCGGTGCGCCACCAGGATGGTGGTCCGGCCGGCGGTGGAGCGCTCCAGCGCCGCCTGCACGCACCGCTCCGACTCGGCGTCGAGGGCGCTGGTCGCCTCGTCCAGCAGCAGCACCGCCGGCTTCTTCAGGAACGCGCGGGCAATGGCGATCCTCTGCCGCTGGCCGCCGGAGAGCTGCACGCCTCTCTCACCGACGCTGGTGCGGTACCCCTCCGGCAGGGCGGAGATGAACTTGTGGGCGTTAGCCAGCGCAGAGGCCTCCACCACCTCCGCCTCTGTCGCGCCCTCCCGGCCGTAGGCGATGTTATCGTAGACGGTGCCGGCGAAGAGGCAGGGCTCCTGCGGCACCAGCGCCATGGCCCGCCGCAAGGCCTTGAGGTTGTACTTCCTGATGTCCTTGCCGTCGACGAGCACCCGACCGGAGCTGGGCTCATAGAACCGCTGGACCAGGGAGATGACCGAGCTCTTACCGCACCCGCTCGGCCCGACGAGGGCAAGGGTCTTGCCGGCGCGGGCGCGCAGGTTCAAGTCCCTGAAGACTGGCACCTCCGGCCGGGACGGGTAGGCGAAATCTACGTGCTTGAGCTCCACCTCCCCGCGGAGCCGGTCGGGGAATATGGCGGCACCCTCAGGGTCGTCGGGTTCGATCTCGGTCTTGCGGTCCACCAGCTGGAAGACCGAGCGGATGGCCCGGCTGCCCTTTATGAAGTCCGGCGCCAGCGCAAGCGTCTCCGCCGCGCCGTTGGCGGACACCATGAGCACCATGAACACGCGGATGGTCTTGGAGAAGTCGGAGACGCCGTGCTTCACCAGCCACGCTGCGTACCACAGGCCGAGCGCGTACGACGCGTAGAGCAGGAACTGGGCCACGCCGAACCCGATACCGGCGATCTGCCCCTTCCAGAAGCACCGGCGGAGGGGGGCCCGTAGGTTGTCTGAGAAAAGCTGGGTGATCTTCGCCTCCGAGTTGAATGCCGCCACAGTGCGGACGTTGGCCACGGCCTCGCCGGCGATCTGCGTGGCGTTCGCGTGGGCCACCTCCAGGTCGCCGGAGAAGCCTTGCATGAACATTTTCTGCGATCGCCGGCCGCAGATAAGTTTGTTATTCAACCAAAACCTAGGAACGGAAAAGGCCGAATACCTGGTTACCTGGAGGACGGTGGCGGCCACGACGACTGGCAGGACGGCGATCAAAACCAGGGCCAAGCGCCACTGCAAGATGAACCCGGCGGTGCAGGCGACGATCATGAGCGCCGAGTTCTGAACGATCACCGATATGCGGTCGCCGATTGCCGACCGGACGTTGTGGGCGTCCAGGGCCAGGCGCCCGGCGATCCTCGCGCTGCCGTTCTCCTCCATGTCGAACCAGGCCACCTCGTTCCGGAGAACCGCGGCCACCATCTTCTCCCGAACCCGTTTGGTCAGGTTCTCCCCCACGACGTCCCAGAAGAAATGCTGGAGCGTGTTGAAGAGGAGAGCCGCAGAGGAGACCCCAATCAGAAGGTAGCAGTACTTGGCGATCTCCCTCTTCATGTGGTCGTAGTCCCGCGCATAGTACACGCTGAGGACGGCGCTGAGGACGTAGGCGAACATGGCGCTGAAGGAGCCGCAGACCATGGAGGCGATGGAGCCGACGAGGGCGTAGGCCCACTCGGGGGAGTTCATCTTGGCCAGGCGCCAGAAGGAGCTGGCCTGCTCACGGAAGGCGACCTTCTCCGGCCGGTGGGCGGGATCGTAGGAGAGGCTGAAGTCCGACGCGGAGAAGTCGGAGAGCCGCCGGGAGTAAGGCGACCGGCCGTAGGACGAGTTCCGACAGATGATCGGCGAGCTAACCGAGTTACGAGCGCTCGAGGGCCTAAGGATTTAAAAGAAATGACGAGCATGAAAAGAAGATTTTTTTATTGGAAAACACAGCTAGTAGGGAGTTCGCACCTGGCACTGCTCTTCCTGGCGTTGGAGAGAGTGGCTTCATGGGCCATCTCCTGCATACGGATGAGCTTGGCGTAGATCCCGTTCTCCCCCTGCGCCATTAGAGCATCGTGGGTGCCGAGCTCGGAGACGGTCCCCTGCTGGAGCACGGCCACTAGATCGGCCTTCCGGATCGTGGACAGGCGGTGGGCGATGACGAGCGTTGTCCTCCCGATCATGAACCGGTCGAGGGCCTCCTGCACCAGCTTCTCCGCCTCGGAATCGAGCGCGCTCGTTGCCTCGTCCAGGAGGAGGATCGCTGGGTTCGTCAGCATCGCCCTCGCGATCGCAATCCTCTGTTTCTGCCCTCCTGAGAGCTGCAGGCCATGCTCCCCTACCTACGTGAAGACGACAGCAATTCGTCAGCCCAGTGCAGTGCGTGGACTGCACCACTGCTCGTGCTGAACTCAGCTCACTAACTGTTGATTAAACAAACAGTGAATATAAAAAAAGAGAACTGGCTAGATTCTATGTGGGGAGGGAATTTATGAGACATGACAGAGCAAATCTCCTTCTCTTCACTCCTGCTAAGCCAATCAAAGCTGACGGGCACCATCATTTCGCGGATTTTGGCAGCATCTGTCATCACATGCCGACCGGATGGGGAAGCTTCACCCTGATCAGTAAACTCCCCAGACACTTTTAAGTCCCAAGTGGGCCCGACTACAATAGAGAAGGTCAAATATCTCACACGCCGGATGGTTAATAATTCCCGGGGATGCCCGAAACAGACAAATTTTACGAGCTGTGAGCGGTGCGTGACTCAAACAGTACTCCCCCTTTTTCTTTTTTAATTATAATCCTCTGTTCATTATAGCAGCTTGGGATGTCAGCGTGTTATCGGAGGAAAAGGGACGTCGAAATGATCGGGAGGAGGAAAGCGAGCAATACTACATAGATCACGATGAAGGAAAAAAAAGAGGACGAGGGGGAAGAAGGCACCGAAGCAAAAGCACGCACAGACAAGGGAGGTACCTGCGTATCATAACCTTCGGGTAACTTTATGATGAAAGAGTGGGCATTCGCGACCCTAGCGGCCTCTTCGATCTCCACTTGGGTGGCCTCCTGTCTTCCCAGGAGCAGGTTCTCCTTGATGGAGGTGGCGAAGAGGGCCGGCTCTTGGCTCACCAGCCCTATCTGCTGCCTCAGCCACCTCAACTTCAGCGTTCTTATGTCATGTCCATCCAGCAAGACTTGTCCTGTAATGGAAGACCAAGAGAATCCAGCAGCTTAGACGTTTGACGGTGTGCGGCGATAAAAAAGGATGGGGCGGCACAGGGAACCTCGGGAAGCATTCTACCACTACCTTTAGATCGATCAGTCTTGTCTGTTCTTGTACGAAATTTCATCTGGTAACTATTGATATAGATTGTGGAGTGGGTTACCTGAGGTAGGGTCGTAGAATCTCTCCATGAGCGAGACTACGGTGCTCTTACCAGAGCCACTGCTACCAACCAGTGCCAAGGTCTTCCCTGCGGCGACGCTCAGAGAGAAATTGCGGAGGACTGGGACGTCCGGCCTGGATGGGTACTCAAAATCCACGTTCTTCAGCTCGACATGACCCGTAACAGCGTCCAGCTCCGTCCCCGACTCCCCGTTCCGGTCGATTCCGGGCATGCTGTCGATCGTACTGTAGATCTTCGCCGCAGAGACTCTCGCCTTCATGAACGCCGCCATGCTTGGGGCCGACTGGCCGAGGGCCCTAAGGGGGAAGACGAAGGTTAAAAACAGGTCGATCCGTTCAAAGAGAGCTAAGAGTAGTCCAGGGATTCGTACAGGCCGCCGATCATGACTGAGAACACGGTTGCGATGGCGAGGCCGCCGTTGGTGTATTGGTGGCGGACGAGGTGGCCGCCGTACCAGAGAAGGAGGGCGTAGCAGCAGAAGACGGTGAAGTAAGTGGCGCCGAGGCCGATGCCCTTTGCCAATCCACTCTTGTAGCCGTTCCTCTGGGCAACCCCCAGCGCCGCCGAGTAGGTCGAAATGGTCCTCGCCTCGCCGACGAACGATTGCACCGTCCTAATCTGAGCCAGCGCCTGCCGGTTTCCCCCATTTCAAAGCAAAGTTGAGAACATCGGACCTGGGAAAACCGGGGGAGTCGAGAATTTGCCCACCTGCTCGGCTACATTGCTCGCCTCGGAGAGGGCATCCTGGCTTTTCGAGGTCAGTTTCGCCATTGTTGTGGTGTGGATGACGCCGATGACGGCTATGAGCGGAGCGACGGCGAGGGTGACGAGGGCCAGCTGCCACGCCGCTGTGAACCCGACCACGAACCCCGAAACGAATGTCGCCAAGTAGTGTATAAAATTGCCCAGCTGAAATCAGATGCAGGTACAGAGGTCAACCGAGGAGGGAAGCGACGGAGGGTACAACGGCGGCGCAGGTCAGGGATTGGGGCGGTCCACCTTCTCACTGATTGCGTCCTGGACCATGACAGCGTCCGTGTTGATGGCGTAGACCACGTCGGAGGTGCGGACTTCGGTGTCGAAGTAGCGCACGTCCTGATTCAGGGCAGATTTCAGGTATTCGATCCTCATCTTGGTCGACTGCCGCTCCCCAGTCCACATCCAGCACGAGATCTCTGTTCATCCAAGAACACGAACAAGAATTGGAAAATTTTAGTGAAGACTTTAATCGGAGCGAGCTGCTCTAGAGGCACGGGAAGAACTCGTTCTCCGCGATGCCGCACCAGCCCAAGAAGATAGCCAGATCGCCGCCCCCACGACCAGGAAGTAGAATGAATACTGCAAAATGGAAATCAGATCACAGATGACCACTGTTATAATGGCGAAGAAGGGGACAGAGCGCGGCGGCTACCTTGCTGACTTGGTGGACCATGAGCTCGGGATCGTCGGCGTTGGAACCGAAGGAGTTCACGAGATTGGCGAAGAAGCGGAGGAAGACGGGGAGGGAGCAACCGTGGACAATGGCTCCCACTGTGCCGACCGCCATGAGAATGTAATCCAAAGCGTCGGCGAATCGGAAGAGGTCACCGAATGCTGCGGTCGGGGGCGGCGGCAGCGGTTTCTCGTCATTCCCACTTCCGCCCTTACCGTCGCCACCCACCTTCCCCGCTCCATTGTTGGAAGATGGCTCCATCCCGTCGAAACAAGAAGAGGGCCTCAAGTTTCCTTCTACTCTTCCATTTTCCGGCATAGCTTTCTCCTTTCTTTCTGTATCCTCGCGCCGGCTGATCCTACGCTCTTCTGAGAAGCCCCTCGGTTCCTCCTGCACAGGTATGGCCCACGCTGTGACCGATGGTTCTTCCAGCGGCGGCTCTTCTTCCAGTTCAAGCTGCTGCTGCTGCTGCTGCTGCCGCGATTTTTGGGAATGGATGCTGTGGTGGGCTGTGTTAACGGGGGAGCTGAAGGGAGGAGAGAGGACCCCAAGACGGTGCACCTCCAGCCAGTTCCACTGCTCCTCCGCCGTCACCAACCTCTCCCCTTTCTTAGCCTCATCGCCCTCCCGTTCCCTCTCCAGTCGTAGGTCAGGCGTGCTCTGTGACATCGCACGGAGAAACGGGGAGGCACAGAAGAGATCTCCCCCTCATCATCTCAGTCACCCTGTTTCTTTATAAGCCCTCCGCCTTGCTTCTCTGGAATTTCACGGAGAAAAAGATTTGGGAAAAAAGCACAGACTCTTTCTCCACCGGCCTCAGCCGGGAGTGTTTAACCCTCTTGTTCCCTGTGCAGAGAAAACGACTTACTAGTCACTGCGGGTCATCTTCCCGACAAGGAGCCTGCGTAAGCCGGGGAGGGGCCACAAAGCGCGAGCCCGTCATCTTGACCCAGACATTGCTGCCACCACCACGCTGACACTGGAGGTATGAGCAGAAGACCCACCGCCGCTACAGACCCCCGCAGCTCCCTGCCTTCTAGGGAAATAAATAGTTGGATATAAATGGCAAGAACAAGGGAGAACGGCGAGTTCGGATCAACACCGAGGGAAGCAACTGTTTACCTATTAATTTAATCGCCGACTCCATGGGGACGTAAAAGTCAAGAGTGACAGGTCGGAGGCGTCAGAAAGAAAGAGAGAGAGTACCTGATTGATCTCCCCCCCGACCATCGAGGGCCTCCAGTCGCCTTCTCCACCGCCGGCGACGCATCTTTCGGCACTTGATCTGCCCGCCAACATTACCTCTCTTTCTTATTCGGAATTTTAAATCTGCTACAGGACTGACCGACGACCAGCGAATACTACAAATCCGGGTCTCCCGATCATCATCCTCTGCGACAATGCCGGAGACCCACTTCCCCCCGATCACGCGGACATCAAAAGGAGTTCGTTCCCTCTCTCCCTCTCTCTCTCTCTCTCTCTCATCACTCCCGTCGGGGAGGCTGCCGGAGAGGAAACCCTGTCAGGATACGAGACGAAGCTACCACACTCATACTACGACATTCCGTCCCCCTCCACATCCGAGGAAGCAGCCTTCCTCTCGCCGCTCGAACAGTAAGTACCTCAACTCCATCGATCCGTGGGATTCAAAAAACTATCGTAGAATTATACGAAATCTGAGACTGATCCTGGTAGGTTGATGAACAAGAGAGCGACTCCCGAATATATAAATCGTAACCAGATAATAAATAATGGAGCCGACGAGAGTGAGAGAAGATCATGTTTGCGAATAGGCCGAAGGAAATCTGTACCACCAGATTTCTCTGGATTTGCAGCAGGCGAGCTTCTCCCGCCTCCCTCTCTCCGTAGGTGACTGACTGATAGACAGTAAAGCTTCCCCCCAAGAATACGGGCAGATCACCGCCCTACGACGACGTAGCCTTCCCCCGAATCCTTCTGGGACCGGAAGCGGATAACACGGGAATTGATTCCCCACCGTAGTACCCGCCCCCACATGCTTCATTGATCAGACGTCCAGACTAACATCAACCCCCTCCATCCATCGAGTCCAATACTCCGCAGGTCTAATCACCGACTGCCACCTCCCGCCTGCATTCTGCAAAAGTTCTTACCTCGACGTAGATTTACCAGCATAGATTACCTATTTTCTAAAGGAGAAAGATACAGATGTGCGTTGACCTTGCTTCCTGACAGTAGCACGTGCTGAGAGTTCTCATTTGACTCACTCAAGTCACGTGCCGACTGAAGTAAGATCTTAACAACATCACCCACCGAATCATGGATAACAGTAAGCTAAGACCTCGCACGTGTATCTTCATGTGAGATTTAAGACGGTAGGCCGGTACACCTAACTCGGGCGGGGACGGGTGAGTCGTCCCCGATGAGGGGGACGATCCCGCGAGTTGACCCGGTGAGGGGGAGACACGTGCGGTCTATCATCTCAGAGTGGAGCTGGTCTCCACCGGCACGTGCCGTGCTCCTCCTTTTGGGCGGTGCGGCGGCGGCGGGCCGGGTTCTTTCCGGACCACCCGGAGGCGGAGGGGCCTGGTGGCTAGCTGTAGGATTAGAAACCTCTGGGCCCACGTCTTTACTTTTATCTCCGCCGTAGATGATGAATCCGGCGGCCAGACGGCTCTGAGAAGTTTCGATCCAGAGCCTGCGCCGGTGGGGACACCGCCGAAGGGAGGGGACGGCGGCGGCGGCGGCGGCGCACATGGAGGTCCTCCCACGATGGGAGTATAAAGTGCGGGGATCCTGTCGGGCGCGGGATTTTTCTAAAAGCCCTTTTTTATTAAACATTTAGTAAAAATGGGCTAGTAAAGGTTTATCTGCTGATAATCTCCTGGACGGACCTTGCGAAGCCCACCTCGAGTTTTTGGGCCGATCTTTTTTGGGCCGAAGGTGGAAACTAGACCATGTGGGCTAGAATTTAGATCAGGGGCCCATTTAATATGCCGAATTATGAAATTCCTCGTTTCAGACCGATGGAGAGTCGGAGATGGAGCCTGGTGGGGGCCCACTAATAGAGGCCCATATTATCGGCTTCGTCCTCTGATCAGTCATCCATGGCCGCATTCCTCCTCGGCCCGGCATTGGCGCCTGGTCTCTTCACTCGGCTCTCGTCGAAGATCTGCTCGTCCGCCGCCTTTGCTCCTGGAGGTGTTCCCAGCGTCAGGAAGGTCCTTCCTTCGCGCACCTACCGATCTTTGAGCTTTTTCAGCTCTCTGTTACTTCGTTTCCGTTCCTCCCTTTAGACCTAGCCAATTGATCGTGTTTTCTTTTTTTTTCTTCTGTTTCTCAGAACTTGTATCGATTCAGATCATCGTCCTCCTCTCCGATGGCGTCGTCGGAGCCCAAGGAATCTCCTTCTAATAACCCTGGTCTCCACCAGGAGCCGGACGAGGCCACCAGGGGATACTTTCTACAGCAAACGGTCCGCTCCTCTTCGCCTGGGGAAATAAAATTCCATTCGTGCGATTGTCGAAGAAAATGCCGGATATCTCAGTGATTAATTTATTTCTCTTATTTTTATTTTTCTATAAAAATTGATCAAACAGTCAATACTTCGGTCCATTGGGATGTTTCTCTTCATTTTCTATCGAAACGCGCATAACTAGGGGCTGTCTTCTCTATGAACTGCGATGTTTAAAGTTTCGTTCTGGCTATATTATAAATGCATGTCCTCGGGAGTATGACTACATTTACCCTACACGGGTGCGAGATTGCATTTGAATTATTCTTCTGCCGCAACACCTAGAATTTCACTTTTAGAATCCCATGCATGCGATTGACTGTTGCTTATTTTCAGATGTTTCGAATTAAGGATCCCAAAGCCAGCCTCGATTTCTACTCCCGGGTCTTGGGCATGAGGTGAATCACCGATGCGGTCTCTTCTTCCTCTCAAGCTCTTTTTCTAGGCAGTAGCCTTCATGTTTCTTTTCTAATCCTGTGGATATTTTTTTCTCTATCAGAAAGTCGGATTTCTAGCATCTATGGAATTTTTATTTGAGCTAAACCTTGTACTTAGAAATCTTCTGGCTATTATGTTAGTGTATGTATAGAGTCCGCAGCGTGTCCAAAAGCAAGATTTTAGCCCTAGCAGTCTCTTGGTGGTCACTCATTCAACGACCAGAGACAGATATGTTTCTGCAAAAGTCGGAAATTTTAGAAGCCGTCTATCTATATAACCTTTTCTCGTAGAACTAAGACGACTCTTATTCTTCAAATAAACTTGATAGCATTATATAAACGCTGAAAAAAAGAAGTATGTGTATTCCATACCCAATTCAAAATTCCATTTGTATCACATATGCCCTACACCGATATGGTCCAGGTTATACAAATAGCTCAGCATTCACAGACCGTCATATTCGTCTACATCTTCATTACAAATGCTCTTGCCCATTCTTTGATCGTATGTCACACTAAAAAGTTACATCAGCTGAGATTCTTTCCCTTTTGAAAAATGGTATATTTCTCTCTATCCACGGATCCTAAAAGTTCGCTGAAGGATGACCCAACAACTTTTCTGATCCGTTTTTTATGTTCAGTGCCAACTTCTTGTTTGGCATGATTCATCTAACTCGCTTTAATATACCGTTATATGCCTATCACACAGTACGCCATCTACCAGATTTCATGAGAAAAAGAATTCTGAAGTTAAAAATTCTTATAAGACTATACTTCACATCCATTTTGATTGCATGCAGTGCGAATGCTATTAAACAAACGAACCTTGAGAATAGCATGTAGCTAGTTTCCTCTGTGAGGGGGTCGCAACAAATTTTACCTGTAAGTGGAGACGGATTTCTTAAACCCAATTCGCTGCTGTCTGTAACCTATATGTGCTACGAATTGATACGCTAGTTGTTCTGAAAAAGATGCCTCCTTTCTTCAATCCTCAATGCCGTATGTCTGCCTTAGATCTTCCTAAGGAGGCCACTTCTCGAGTGAGTGTTGAAGTTATTCTGGTCACTAGATCTCTTCCTACCTGACATACCTCTTGACTCTTGGCTACTACTATGTTCTTCCTTGTCCCATGACAAAAGGCATGTGCAACACTGATGCAGGAATATTCTGCTGCACACAAGGCACTGAAATTGTTTGCCAAAAGCTGAGGTCTCAAGCAATCCGTCTTTCCAAAATGAAAATCTTTACCTTTTTTTTCCTTTGGTGACAAACCACAATTACATGGAAAAGATAAGCACTAGAGAGAACAATCTAGGAGGAGAAAATAAGCATATCAAGAAAAGTATATAAAGAAGACAAATCCGTAAAAGCACTCTCCTCATTTAATAAGAACTTAATTAACATAATGAAGATAAAATTTCTTTTCCTGCTGCCCACTCAATGCAATATATGTAGTCAGTAGCGTTTCCTTTTACAAAGTTACCAGGGATTATGTCTCCTTGCTTACCTCTTATGAAATACTTCTATTCACTCACCTCCCCATCTTCAGTTCCCTCTTCCGTAGCCAATTACCTACGTTCAAAAGTTGAATCATGTTGAAAATTTTACCATCATAATACCCTCGGTTCTTTGCACGTTCCTGATGTATACAAAGACGAATAATAGATTCATCTTAGTAACCAGTTTCAATCTGCCTGATTTGTGTGAATATCTGAAATGCGTATCTTCCTCTTTTAAAAAGCATCAACTTCCCTTTCCAATGGCCATATCTTTTCTGTTTGTGTGTTTCTTTTGTCCTTTAGGTTTACAGTGCGATATTCTTAGAGTTTTGCATCACTATTTGGATTACTGGTTGGGTTGAGTTTGCTTTTGCCAGGATTCTTGACAAGAATTAATTGTACGTGTGCTTCTTGCTAATTTATTCCAAATCCACCAGGTTACTGAAGAGGTTGGATTTTGCTGAAATGAAATTTAGCTTGTACTTTCTGGGTTATGAGGTAGTACTAGCCTTCATTTTCAAATTGCTTGATAAGATTTCTGAAGATATGACCAACAGAAGCCTGTTTGTCCTTTATATCATGTGAAGAATCCTGAATCGGGTCCAGCTGACCCAACAGAGCGCACTGTCTGGACATTTGGTCAGAAGGCGACTCTGGAGCTTACACAGTAAGAATATAATGATGTTGCCTTTTAAAGTATAGTATTCCCAACTAAAATATTGTAATTTTTAGCCTGTGGTCGTGCTTTTTTATATGTATTTCCTTTTCACTTTTGCTTTAATGTTACCTTTTGATTTTGAATGCGTCCTCAGTAACTGGGGCACAGAAAGCGATCCTGAATTTAAAGGATACCACAATGGAAACTCTGAGCCTCGTGGATTTGGTACGGACCACTGTAACATCTTTTTTAAGAAAATATTTGAACACTTTCATATGAAGCTTAGTGACAACAGATTTCACAAGGCCTTACCCATCCACATAAAGAGAGATATAGAATATAATCCTATGTTTCTGATTTTTTAAATTTCATCCTTTAGGTCACATTGGAATCACAGTTGATGATACATACAAGGCATGTGAAAGATTTGAACGCTTGGGAGTTGAATTTGTAAAAAAGCCTGATGATGGTACGTTATTTGTCCATGGATATTACGACAGTTCCCATCCCATATAGTCCATGGCTTCTAATATGCAGACAACCGCCGTCTTTGTCTTTGCTTTGAGTACAGTTCGTTATAGTTTCTGAGTGGATGAGGATTTGTTTTTCTTGTTTTTTTTTCTGCGGAAAACATTTTCTGGTTACTTAATTGTTGTTGGACGAACTCTTGGTTTTCTGCAGTTAGATGATTTCCGTCTGACCAGGATCATCTTATATTCCTGTTTTGTCACCATGTTGCTTTCAACGGTTGGTGAAACTGATTTCATGCTGATGTGTGTTCCTCTACTTTACTCAAGGGTGCCTTTCTTGGTTTCATTGATTATTGGATATCTGTTTTCATGCTTTTCTGAATGGTAAAAAAGTGATGTCTTCCTTTCCTCGGAGTCTTTATCTATGACATTCATTCTGGGAGATCATGCAAATTGTCATGGGGTTTTTTTCTTCGAGATCTTAATGTTCATATCGCTCAAAGTCATTATCAACGCAAGTATGCTCGAGAACTGCATGCATTATTACACCCTCGAGCGTGATCATAAGAGGAACATAGTACCGTCTGTCTGACTCCAGAATTGGCTCCTCTCGTATTTTGGCCTCTTGACACTAATTTCTTCTGATTTGACTCCAGAGTTGTCTCATTGTTTTTTAGACACTAATTTTGTTTCAAATTACTGTAATTCTTATTGCACATGCTACGGGCTCCCTGAAGATACCCTTTTTCAGATTGATTTTGCACGTACGGTGCATCCAACTGAAGTGGACGATCTTCTGTGTTTCCCCAAAAAAATGGCGGCCTTCTGTTGGTTAAAGATTTAATACTTTGTTGAAGAAAAATCTGTTTAGCATGAGAAGATACGCATTGCATTGTCACGAAGGAGGAAATCATGTTTAAACCTGGTAAAACTAGTGTTGGAAATTAAAAATTGCATTTCTGTAGCAGTGCCAGAATGTGGTTGTTATTTTCTGCATCCTTCAATCCTATTTATGGTAGTGCCATTGGATTATCTAGCATATCAATATCGTCAACTGGTTATAATTTAGCTGGGGTAACTATGGAACTGGAATTCAAGCTTGGGGATCTAGTGAGTGTGACAAAGGATGGGAGGCTGTCGCTCACTTTAATTAAAAGTTCTCCCCGCATGTAGATTCTGGCCTCTATATACAGCACCGCCCGTCTTCTTAAAAAAGAAACGGATCTAATGAACAAATGGCTACACTTTGCCTCTCTGTGGTACCTCTTTCTCTTGCAGGTTCGTTATAACTTGTGCTCTTTTATCTTTAATTTGAAAGATGCTAAACTTTTTTTCTGCATTATGCAGGAAAAATGAAGGGATTGGCGTTTATAAAGGACCCCGATGGCTATTGGATAGAGATATTTGACCTCAAGAGGATTGGAGGCATAAGTGCTGGAGCTTCCTGAGATCAGGCCGTGCCAGGTGATCTTCCACTTGTATATTTTCTCTTCTCTACGAACCATATACAGCTATTTACAAGCCTATGCACCCTAAGTAACCGTGCCTATATATATATATATGCACCGGCCTCTACAACTGCTCATTCTTTTCGGCAATCCGATTGAACTGATTTAATTATTCACAGTAATCACCAAAGGACAGAGACGTGTATCTTGAAAAATATCGCCCATGCGCTTAATCTCAAAAGATCATATGTTCTTGGGAATAGTCAATAAAACTTTGTAGGATACCCCAGAACCTTATCTGAAAAGCTGAGGGGCACGAATCCAAACTGTGATCCACAACATCGACCAGGGTCTGGTCCTAAGTTTTTGAGGCGTTTGTCTGTGTGTGTGATATGGCAAGTTACAGTCTCTATGTGAAGAGCACGTACATGCACGTGGTTTTCTTATGGAAATATCTGAGCGTGCTCTATCGTTGCAGGTCTGGTGGTCGAAGGCTTCCTTACGATGAAGAACCTCGCCTTAATTGGTAGAAGGTTGTACTGCTCTCATGGTCCCCATTGTATGGTGTTCGAACCATATATCCTTTTGTCTGCATGTTTTCCAATGTTGGACGGAGAAGGGGACCCAAAGCAATGCTGAACATATTTCATCACCCTTAGCTTGGGAAATCATATCTTTCAAATCCTAATGGTCTACGGCTCTATTTATGAAAATTCTGAAGGCCCCAAGAGTTAACAGTGGGCGACTTAAGAGCAGATGTTCCCTGAAATAGATTGAATCTTATCTTTCGTGGGTCATCCAAGGCTTCTAGTTTCAGATAAGTGGTTCAGCCTTAGTCCCTGTAGTAAATCATTGCCATATTTCTTTCATTGATGCTAATATGCATAAAAGAAAACCACAGCAACTACCTTAACATGTAAAGCACCAGAAGATTCATATGCCGGAAAAATGGTAGAGGAGAAGAACTCCTCAGAAAATAGCTTTTATATGATATTTCCATCAGTACACAGATCCTCCGTTTACCATAGCTTGGTCTGGAGGCGCCATTTAATGCGATACCCCACAACTAACTCAAGATCATGAACACCCATTCTACAGGAGGAGATGATATTAGAACATTGAAGAGTTGCAAGCAAGAAACAAGCTGTCTGGAGAATCTGATCGTAGTTAACAGACGTGGGGCCAGTCTACGTCAATGTGGTCAATAGTCAATGTTCAGATATACAGTAGTTATTTTTCCTTTTTATAATAAAAATGTTTTCAACATAATGGCGGTAACCAAGCAAGGGAAATTCAGGGCAGCATGGTAGCAACAAGGGTTGTTCACAATAATCATCAAAGTCGTACAGCATCAGGGGGTTTCATAATAATTTCAATACTCTGATGCAAGAATCTGCACACCAAGGGGCGGTATATACACAGAAGAGATGACAGCCGCGTGATATAAAAGAATTAAGCTGTGAAGAACACTCTTACAGTGCTGGTGGAAATATCCCATAACTTTGTATGAAGCTTTGAAAAGTCCCTGAGACCGAGTGCCGACTTACCCAGCTACTTATGTGCTCACAGGCCCTTTGAGTTGAGAAAATATGATCCTTTTGTGATAAATCGGTCAAAATCCAGGGAGTCAGAAAGTCAACGCATCATTATGATGGGAACAAAAAATGAGCGAGCTCTTCTTCAGCCGGCCGATATTTGATGCTGGGCTTCAGGGCAGGTGCTTAGGGTTTCTGGTCGTAAATCCTGTCCAGTGGTAGTCTAGTGTAAATCTTGGCGCTGGCATATGCCCTTCCAGCTAGTGAACCAAGCCAAAAATCTGAAAGAGCTCATGCGGACCACACCTAAGGCTCTGCCTTTCAGGAAACGGTTGCCCCTCTTGGGTTATTTACTCATCAGAGACTTCCAACCCAACGCGTTAAGATCAGCTTGCTGGAGTTCAACATACTTCCCATGACTGAAACAAGTATCGCCAAAAAAGTAAGAGCCATAAATATAATGGTAGATTACATCGGGAGAGTGGAGATTAAATAATAAATATCATCAACCTCATTTTTCTGATGCTTGATTTCATTACGTGATATTTTTTAAGTTATTATTGCTAGCAATGGTGAATACACACGAAAAACCGTTGATTCCTGAAAAAACTGGAACGGATTTCACTGATAATGATCATTCAAGTCAAATAACCTTGTACTTTGTGCGACATTATAAGCCGTTATGTTTCCCAATGTGGCACTAACCAGTTTTCTTTGAAATAAATAAAAATGAATTATCTTTCACTGTATCAATGAAATTATCAATACAATTTTTTAGGGTAATACTTTTACATTTTTTTTATCTTTAAAATTGCCAAGATACGTCTGATCCAGATCATTCATTACTCATGGGGAGCCAACCACAGCCCCAGCGTAAAATCAGAAAAATTATTAAAAAAAATATATCCAGCCAACAAGGGACCGGTGTGATTATGTAGAGTATGTGTCCAATGTCTAGTCGGACTGGCTCTCGATTATTTCACAATGATATCGAGAAACAAGTGTCTCATACTACCAAGCAAGAATAGAGCTAATGAAATGAAGAATTCAGTAATAATGTAGCACAAACTCAACACAAAATGTCATCAAGCAAAAAATCTATTCACAGATGTACACTGAATACTTTTTTCTAATCTACGGAATGAGAGGGCTGATAATAAATGACTTACCCAAGACCTGAGGGAAGCCTGTACCCACCCACACGTACACGCTTTAATGAATGAACCTGGTATAAAATGAGGACATTATCAGTGAATATAAGAAGCAAACATTAAACAGCGTTTAATAAATTCATACAATCAACAAGGCTACGCCAGAAAATCTTCCAATGTACCAAAAGGATGCTATGAGGAGCGTTTGGCAGAATAATGATGAACCACAACCACTTCCAACCATGCTACTGGTATCCAGATCATTGATGTTTTGCGATGCATTAGTCCTTATATAATGTGATGTCACACGGTCAGGTGCTCTAGTTTTCTTCACATGAAAGATTCCAAAGAGAGAAAACAACTCACAAGAAAGATCTGGTTTTCGGCCAATATTAGGTCGTTTGGTCATAGTTGAATCATCAGAGCTGAACGCGTATTCATAACTCTTTGCTTTAATTGGCATGATTCAATGGGAAAGCAGGATCTGACCGTGATCAGAGCTCTCCAATAGTGACACTTTTCCACTTCATTTTTCTCTTTGTTTGGGTTGGGAGGGGAGGGGGGGGGGGGGGATATCACACAGAGAGTGATAGCGGGTTTTAAAATGAAAAGAAGAAAGGGAAAGGAAGTCAAAGAAAAGACGGACAATTGCACTATGGCCGACGAGTATGTCTACCTAGGTGGAGTTGAGCTATAGCCGACGGCTGACTCCTAAATGTAGGTAGATGGCTGAGATTAAGTACTTAGGAAATGGTTTATCCTAATAAAAGAAAAGCAAAACTTAAATAAGATGGTTTTCTCTTTTGATAATTATTATCCTCTTATCCCATCAATCTACCGTCAGCCAAATATGATACAAAAATCCTCTGTTTTTAAATCGATTTCCACCTGGCTATTTCCCAATTACCCTCCAGGAATCTATAAACAGATACCAATCAAAATCCCATGAGAGCAGGTGAGAATTAGCACCAGCTTAGTCAAAAAATGGGATCCAGTTTGAATAGACCGATTGCACTGCGCCCAGTTTGAATAGACAGAGGGGCCACAGGCTGCAGTGCTTCAAGACATCAAAAAAGCACGACAGGGTTGACAACAGTTGTAATATAGATTTCAGGGAAAAAGGAACTTGATGATTGGTGATAAAATAAGCACATGACAACATACAAAAAGCTCGCCTTGGTCACTATAGTGCCTTAGCAGCATTGTTTGTCATATTAACCGTCACATATGACCAGGTAATAAAAAGAACTAAACAAATTTTATAAAATTATTATATTTTACAATTATGAAATGCGTGCTAACTCATTGAAAAAAAGGATATTAGAGCCAGCATTTTGAATGCCAACATACTTCTGAGCTCAGCAACCTAATCTGATCAACTTAAAGGCTAGTTTTATTGGTCTTGTAGACTTCATCAACCAAAAAACTATGAATCACAAGAACATTAGTCGCTTCTAAAGAAAGGATTAGACCATTGACAAGTTCAATGAGACTAAACCTGAAAAAGGAAAATAACTCAGGACTAATCCTCTGAAAAAGGGCTCGATATTTGAGAGGACAGAAAAGTTGATCAAAATTTATAGACCAAGCTGGTCAACAAGTCCATAGAAGAGTTGTCCACCTGAAGGCCAGCATTTCTGATAAGTTCACGAACTTCATGATGCCTTCCTTCATGAACCTACCAAGAATATTGACCAACTTACTTCAATCAAATGAGCTAACATGTCAAATTAATGTGATGGGAAAATAATGAAAATACGGTCAAGATAATATAATAACTCAGGAGCAATGCATAAGCAGGATAATTGCTTCTCAGTTGTAAGTGCAGCACATTTACAGTACAGTAACAGATGATTTCACAAGAGTGACATCCACTATAATTTTAAAATAAAAAATTTACGTATGATAAAGAAGAGGAATCAGCATATTGAACTACCTACTAACCATAAATGGTTGCCAAACCTAAACGAGATAAACATTCATCGGAAAAACTTTACTGTTGTTACCATCGAGATGACCAGCAGAAATCATTAGTTATTTCGTACCAGAGAAATACTGTACAGCTCAGAGAAGGCAGCAACAAAATATATTCACGTTTTTTTAAAATAAGCTATGAGAAATTGTACAACTCCAGGGCAAGTGTGAAGATAAAAATGAAAAAAAAAATCATTTACCAATATAAAGGCAAGAAAATCATTACAAACAAGCATACCATATTGTGAGGCTAAGATAAAAAAGTACCTTGATGATAATGTGTACTTATACATACATACATATATACAGATATATAAATAAGTCTAAATATATATACATAGAGCGAGAGGTACCACAATCCGAAGACGAGGTTTTGAATCCGACTGGACAGGCATCAACTCCACAGAATCAGGTGTGCAGTGAATACCATCAATCTTCGTGCCTTCACTAATGGCGATTAAGTGTTTCTTATGAACTGCACCTTCTATCGTTGCGATATATCTACAATTTCCAATTTGAAGCCAAAATGAAACAATAGAATTTTACACAGTCAAGGTGAGCAAAAGAATTTCGTGAAATAATTCACGTAGCTCCAGGAAATATATTCACATTGGTTCCATTTTAAATTATTTTAAACAATGAACGAGAGGAAACTATCACATAAAGCATCTAAAAAAGTAACAATGAGAAACTCCCAGAGAGACATATAAACGGTTGAGAAACCTGTCTCTATGAGGTTGATCTGAGAACTTCGAAGGTTGAGGGCCTTAAGCATAAAAACTAAAGAAATGTACGATCATAGAAGTGAGGATACAAATTTCATATTTCTTTGGCTTTATTGACCTCTCTATATTGCCGCCATCTAGTCTGGGTCTTTAATGCTATTGATTTTTTATCAACATTATTTTCGACGGTCAGTTAGATTCCTCTTTGGTCCTTTACACTAATAAACGAATGACTGTGAACATTAAAAAGGAATGGATTAATGTGGATTAATAAGGAAAGCTTACCAACACTACGCACCATGGGTCTTAGAGACAGGTTGGGAGTCCAATCCTGAACTATATAAGCTAATCAATGAATGGAAATGATAGTTTTCGACAAAAAAAATAGATGTATGCATATCATAGTTTAATAAAAAGATATTCGGACATTCAAAAGAAGAAGACATCTACATAATTCAGACATCAATCTTCCACTTACTCAACCCCCCCGTCACCACAGAAAAAAGGAAAATTACAGATGAAAAGGGACTCATTGCCACTAGAAATTACAGATGTACATTTGAATTATCTTGGATTTAGATAATAGGCCTCCAAATATCAAGGATTTAACAATAAAAAAGAAAATGAAAAGGCATTAAAACAAATGATAGTAACTTCTACTTTAGGATATTCTTCAAGTCAATTCCATCAAGATGTTCTTTACTGCATTCCAGTTTTTAACTTAACAAATATCCATCACCCAGAGTGGCCAACACTAATACATTTGGTACCAACTTCAGAAAATAATGAAAGACTGGTGGGAACAATGAGTCTGCATGTGTGGAAGAGTTAAACCTATGCACACGTCAAATGTAATAAAGACAAGCAAACATATACGAAGCAAAAAGAAACTTTCATTCACTGGGGCTTCAATTAAAGATGGTCAAAATTTTATTAAAAAGATAGCAGAGCGGACTGCAAAAAACCTGTATGAGGATGCTTACTCTTTTGATATGTTAGATGAAGGATGTGCAAGCTTTTGAGCGAAATCCCCTGGTATATGACAGCTTTGAAGCCGTGAGTTCTCCAGGAAAAGTTGAAGTATAATAGATGGACTAAATCAAAGTCAATGAAGAAACAATTTATGTTACATACCATCATTTGTAACAATAATCAGACCAGTTGTGGCAACATCAAGGCGGCCAATTGTAAACAATCTTGGCCTTGGTACCCCTGGATTAGTTTGAGTCTGAAATGGAAATTACCATAAGGGTAATCCGAGGAAAGATATCAAGAGAACATTTTTCAAATTTTAAAATAATAAACTGCTCCAAGAGAGAGTAAATTTTATGTGATACCAAACACTATGATCCTGAGATAACACAAAAATTCAAGCATACCCAACGCTTCCAGTAATCGTCAAATAAGGACACCACAGATTTAGACTCCACACCATTGGAGCAGATGTACCTACAATGTGCCCGCCATATCAAACTGTTTAATCTTAAAATTGCTCTTATGTCGCAAAGAGATATGACTTAAAGTTTCATCAAAATGACCCAAGGATTAGTTCAGAAAGAACGCCCTACCCTTTTGGCTTGTTAACAGCAAAATAAAGCTTTGGTGGCAGCTTCTTGGAGAGACGGTTCCCATTAACATAGATAGAATCCCTGATGAGGTCTACCTGGGTCTATGTTTCAAATAAAGCACATTACTCAAAAGTATGCCACTGATGGTACGGAGGTAAATGCAAGTGTTCAAAAAATAATATGAAGCAACTAGAGTTTCGCCAAGATAGACAGATTAGTGGATAATACTTTGCAATTATTAAGTGGTGTCATCAGAAAGAGCATGCTGTATTGACAACATCAGAAATGTTCAATCTGATCACCACAATATTGGGGATTAAAAAAAAACTAATCTCAAATACCAGCTAACCAAATACAGCATCATTTCCTAGAAGAAAATGGTTTCACGGATAAAAAAAACGTAGTATAGAGGCAGTCATTTGCAAGACAGGGTAAGAAATAATAAGACATTTTCTTCAAGATATCGAGGTTGAATGGAGTGGAACACAAAGATGTGCTATAATTGCTTTAGCCATGTCACTGAAATGCCCAAATGACTGTCGCCGAAAACAAAAGATTCTCGCCACTGAAGAAGAGAGCCCTTAACAAGGGCAGGACAGATACACTCCAAAGCTTGGGAGAGGCGGTATGTAAAAATACTAAATTCTTAGATTATTTCACTCAAGTTCAAGCAACACAAAGAATTTCTCGATGGAACTCCATGGTAGAAAGAGTACCTGCGGAGACCTGCACACGGAGCCATTAACAGTGACTTTGCCCTCAAATATAAGGTCGTCACATTTCCGCCTAGAAGCAACTAAACGTAAACGAATACGTTATCAACATGAACATGATCGATTTTTGTACTAAACGAAACTATCATTAGCTATGTAGGAAGCACACCTCCAGCAGCCGCCAAAGCCTTATTAAGTCTTTGGAGTTCCCTGAAATTCTCGTTGTAAAATCTCCTAGCGGCCTTCGAATACTTCGGCGGAGCTGAAGAAGCAGGAGCAGAGGCAACCGGAGCCTTCCTCCCGCTGCCCAATTCTTTCTTCCTCTTATCCTTCTTCGGCGAAGACGTCTTCGCCTCGGCCATGTCACGGATGAACTGGGGAGGTGGGGTGGACGAGAGCATGAGCTTTCCATCCTCGCCCCTCACTATCCACGGGATCAGCAAAGGAGCGGGAGCCCTGGAAGACGATTGCTCAGGATTGACAGTCTTTTCCTTCGGCGGGTCAGCACCAAAGGAGATGTTGAATTCGGTAGCGGTCTTGGAGGACGACGAGGCAGAGGAAGAGCTGGCAGCTCGGATAAAGGGGACGCGCCACCGGACGTTCCGAAGGCGTAGAGTACGGTTCAAGAAGAGGGAGGAACCCGGCCGATGCAACGGAGAGAGCGCGGCGGAGGAGACAGCGGCGCTGACGACCGCCATTGGAACGCCGCTTGCTCCCTGGAGATTGAACGGAGTCGGAGAGCAGTGAGGAGGGAGCAGTTGGCGGATAAACCCTGTTCCTGGATAATTGAACGGGTTCTTTTGATACATAATGGGTCAGACATCCACGAGGCCCAATGCATAATGGAACGCCGCCAACTCTCTCTCTCTCTCTCTCTCTCTCTCTCTCCCTCCCCCTCCCCCCTCCCTCTCCCTCCCTCTCCCTCTCCCTCCCTCTCTCTCTCTCTCTCTCTCTCTCTCTCTCTCTCTCTCTCTCTCTCTCTCTCTCTCTCTCTCTCCCTCCCTCTCTCTCTCCCTCTCTCTCCCCTCTCCCTCTCTCTCTCTCCCTCTCTCTCCCTCTCTCTCTCTCTCTCTCCTCCCTCTCTCTCTCTCTCTCTCCCTCCCTCTCTCTCTCCCTCTCTCTCCCTCCCTCTCTCTCTCCTCTCTCTCTCTCTAGCGAGGTGGTGCCCTCGAGCTACATGCTGGCTACGGAAATGGTCCCCGGTAAAACCTGGCCTCGACTGGCTTTCATCTCGGCCAGACGCCATCTCCAGCCGGATCCAGCTGTTTCCTATTCAAGTTTAGTTAAAGCTCATGAACCGTGGTTTCTACCTAAGTTCGTCTGCGTAATCGTCACAAATAATATTCGATTTCTCCTATAACGTAAGACAAACCTGCGCATATGCCAGAAAATATGTCGATAATCTTATTAGGCATCTACCAATGTTGTCTTTTAAGGCAACATTCAGGATTCTAGCTCTCTCTCTCTCTCTCTCTCTCGCTCTCCCTCTCTCTCCCTCTCTCTGTCGCTCTGTGACTCGCTCGTTTGTTTTATCTTTGGTTTCTTCTTGGGTGGCAACGGCCTCATATAAATCTTCTTCAGTAGGGTTCCGCAACGCAAGCAGCATTGTTCGCCACCACCCGAAAAGCAAAAGATTCGAGAGTCAAGGCTCCCCGGCTAAGGTAGTCGGTCAGACGACACTCCCCTCCCCGTCAGCCCAGCACATCTTGCTCACGCAAGCGTTCTCAATAATGCCGCCAGTTCAACGCTTCCTTGGCAACGTGTTTCCCATACGTAGAGCCTGCCGTCTGTACTTCTGTTGGGGATAGGGAAGGTCAGTGGACGAGTAAGTGCAGGAATCCAGGAAACGTATGATTCGGTATAGTTATCAATCTATAATATAATAAATGTATACGTATACCTATTAGGAGGAGAGAGAGAGTAGGCATTCTTGCTTTAAAACCTGGGCTGGCCCGGGCTGACTTCCAGGTACATCTGGCTTCTGAGGTGATCCAGAAATACTCTGTCGGGGTCATGTGTCAAGTCTGGTATAGCTAATCTCAGAAGTCCGTGGACACCTTTCTGCTCACATGACAGCCATACTCTCTCTCTCTCTCTCTCTCTCTCCCCCCCCCTTTCTCCAGTGCATGTGGACAGATATACGTCTTGGGTCTTCACGGAGCGACCCAAGACTAGGAAAGTGCCCCGTTGACGAGTCCATATACACAGATATATAGAATATATGCCCATATGCATATACATGGTGCTCTATGGAAAAACAGCAGACGTCTGTTGGCGGCAACCCCGACCATTGGCCTACTACATGGATTTGTTTTATAATGCGAGCATGCGATGCATCATAACTGTGACAACGAAAGACTAACAGTAAGGCCCACAGGTTTGGCTCAACAGTACCTCTGGGGTCCATGACGGGGAGGGAGAGTCGGGTTGACTGCCATGACGGGTACAGTGCCTCGATCATGGTTCAGTTTGTTCCACTGACCAAGGAGATAGAGAGAGAGCGAGAGAGAGAGAGAGAGGGAGGAAGGGAAGGACAGTGATGATTGGGTTAACATAAGGCGCATTCTTAATCCATGTCTGAGTCGACTTGTCAACTCCCCTACGTGTTTATCAATTGTGGTCACTGTTTCTTCTCCGATATGATTCTTAACGTCGACATTGGAATAAAAACAGAATGGAATACAAGGCCCTCGTGTAAACTTATTTGCGGTCTAGCCAGAAAATGTGGACTCCATTTTCGTCTCACGTAGATACTCCACGACCACTCACATAGTATCTCAAATCTCTTTCTCCTTTTCTCTCTCTCTCTCCCTTCTCTGTCGCTGTCTCCGTCTCTCGCTCCCCCTTCTCTTTCTCTCTCTCTCTAACGATAAACTAGCCAACTTGTGGTGCAAATCGTTCAGAGCCTTGAAGAAAAACTCTCGGAGATACGGAGAAGAAAAAGACTCAAAGAATAGTAATATATCTGAATTTCTCCAAGGTGTAACCCGGGGCAGTCACCTTTGCCGTCATTCAACCAGGAAGAGGACCTGTTCCTGGATTGCGACACTTCTCCAAACAAGTAGTCTAAGAAGGTGGTTCGGTTAGGTACTTCTAACATTTCCTGCTGTCGTCATCGCCATTATTGTCTCTGCATGACTTGCGACATGGTGGGGGCATCACCACAACGGCCTTGACGTTGACTTGCGGGCATGCTCCGCGAGACTTCTCAAGCAGTGTTTTCGAGTGCGGGATGAGAAAGGGCTCAGCAGCTCATCGCCTGCTCCTCCCTGTCGGCCTTTCATGAAGAACTGAGCAATATAATAGAAGATGCATGAACAATATTACATTTTCTTCCATATGGTGACACTTCGATCGAAATCGACCTTCTTTAGCCCGAAGAACGAAACCCAAACGAGGTTCTCCCTCTCTCTCTCTCTCTCTATCTCCCTCTCTCTCTCTCTCTCTCTCTCCCTCTCTCCCTCTCTATAACTCTCTATCTATCTACCTATCTACCTATCTGTGTACCTATCTATCTATCTATCTATCCATCTATATTTTAGTGTTTGTCGATAGAAAAGGAGTGTACGAGAGCGAGACGAATGAGATGGCCTCGCATGAACTGAACAGTCGACTTGAGGATATCCACGTAGCTTCATTGAGCACTGTCAGCGACAGGCAAGTTCGGTCAATGGAATGGATTAACGATTATTGTAAGAATGGGTGGAGACTCGACCTATGAAAGGGCTTCCATGTCTCACACCTTGATGTGCATATATCTATGCGCATATGAGGAGGACAAATATGAAGACACGGTAAAGACTTGGTGCCGTGAAGTCCCTCCACGAATGGTTAGTTAATGGGTCAAAGACATCACGTGTGTATCTCAGAAACGGACGTTCACAAGGCAAATGGCGGAGGGAAAAGAAAGTACGCCCTTCTGGTTTTTCTTGACCTTGTCCATACCTTGGCTATAAAGGCAGGAAGAGCCCCACACCAACCCCCCCAGACTGGAAACAGAGGTCGGGGTCGAAATGAGCAAGCCCTCCTTTGACTTCTCGCACATATATATATATCTCTCTCTCTCTAGCTGGACGCTTTCTTCTCTCTTTTCCTGCAACCAGACAGCCGTCTCTTACTCTGCTCTTCCTTAAAGATCTCGTTATTCTAAGTCTTACAGAGAGGTTTCCAGAAGGTCGAACGGGCGAAAGGCGAAGAGCCCAGAAGAAGGAGGCAACGGCAGCGCGCCTGTGGCGTAGTCATGGGGCGGGCTCCGTGTTGTGACAAGTCAAAGGTGAAGAAAGGTCCTTGGTCCCCGGAAGAAGACGCTAAGCTCAAGGAGCACATTGAGAAGTATGGTACTGGTGGGAACTGGATCGCTCTCCCACAGAAAGCCGGTAAGAGCGAGGAAGAGCTCCGCAGAGTCCTCGTTTCCCACTTTGTTTTCCTCTGTTATTTCGATGAGCTTTCGTAGATGATTCCATCAAGAAGCCTGCATAGGGTTAATTTCGGCGGGGGAGAAAGGGGAGAGAGAGAGAGAGAGGTGTGGGGAGGTGGGAGGCTCCTTCACTGATACTTTTCTCATCCACAGGTCTGAAGAGATGTGGGAAGAGTTGCAGGTTGAGGTGGCTGAATTATCTGAGACCGAACATAAAGCACGGAGACTTCACCGAAGAGGAAGACGCAATAATCTGCAGCCTCTTCGCTAGAATTGGGAGCAGGTTCCACCTTTCTTTGCAACTTCTTATCCATTTTTGCTCGACTACGAGTTTCCGTCTTTTGATTCTCTTAGTTATCTAGCCCAATCTAGTTTCCTTCCTGGAGCTAGACCATAAATGGGGAACATCAATAATGGAAGCTTCTCCGCATGCATGCCAATTTGTTGGTAGACTTCGACGACAATAGATGGAAAGATCTCCAATCAATCAGTAATTTCTCATCAAATAACGAATTATTCGTATTTGCAGATGGTCTATAATAGCGGCCCAGCTGCCAGGGAGGACTGACAACGATATCAAGAACTACTGGAACACCAAGCTGAAGAAGAAGATAATGGGGATACCGACGCCGCAGAGAAAAATACAACCCGAGAAGCACCAGCGGCAGCTTTTCCCATCTTCCTTCAATGCTATGATTTCACCGGCGACGTCGTCCGTAGGTAGCCGTTTCTCGTCTCAGAAGACACTCCTCCCAGGCCCAGATGCCTTCGATCCAGTGATCGCCGGCGCCGCTCTTCTTCGAGTCCTCGATGATGACCACAACCAAGTGAAAGACAATAGCAGTAGTCTCCTTGTCTTTGGAGATGGCCAGAGTTGTAGCTCCTCAGGTGGGAGTTCCACCAAGATCATATATGGAAGGGCGGCAGAGAATGAGCTGGGCCTGGAGACGCTGTTCTACGGCGGTCTCCTCGAAGACCACCAGAAGCTCTTTCTCGGCGGCGGAAGTCGGGTGGAGAGAGGAAGTGGGGTGTGGGGAGAAGCCCCCATAGACTACACCCTGGAGGAGATCAAGCAACTCATCACAACGGGCTCGCCCTGCAGCAGCCTCTTCATAGGCGATCCAACCGGCGTCATCGGAGGAGGAGGCAATGCTCGAGCAAGTGGTCTCATGTCCTACAACTGACAGTGAAATCAAATAGGAGTGATGTCCGGTATCTGTGACCCATGGGTTTTCCCTCTTCATTCATCCCCGTTAGATGGTTTTTTAGGGTTTGGTCGTGCCCAATAAAACCTTATTTCCAACCATGGACGGGAACGTGGGTGTTGGTTAAGAGGAACTGGACCCTAACAGATAGAGTTCTTCTTTCGGCACCGCCCTCTACCCAACTCCCTCTCTCTCTCTCTCTCTCTCTCTCTCTCTCCCTCTCCTCCCCCCTCCCCCTCCCTCTTCTGCTCCCTTGCTCGCTCGAGTTGAAGATCTGCTAGATCGCTGATATCGCTTTCTTGTACATAGAAAACCTTCTTCCCGTTGAATAAACAAATCTATTGGCAACAGATGCCTCGGTTTCACATGGCTGCGATCAGGACAGCAAGAAACGTGTCGGATCGCCGTGCTTGCGTCGGCGGCTTCGTTTTTGAACTGAGGTTCTCGTCACGGTGTTAAATTATGTTATGGAAGACGACTTACATTTATAATCCCGATGTGAACAGTTCAGAGGCATGTCAGTTCATTTTCAGTCCAGCAAATCTCAGTCCGGCGAAAAGCCTACCCCTGCAAAGCTGGAAACCACTGCTTCTCTCTCTCTCTCTCTCTCTCTCTCTCTCTCTCTCTCTCTCTCTCTCTCTCTCTCTCTCTCTCTCTCTCTCTCTCTCTCTATTTCTCTCTATTTCTCCCTATTTCTCTCTATTTCTCTCTATTTCTCTCTATTTCTCTCTATTTCTCTCTATTTCTCTCTCTCTCTCCAACCATGCATCGGCGTTTCCTAATCGGAAGTTTTAGATTAAACAGGGGCCGTGTGGTTGATGTAATGTTTAGGTACAAGGACGGGGGTTATGCGTGGTGTAGTTCTGAGACACGCTGACTTAGATAGTTCTCTATGGGAAACCTGCACCTCTACCAACCTATTTACGCAGTGCAGATTATCTTAATCGCTGTCAAGGTTTCCCTCTGCCAAACTCTGGAAGAAGCCAACTCATATGATTCCCTTGTGATCCCACTTGGACACAAACCGAGAGAGAGAGAGAGAGAACAGCTACATGGCATTGACCAATTTCAAAGAGTTACAGAGTCATATTTAATGTCATGCTTTCTGAAAAGAACCGTCTTCATCAGTCACTCCAATAACAATCGACTTCAACGCATCCCTCTGAAACCTTTGAGCGACAGCCGAGCTTCCCGAGGATTTTAATAGACTTTGGTGCTGAATGGTCCTCCAATAGTTTCCAATCCACAGCGTCTCTCCTATTCAGCCTCATCCAACTGGAAGAGGGGAGCAAGGTGGGGAAAAAAAAGACGTCTTTTACTAAAATAATGGGCGCTTCTTCTCGTCTCACTTCAGCACCCAGAGACGCATCCAGCAGATCCATAAACGACAAAATCTGCAGATCCTCTCTGAGGGAGAAGGCATCTGGTCAACGCCATCCACCTCCGGCATCTGGTCACTCTCTTGGGAGGTGAGGGCCCAGAGTGGTCCTATAGTCGAAGACGACTTCCGACTCGGATAAACTCCAGAAATGGAGACTGGGGCCGTACGAACACCGGGAGGTTACCCGAGTTCTTACTGCCATATTTTACCAGACATGCATAAATAAAAAATAGCTATATTTTTAATTCGAATGACAAGAATCCTTCTTGGGAAAACCGTGACATTAAGTAAAATTTTGTGATCATCGGCCGAGTTGATGCCCTCGGGAGGCCACTGGTTGCAGGGTACTTCGTCCTTTTCCTGCATTATATTATCACGATCCGCGAGGCGTGTAGAAAAATCTGTTTTTCCATTAAAAATATTTTTAATGTGGCTTATTATATCCTTCATTAAAAATTATTTTATAACAAGCTAACTTTAAAAAAAAAAAATACAAATGTGGTTTCGATAATAAAATTTCAACAAATAAGCTTTAGGCTAGATCCAGATGAAGATAGAGCTGAAATAGGCCCTATAGAGATAGACTGAGATAGAGAGATACGTTGAGACAGAGAGAGAGAGAGAGAGAGAGAGAGAGAGAGAGAGAGAGAGAGAGAGAGAGAGATGATAATGATGATGAAGAAGATTATGGGAATGGAGATATGGGGTCTATTCAAACTTAGGTTTCAGATTAGGAAGGTTTTTTCGCAAATAATGTGACTCCTTTGACATACAGCTGAAGAAGTCAAATCGATATGTTTCTACTGTCTTCTGCCTTTGACCTTTCCATTGGTACGGTCAAGCTAAGCAGTCATATCGCTAATCTTAACCCATGATTATAAACAGAATCGCATCCATCGATCTAATCTTCGTAGAAATATAAATTTAAAACTCTTTTTGCCTGTTGGAGAGCTTGTGGCCATCAGCCTTCCTTTTCTGTGCATTAAATCTGGTTGGTGAGGGAACGGCCATAACTCCACATAAACGCAAGTGGGGGCACACAAGAACACATAATCCTCGTTCGAGAAAAACCCTTGCCGCTTGATAACCTTTTTTAATGTGTAAAGCCGGAGATGTACCATTAGACAAGGCAATACTATGTTAAACATCTTTATGAGGGTCATAAATGCCAAGATGGCCGGCAATTATTTCGAGGGTACCCACAGCCCCTTTAATGATGCATTTAAACGGCCGATGTTGATTAATGGGAGGTAGATGAAGCAATTCAAAACTTACCATACAGAAACAATGGGTTGACTTAAACGGATTGAAGTCGGCGCAGTCGAATATCCCAAAAGATGATTACGTAAAAGTCTTCGACTGAAGGAGCGTAGTAGACAATTCCTACATGGATATATTTTATATGCGTTGACTTGGGTGACTGAGAGGCCTTGTTATCGACAAAGCATAACCAAATGGCCTTCGTGGGCCTGTTGATAGAGATTACTATGGGCCGGCCAGTAACCTGGTAGCATCAACCAATACAACCCATTACTATCGTAAATTGGGTTCTAAGGATGAAGTATTCCCCAACACGTCTTATCTAGGCTTTGATCAGAAATAGCTTTCTATCTCTCTCCCTACATATATATATATATATATATATATGGTGTATTTGTGTGTTGTCGTTTTTGTCATTTTTCACGAATTTAGCATAGTCAATGGTCTCATTCTTGGACTATTCCAAGCATATCTAACGGGATCGAAGTGTAGCCTTTTCGTCCTTAAAATATTTAATTTCGTCCTATATTTAATATTGGTAAGTGTGATGATTTTTTTGTAATTGAAGAATTATGAGGATTAAAATCATAAAGTTCAATATTCTAACATGGTAAGATATTGTAACCAATTAACTAATAAATATGGTTACTCAAAATTATGAATAACTCATTTTTTTTATTTGTTCCCTGAAAAATATAGCCATCTAGAGGTATTACCCCCCCCCCCCCCTCACAGCATGAAATATTGACCGCCTTATTTCTAGACCATCGATGACTTTTTTCTAGTTTTTAGATTTTTTTCTACGACTATGATTTTTATTAATAAAGTTGGATTTTGCCATTTCAAAAAATAATTGATATGATTTACCTTAAAATCTGATTCCAATGTTTTTATGGTAATTTATGTATTCTTATCATAAATGATTAGTCCGCACTATTTTATGATTAAATCATGTAATTTTACGTCAATATATTTAAGTAATTTTTATATTATATTTATCTCTTGTTTTTAATATAAAACAAGTGTTGGTTGGATGTTATTAAAGAGCTAGACTTTGGATGACTACACGGGGCTTAGACGTCCTCATGACCACGTAAGACAAGAAGCCCAGCGTGGCCAGTTGACTTCACTTTCAGGGGCACCGGTGAGGATGGAGCAAATATGGTAAATATAATAAATGCTTAATACTTATGTTAAATGCTGTGTACACTCTTTACCCGAAGTCTCTCCACTCTTTCCTTTGAATAGGGTAAATCAATTCGGTGGCGACCTAACGCCAGCACGGGGAAGTCTCTGGGAAGTTTTTAATCAGATCAAAAAGGAAAGAAAAATTTTCACTATCAAATTTTTTATTTTATGATGGGTATAAAAATAGATTATTAAAATGAATCGGGTATTTCTCAAGAGATCGCCTTGAATTCCTATCACATCTGCCGTAAGGTTATCGCCGATCTCCGCTCGATCCGCCGCCCAGCCGCAGGCGCCGGCCCGGCGTAGAAAGAGAGACGGGGGCGACCTCGTCCTCGTCGACGACGGAGATGGCGGCGAGTAGCGGCATTGAATTCTTCCCCTTGCGTCGATAGGAACGGCAGGCCTCCGATCCCGATAATATCTCCAGTCAATTCATACAACTTATTGCAGTAAGCCTGCAATTCTTCGAAAATTTCTGAATGTAGCTATAATGGAAGAATTCTTCACCAGATCGGTCGACGGAAGCGGTGAGGTAGTCTGGTAGTCTGGTAGTCTGGTAGTCTTCCAGCGCCACTTCGGTCGGAGTTCTCCCCTCGCCATGGCCGGTTGCCCTCTGTTCCTCCTCTGGTTCTTGGCAACCCTTTCCTTATTATCCGCGATCGTAGGTTTCCCCTCTTATTCTCCCTCTTCCACTTCCGATTCCCCGCCGCGGCGGAGGCCGCCCCCTCTTCCTGTCCTGCCCGTACCGTCAGCCTCCCAGCTCTCATGGCAGCTCGGAGAGATGGCGATGTTCCTCCACTTCGGGCCCAACACCTTCACCGACTCAGAGTGGGGCTCTGGCCGCGTCGACCCGGGCGTCTTCAACCCCGCAGACCTAGACGCCCGGCAGTGGACCCGGGCGGCGGCGGAGGGGGGCTTCTCCAGGCTGGTGATCACCGCGAAGCACCACGATGGGTTCTGCCTGTGGCCGTCCGCCTACACGAACTACTCCGTCCGGTCGAGCTCCTGGAGGGCCGGTAGAGGGGATGTGGTGGCGGAGCTGGCGGCGGCCGCGAGAGAGGCCGGAGTCGGGATGGGGATCTACCTCTCGCCGTGGGATCGGCACGAACCCTGTTACGGGAAGACCACCGAGTACAACGAGTACTTCTTGGGGCAGATGGCGGAACTACTCACCGGGTCAGTAGAGCTTCTCGTTCCCCTTCCTCAATCCCTCCATCCTGTCATCCTCTCTTCCCGGCGAGGAGCATCAAACTACCAGAGAAGAACCAGACCAGAGATTTAGGGTTAAGATTTTAATTATTCGTCTGTTCTCAAATTCCACCGTAGAAACACCCGGTAGTTTCTCGTCGATCCTTGTCGATCATAGTTCTTGATCTGCTATTCTCGGTAATTTTTCCCTCGACTGTTCTCTAGAACAGGTACGGCGAGATCAAGGAGGTTTTCCTGGACGGTGCCAAGGGGAAGGATTCAACAGACATGGAATATTTTTTCGATTCCTGGTTTAAAGTTATCCATCAACACCAACCCGAGGCTGTCATCTTCTCAGATTCTGGCCCCGACAGCCGGTGGGTAGGGAATGAAGCCGGAGCTGCTGGCCGCACCTGTTGGTCCCTCTTCAATCAGAGCGATGTAGCCATTGGCCATACAACCGAGTCGTAAGTGATCCATTCCTCACCTTGCTCATCCTCCGACGAAGCTCCAATAACCGATTAAATTTATAAGAATCTTTATGGATCTTCATCAGCATCCACGATCCAGAATATCTCTCTTCCTTGAGTTTACACGTGATTCTGAATTGATGCGAACATTATCCTCCGCGGTAATGGGCGGCTCGTTTTGCTGATAACGCCATAATCCTGGAAATCTGTACCTTACCCAGAGGGAGAAGGGTACCCTGTCCTATGCTTGATGTACGGATGAAGCATTCCAGAACAGGGTCGTTCGACATTGAGCGGGATCCGATTTTTATCAATTTCTTTTACCGTTGTCTGTTGATTTGTTCTTCTCATGCTTCTCCATTCTCAGTTCTAGAAGTTAGATTTACATGGTTAGTGCATGCTCATTAAAAAAAATTTCCATTTATAAGTGTTTTTGACATGCACCAATCTGACGGGTTGCGTTCTCTTTCTGAGGCTTCCTCCCCTGTGTTCTTGCCTGCCATCTTCGTAACTTGTGGATCTTTGTAGAGTGCGGGAACGTCCTAAATCCAATTGGAAACCTGACGATCAGAGAATATAAATGACATGGGTTGGTGAGGATATCTTTTTATTTTTATTTTTTTGTACTCTGTCTATCGTGCCGTCAGTTTCATTAATTCGGCTGATAACAGGCAGTAGATGACACAAATCATAATCTAGGGTTTTTTTTAATTTTTTTTGTTTCTAGCTTGATCCATATCTTCCACTCATGTTGAATTGAATACGAATCACCTGGCATGCCTGTGAGCAGGAGGACAATTCTTCTGCTGCTTCGCTTGGAATGTAGGGAGCCTTCTGAAGAATAAATCTGCTGGTTAACAGGTACTCGAGCGAGGGAGATCCAGTGGGGCGTGACTGGGTTCCGGCAGAGTGTGATGTGTCGATCCGGCCGGGGTGGTTTTGGCACAGTAAAGAGCAGCCGAAATCTGCTGCCGATCTGCTGGAGATATACTACAGCTCAGTGGGGAGGAACTGCTTCCTGATCTTGAACGTCCCCCCCAATTCCTCGGGTTTGATCTCTCGCGAAGACCTCCAGGTGCTCCAAGAGTTCTCCAAGCTCCGGCGCACCATCTTCTCCCAGAACTTGGCCCAAGATGCTGTCGCCACAGCAAGCAGCACCCGAGGTGGCGGCAGTGGTGGTGACCCATCCTTCGGTGCATCCTGTGTTCTGCAGGAAGGGATATTCTCTTACTGGGCACCGGAAGAAGGTGGAGGCAAATGGGAGATCCTGCTGGACTTGCGCAGGCCTGTGCGATTCAATGTGTTCCAGGTGCAGGAGCCGATCCAAATGGGGCAGCGGATTTCTTCATTCCATGTCGATGCCATCATTGATGGAGCTTGGGAGACGATAGCCTACGGTACGACCGTTGGCTACAAGAGGCTGCTGAGGCTCCCTCTAGTGGAGTCTGAGTACCTGAGGCTGGTGATCGATGGTGCTCGAGCGGATCCATTGGTGTCATACATGGGCATCTATCTAGACGAGTTCTCCACAACCCACCATTGGAAAAGGATGAGGATACCTTCAGGCTCCAAGAAGAGTCATCTCCTTCGACAGCCGGCGTCCATGCATGATGGATACCAGGTAGCTTAGTGTAAAAGAGACCCAACACCCTTTGGGTGAAACAGTCCTTTCATGGACTGGTTCTCATGGAAGGAGTTGGTGTCTATGAGAAACAGTCCCTTCATGGAGTGATTCTCATAAAAATGGATAACCTATTTAAGGGCGCCCATTTCAAACAGTTCCTTGCGCACCATTTATCAAGGAAATGGATAACCCATTTAAGGGCCCCTATTTCATCCTATAAAAAAGGCACTTCAGTACCTTTGTAAATTATTAAGTAGTTTTATTTTATTTTCTCTCACTTCTTTTCTAATTTCGGTCCTCTCTTCTCGTATCTCCTCTCTCTCTTATCTCTTAATTTACATTATATTAGATTTTTCAACAACATCTTAATCCATTGTGGAGTCTCCAAATGTGATGCCATTTCTTTCCTCACACTTGTCATAGGACAATTACCTTCTATGGAATTTTTTTTGTCTATTATCAATGACTTTAATCCACCTCTTCTAAATATTCTCACTTATGAGAAGTATAACAGCCGAACTCACACTTCATTGCTTGGGAAATAATTGACTAAATTATTATTTCATGATTCCTATCATCTTTCATATAGCCCTTCTTCCCATTGGTGGCTGGTTACCACATCTACTGCAATCAAGTACTAAGCTACATATATTGCATAATGTGATGTCATCTATTCATGAGTATGTCTATTATATTATGATAATCATTGATAATTTCTTTACAATCGGTCAAATAGTGGATCACCAAAATCTTGTTATGGTGGTTCTTACATGTTTGAGATCGAGTTATGAGGCTTTCATCCCCAACATTACTAATTTCATAAAATCATTCACTTTATAAGATGTCATTAGACATCTTGCTACACATAGATAATAATACCATAACAATGCTCTTTCTTGTAAAGTCTTGAGTATCCTTTAACCAATTTATTATTCTGAGTCATTATCAAAGTGGATGTTGCAGTAAGGGCAGAGGTCATGACAAATGCTTATGTCACTTTATTAGATGTCTTCAATTTATACATTGTGGTCCCAAATGTGTGGGGAGCCCACTGAAGGCTTTGCAACATATATATTTGCATGTCAATAGTGGAATCAGATTTACGAAAGATTGCCTACCAATTGTACTTGAATTTTACAACTTATCTAATTGTCTATGTGATTTCTTATGATGCCATGCTCATATAAAATGCGATAGAATTATCAAGACACTCAACATTGTGGTATTCGAATAGTGACACTACTTACCACATCACTCTCAACTATATTGCCCTCCTTGATCATTTCTAAGTTATATAAGTTTTGAGAAACTACATGTTGGAGATGGTGAAAGTCTGACCATTTCTTCCTGTAGATTCTCAATCCTTAATTCTCCATATTATCTCAAGTTAAACAATATTCTCTATGTTACTCACATCACCCAAAATTTAATCTTAATTCATAACTTTTACTTAAGATACTAATACTTATGAATAATTGAACATTGGGATAATTTTTTCTATGAAAGTACTTTAAGATAACTTCTACTATTTATTTTCACATGGATCAATACTTTTCAAAATTCTAAATGAAAATACGTTCCCTCTAATTTAGTATGTTAGGTTAGGTGACTCAATTTTTTCGATTATATCTAATATTATTAGTAAGTTTAACTTGTCACTCCCTTCAATATGCTTGTGCATTGTATCATTTGTTGAAAAGTCACAAATTACTATCTATTCAATCTTTTTGTAAATAAAAAATATATTTACAATCAATACACTGATCTATGAGGACTTTAACAATGTGCATTTTTTTTTCTCAACGACTTTAACAAGTATATCTAGCTTTTCCCTCTTAAGAGTAATTTGATGTTTTGGATTCTTCTCTCTAATTTTAATGTTTTGTTTAACACATCTTATTTATGATATTCTGGCCCTCTAATTTGATTGTGTTGAATACCAAGTACTTTGTCGTCATTTTAATAGCTTGTTGCTCGACACCCTATTTTATGTCTATAAACACTAACATATAATAGTACACTAGAATGAAAACATTGGGACTATTTAATCTTCTATCTACTAATTTCATACCATGTCATTTTTCATATGAGTCCATCTCAACTATTATACACTTGATTACATTTATTTAACACACTTATGAGCCATTAATATAAAATTATAGGTTTCTATATTATCTTTATTATATGGTAAATGGTTATATTGTTAAAGCTTAAAGGTATTTTGGAAAAGAATCTCTAGGGTTTATTCTTGTTTAAGGAACTTAGAAGGTGAGAGAAGGGTTCAAGCGATTGCCTAGTATTCTCTCCTCTATCCTTCATGACAAAGGTCCTCCATCCTTTGTTTATATTTCTAAATATGGTATCAAAGCATAAAGGTTTCGGCCCTTCTTTGGTGCATCCACAAGTTTATGTTAGTGTCACTATTTTCTATGCCAACACTTCAAGGTTGTCTTCTCTTTGGCACCTTATCCCTCTTATGACGAGGTCTTTCACTGTTAAGGTAGTTCTACAATGAAAAATCATTGATCTTGCTTTATCTCATGTTTTCTTGAAAGATCTTATGCTTCTTATGCCATCTTGTGTTTTCATGATGAGGTTTCACATTGTATCTAGAGTCTTGGTGGCAAGGTACTCTTTTTGTCATGTTGTTGCCACCAACATTTGTCTACCACACAAAGAGAGCCAGCAACCACTATCATCACTATCGTTGCCTTAGCCACAATCATGTAGCTGTACCTCCACCTTATCTTTGTTGTTGCACAATCGTCATGCCACCATCTTCAACAACTTATGCTGTCCACACAACTAGGTACTATTCCATGACATGGTAGAGGGATCTAAGCCTACTCCTATCCAAGCTATTGTACAAGAATTTTCAATTATAGTACAAAGCTATATGATGATAAATGAAAAATTGAATAAGAATAACTATAATTAGTATAATATATTAGTAAAAATCTACTTTAAAGGTTAATATATAATCAAACATTTGTTTGAAGATGCATTGTCTAATCATGCACAATGGGAACAAATTGATGTAATCCTCTACAATCTACTATGGAGTTCTATAGAAATACATATTACTGATTTTGGTGACTAATCTAGATACATTTTGTCTAGGGGATCATCTTATCTTGATGTTTTCTAATAAAATCTTACAAATCTATGATATGATTGTATAATATTATTGATTGAAATAAGGTGAAACAAACCTAAGTAGATATTTTGATGAGATTATTCACCTTTCTCAAAGTCTTCATATTTTCCTTCACTTATCTAGTGATCTTCAATGTAACGATGTTTCTATCTAGGGGAGTTAAATCCAATCTAATATTGTCATTGTTTGAGTTAACATTGCTCTTGTATACGAGAGTTGTACTTAGTACAATGGTACCTCTATTTAAGATAGTGCCACATGTTTGGGGGAGTTGTATCTAGTATAATAATCTTGTAATTTGAGGTAATATTACTCTTATTTTGAGGGAGTATATTCTATTGGGTAAAATGTGGCTAGGTGAAGTATCAAAAGGGGGGGAGGAGGGGAGAGGAAGAAGAATTAATTTCCTACATTTTTTATTATATTATATTTATCTATATGTGTATGTATATGACACATACTTTAACACAATCTCTTAGATCTATTTTGAAAATTAGACAATTCATGAAAATTAAGGAGCATTTGAAAAATTCATAGATTTATTTTGAATTTAACAATGGATGTTAATATGACTCTAATAATAGATGTTCTTTGAAATGAATCAAGAATATAATGATTTTTATGATCATAAGATTGTTCTTAGTTTTGACTTGTACTTCTTTTAAGATCCATCCAAATTAATTTTTTTTTTATATTTTTAATTTTGAATGAAATAGTGAAAAAATTTTCTAACTTTAGATGCAATGATCTTCTACCATGCATAAAAATCAATAAATTCGAAAAAAAAAATTAAGAACTATTAGCATCCTTCAGTATGCTCTAGTCCTTGCCTTGCTACTCTTTGTTCTTTTTTTTTTTTTAAATTCTACAAAAAGAAAATAAAACAAGAGTTTTTTTTGTACTCTAAGAGAAAAATAGAAAAATATCAAATATTATGTAATACATCTTCGACAACAGTGTCAAAATGTGATGTGATTTAGTCATTGTATAATAAATCATGTAAATTTAAAAATTATAAAACTAGAAAATACTAATTTTTAGATATTTAAAAATATTTTTGAAAAAGCATATCAATTATAATTCAGTAAAAGTTTAAAAAATAGTGAGAATTTTCAAAATCAATCACAAGGATGTAATATAGTACTAGATAAGTTTTCAAAAAAACTCTAAAAAATATGATTTTTTATAATTTTTGGATAGTAAATATAATTGAAATATATTTAAAATTCATGAAAAAAAATAAAGTGCGAACGTCAAGATGACGTCATCACTTGGTGAATGCGAATTAGGTGAAAACAAAGTTTCACCTGACTATTATTACATAAATAATTATAGATAATTTAATTGATCAAATTAAGATTTATAAAAACTAAAATAATTATATTTTAATAAAAAAATATTTAGTAAATTTAAATCACATAAATTATCACTAAATAAAGTGAAAATTAAGTTGAAAGTAAACAAACAAAGTTTTGACGTCATGGTGGCGATGCATTAACCATACACTAGAATTCTAAACGTTCGAGAGTATTATTGTGTAGTGTCCATGGCTTTGAAGGCTCATTTTAGATAAAGACGATGAGGACAATCTCTATATTTAGTTACGAAGTTCAGAAGTTGATGAAATAGGTCATCAAATCATCTTCGATGGTTGTCACTCGACAGAGCGAAAAAATGATAACTTTGTGACTCTCTAATGACTGTCACATGATGAAGATGAGTTAGATGAAGATGAAGTATGTGTCAAGGAGCTTCATCCTTAGGTATATGCAACAAGATGAGGTTCTTTATCACATCTAGTACGTTTTAGTAGGTGGTGACTTATCTCTCGACGGATCGTCATCTTCCTGATGATGGCTTATTCGTCAATTAATCAAAGATAATTTACTCAATATATTTATTATATTTTTTTATTACATATTATTCAATAATATTAGTAATAATACTCTGCGAATCATGTTGACAAGATTTTCATCATTAATCTAAGGATTCTAGTGACTTAATCCTTCACCAACAATATATAAAAAAGTCACAATTTAAATAAATAAATATATTAGTTTTGGATCTTAGAGGATTTGAACCTACGTCGATCGCCCACCTATATGAGAGAGATTAGAATAAGTACTCTAATATTTTTATAAAGTGACATCATCATGATATATTTTTGTTATAAATAAGAAGTAGTGTAGGTATTAAAATCTTCGAAGCCTTTTTGAAGAAAGTGTGACACAAGTTTAGTCTCATATCAATTATACGCAAACGTTTTAGACAAATATATAGTAATATCTCATTTTCAAGTGATGAGTTTCTTTTTTTCACATGTAAGACTACTTTTGCCTCACAACTAGTTGGCCAATAGTGATGTGGAAGGAGAGTGGTGCGCACGTGTCCCCATCGGTCTATAGTTGCTTGAGCCCTCACTTGTGGCTCTTCTTTGACTATATTTCAAACTTACTTACAGGTTCGGCTAGTTGACGAGTCTTCTCTTTTTTCTTTTTTTTTTTTCTTCTTCTTCATTTATCTCAAACGTAGGATTATAAAAAATATATAAAGTCACATAAATTCAAATAATTAATCAAAAAATCACATTAGTTAATTGAAAATTACTTTTCACAATTTGACATAAATATAAGTTTATTTATCATGAATTAAAGCTAACATTGTATTATTTATTAATTATTAACTTATGATAATGAAGTCTTATCAAAACTTGTATTAAAAGAGTTTCTCAATACCTTTGTAAATTAACAAATCAATGAGTTTTATCTTTCTTTCTCTCACTCTGATCACTTTATTCTTAACTTTCTCTTATCTCATCTCTTTTTTCTTTCTTGCTACCTTCACCACCCATAGAATGACACTTCCGTGACCAAACATGAAGAAAAGTACAAAAAAAATTCAATTATCTTCTTCAAAAATATTTTTAAACCCATAAGTTTATTTTTTTACATTTTTTGTGTTGATTAAATATAAATCATACATAATTTCCAAGGATCGGTGAGTTCACTTTATCAAAGGGTGTGAGATAAGGAGCATGATCAAATGGCCCATCCGGTTGACTTGTGAGAAAGCCCAACTGTAAATGGCTATCCGGGTCATCCGAAGACCCAAGTTAACTTACTGAACTGTAGTCCATATCAGCAGGTGACACGCACACGCCCATGGTGAGGCCCACCGCTGTCCTCTGCCGCCGCTGCTGACGCTCTTCCCAACCACCCCTGCTTCTCCCCGCATCACTTGGCGTCGCTTCCTCCACGCTTTCCGATCCTCGGCATCTCCCCTTTTATCTCCTCACTGTCCTTCCTTAGCCTCCGAGTCCGAGGAGTGTGGTGAGGCATATCCTAATCTCAAGCTCCTTCCCTCCTCTCCGGTGGGTTCAAGGAATGGAGATGGCGGCGGTGGCGAAGGGTCTCCCTCTGATCCGGCCGAGTACCTGCTTCGCCTCTCCGCTCCTGCTGCCGTCTCATTCTTCCGCTTCGAGGGCTTCCCCGCCATTTTTCTCCGCCTCCCCCGCTTCCGTAGTTAGGCAGCTCCGCCTCCGCTGCCGCCCGGGGAGGGAATCCGACGCCGTGGAGAGGGCGCCCGATTGTGCGCTAAACGAGGTGGATGACGAGGGGAGTAATGGGGATACAGTTATGTACTCTATCTCCCCCTTGCCCCTGCTGTTCGCCGCTGCGCTTCCTGGAGGTGAGGGGATTAGATTTTCGTCAGAGGTGTTCTATGTTAGGCCCCAGATCTGCCTTCCCATCTTTATCATCTCCCTTCCTGGAGATGATGCTCAGTTGACCATAACTGGGGTGTTCTTACATCTGTTAACCTAATTGTTTTATATTCGATGCTCCAGATATTGTCGAGGTTCTATCAAATTTCTGCGAGATAGTTGTCCAAAAAAAATCTTATTCCGCAAGTCAATGGGTATAACTTTTCTTCCTAATTTCTTGATCAATGCCTAAAAAGGTTTGATTTCACTAGTCATCGGATATAATTTTTCTTCCTAACAACTTGAGGAAAGCCCAAAAAAAATCTTATTCCACTCGTCACTGGGTTTACTTTTTCTTCCTAATTACTTGGGCAATGTCTAAAAAAAAAGTAAAAATTAGTCGCCTAGTCAACGGGTATAACTTCTCTTCCTACTTTCCTGGAATATCATAACCTCTGAAATCTATGCTTATGTGTAAATCATTTGCTCTGTGCATGCTCCGACAGCCTCAACGATCAGATCAGTCTTTGGGCCCTTTGTTGAGCTCGTGAAGTCATGGGATCTTCCAGGCTGGCTTGTGCATTGGGGGCATCCGGCGAACATGGTGAGCTCCACAGCAACGAACAGTCTCGCATGAGCCAGATTAGGAAAATTCTTCTTCAATGCATCTTGTTCTTCGAGGACTCTCTATCTTTCCAAAATCGTCAATTTTCCAGTTTTCTTGGTTCTCAGGCCGTCGTACTCTTTGCCATGGGAGGATATGGAACCTATCTGGGTTTCCGGATTCGTTTTTCAGGTGACGTGGTAAATCCTCTCTGCCTCCCAACTCTGATAACTTCTTCATATCATTTTATGCTGTATATACGTGTCTCCCTTATTTCTCAAATTTTTATATATTTATATATCGGATTTTTCTTCAAGAATAGCTCCAGTTTTTTTCACCTATTTCCTTTCAAGGGCTAACCTGGTTTCTGTTGGCTGAAGGAGGAGAAAGCCAAGGCCAAAGACCTGCACCCAAAGCTTCTTGCGACCATGTTCGTCTTCTTCGCTGTTGGAGCCACCGGTGGGGTGACATCACTGCTCACTTCTGACAAACCCATTCTGGAGAGGTGAAAGAAATTCACTGGGTCCCTAGCTGGGTCCTATCTTTTATTTTTTATCTTTGAAAAAAAATGAATTTGTTGAAGGAAATATACTAATTTTCTTCTTCTGTTCCTATTTCCGACGTGGCAGCCCTCATGCCATCACAGGGGCCATTGGTTTGGCTCTTCTGACCATCCAGGCCGTCCTGCCATCCTTATTCGAGGTACATGAAACTAGCACATGTTATGATTTACACGTGGTCGAACCATGTTATTAAAAAAATAGTTTTTTTTAATAAACAGAAACCTTTAATTCGAAGAAATTTAGATGAAAGTGAGCAGATAAGACCTGATTTGATGTCTTCTTCCTCTTTTTTCTAGGGAAACCCTGGGCTGAGGAACGTGCATGGGCTCTTGGGTAGCAGCATCATGGCTCTGTTTCTGGTTCATGCTGCCTTTGGGCTCCAGCTTGGTCTGAGTTCTTGACCCTATGAGCTTCTGTTAATGGCCGTTCTTTGACAGAATCAGTGATGATTTGGCTCTGTAGACCGAAAATTATGAGAAATATGGTGCATATTCTCGAAGAGATAGAGGCCTTGGCATCTTTCTGTGAACTCTGCAGCTCTAGGAAACTAGCACCTTTTTTCCAGCGTCCTGAGAGAGAAAAATGCCGGAGAAAATTGCGATGTAGCTGTTTTATGGCACATTTCACAAAATCATTAAATGCTTCAATTTTACATCCGGATCAATAAAATCGAGATACGTGCTCATAGTCGTAATTTATTTTATAGCGAGTACAATTATATAAATGTGTGATGTCACCAAATTCACCTATAAATTTTTAATTCTAGTTTATGCCCCAGATTTCATTGACGATGGTGCAATCTCCGTTCTTGAGGGGCTCAGTCAAGATATAGAGAGTAAATAATCGAAGACAAATGAATTTAGGGTTAAGGAATTATGTGCTCAAGTCAAATATATGAGGGGTTTTTCCATAATTAAATTTTTAAAAAGCTGGTCTAGAGCTAATTAACCCTTGTGAGATCGATTCGTGCTTTCCTACCTGATTGCCCAAGTCCAGTTTTGGGCCTAATACTGGGCCGGGCCAACCTTAAGTTTCTATTGGACTTGTTTTGGGGTGGACTACTAATAAACGTCCTGATGGGCCGATCTGATTTTTGGGCCGAATTGGTCCATTGTTACGGCAAAAGTTTAGCCACTTAACAGATCCGATCTGAAGGTCTTTATTTCTTCAACCTCCTGGAGCAGCTGCCGCTTCGCACTGGACCTCGTCCCGCAAATCCCAATCCCCGGTGGTCGCCGATCGCCGATTGGAGTTCGCCGCCGGTCGTCGGATTGTTGGATCCCTACTCCTTTCAGTTCGTCGGTAAGCCCCTGCCGTCCCTCTCTCCGTGTCGTTCTTCTTATTGTATTTCTTTACCTCCTCTATTTTCTCCGAGCTTGTTTCGCCGATCTACGATCTCTCTCGTTTTTGGTATTTTTCTCTATTTCCCTCCGCGCGACAGGAGCTATTCCTGTGGATCTGCTCCTCCTCGTTCATCTCTGCCTCATATCCGCCGAGACCTCCACACTCTCCCCCCGCTTGTTTGTCCCTCTTCCCCTCCCCTTGGCGTAATGTTTACACGCAGTTAACGCCCAAGTCCCTCCTCCTCCCTGTTCATTCCTATGCCCCTATCCCTCTGTGTCTGGCCCGTCGATGGGCTTATCTCCATTCTGCTGCCTGTTTTCTGTCTTGGTTTTTCCTCCTTCTCAACCCTCTTTTTTCTCTCTCACTTCATTCTATTATCCGCACATCACTGCTTCACGTTTTTTATTGCTCCACTTTTGGTGATTCTCCGCCATTGTCATTACTTTCGTTCTATCTTCTGCGGTGAATAAGGTTTTACCTGCGGGAAATCGCGTTTAAATTGTTCAATCGAAATGAATTGTCTACGGAGTTCGTCCTTCTTCAAATTTTCAGAATTAGATTCATTTTTTTGGAATGGAATTCCACTCTTTCACTCAAGGAGTGCGCACAAGTTAGTATCCTAGTTGGAATGTAGATATTTAAACATATTTACAAGGTTTCTATTTTTAAAATTAGTCAATTCCTCAGATTATCTTGATGTCCACAAGTATTAAAAATCGTAAATACTACCTCATACACTTCCCCTGATCTTTCTGGTTATAGAAGTCCTTTTGCGCTACATACTTCAATGTCAGATCCCACATTATTGTCTTTTTGGCGTAGCATCCAAATTAAAATTAAAACTTAGATATTTTTTCCCTTGGTTAAATGACACTGATCTTTGTCGTGTAACTAAATTAAATTTTTGTTTTTAATATCTCGAAGGTAGCATAGTTTTGTTATTATACAACTCAACAGCATTTCTCACTTAGAATTAGCTCGTGTCTATTTCTGTGTTCCACACCACGGCAACCGTCGAGCCATTCTACTGGATCCTTACAGCTACTTGAGTCACCACCTATGGACTGGTTCACAACGATACAGTGAGGTTTCCCATATTTAAAGACGCGCGGAGAGACTGAAGACTCTGAATCTAAATTACTGTTCTCCGTCCTCCATTTTCTGTCAACCTTCAAGCCTCTGCCTTGACCCTATTCATTTAAAGCATTTCTTATCTGTACTTTTCTTCCTGTTAGCAGGGTAGCGGCTTTGACAGTTGTCATGTCTGGAAAAATGGGGATGGGGAACCTCATTGGCTTACTTATTCTTCTCTCGCAGTTCCAACGAAAGAAGATAGCTTCCTTTCCCACATTCGTAGTTCCTACTGTTTGTGCCATTTAGGACTTGCTGTCAAAATTTTCTCAGCATTAGTATGCAAAATCCGTGTTTGTCTACTCTTTTTCATGTAAGAACCAAAATTGTTTCTCTTTTTCATGTACTTATAATGTTGACCGAGGTGCCTAGTTGATGCCATTCTGGTAATGTGCGACGGTTATTGGGTAACATTATAAAGAAATAACCATTCTTTATTTCTAAAGGGATACTCAAGACCAAACCATTACTTGTTGGACATAGCTCTAATATAATTTAAGATACTTCGAGTTCAAAAACCTGATGTTTTCACTTTTCGTCTGATGTTTTTATTCCCATAACTACGAATTTTTTTTTGTTGGCATACTTGTGACAACAGAAGAATGGCAAAGTCCACAAGCAATGATGCTCAGGCCCTCATCCATTCTTTGTATTCAGCTTATACTGCTACACCGACTAAACTCAAGGTATTTTTCTATGTTTTTTAATGGTCCTCTCGTTGCATGCCTATTTTTTTTTCCCATTCCTTTTCTTTCTTCTAACATTGATGTTGCAACTCAGAAAATAATATGTCTATTGATATCTGCAGATTATTGATATCTATGTGATCTTTGCGATCCTCACTGCATTAGTTCAGGTCTGTAATTTCCTTTAATATTCATGTATACTATCAGTTCTCATTTTGGATGTCATTTCATTTCATGTCTGTGGCTACTCAATGTAGTCTTATTACCGTGATAAGTTCACTTTTCTTCTGTCAAAGCAACTTTATATTATTATCATTACGTTTCACACTGCATGTGTATACATGTGCTAAAAAGTCTTTAAATGCTCCGATAGGTATATATGTGATAAGTACGGATTCATTAAAAAAATAGGTTGGAAGAACCGGTCTGATTCCTGTCAAGTTGAATTTTGCAAGGTTTAGAAACCTAAAACCTAAAATCAAGAACTCTAAAATTCCAATTAAGAGATAAGATGCTATCGGAAAACAAGTTTGAAAAGATAGAACACACCTCTCAAGAAAAGGAGGAAAAATATTGCGTAGATGATGTTTTGTTGTGACCTTTGAAGGAAACATGATTAGATCTGACTTTGACAAATAATCATGTTTTGTGTAACGTGATTATCCATTCCCCTTACAATTTATGCACGTTATGAAGAAATCAAAACTGATTTATTTTATGCTGGTAATAAACTCGGTGCCCAGTAAATGACCCTTGAAAACTTGAATCATTTTGAATATTTTTTAAGCATATGCTTGACAGATTTCCACTTTTATCGTCTCGTGACCTGTTCTAATTGTTGCTTGCTTTAAGAATGTAATATTCTTTATTATACTTGGTTGCTAAGTTGGAATTGAAAGCGCCACTGGACTCAGCGATGACCATAACACGCTTCTGTGTTCAATAACCTAGCTCCCTCTTGACAAACCCAAATGCACGATGTAGAAGACTTCGTTGTCTCTTTGGGAAAGGTCCTAGGCTTTAGATCCACAGTATTGCTTATATTCACCCAGAATTCTCCATAATCCTCCAGACTCTGACCAGTCCGACCGATTTCATCCGGTCATCGTTCTGCCCCCTGCCCTTCATCCGGATGAACTCTTCTCTTTCTACCCATCTGCTGCATTTTCCCCTGTTTCCTAAAGTCTAAATATAGAATACAGATTGACATTCCGTGGTCTCACTGTTTCTCCCCTGGAAGATATCCACTGTTCTGAGCCCCGCTTCCTCGTTTGATTTTGCCGCAGATAGTTTACATGGGAGTTGTCGGAACGTTCCCCTTCAACTCGTTCCTCTCGGGGGTGCTGTCTTGTGTCGGCACGGCGGTGCTCGCAGGTAATCCATTGTCGTTCTCAATCCAGTACCCAGCTGAAATTACCCAAATTTGGCAATAACCGGTCGTCGCTCCCACCTTATTGGATCACACAGTCTGCCTCCGCATCCAAGTCAACAAGGAGAACAAAGAATTCAAGGTATAGAACACCTCTGTGATCCCCAAGACCATTAAAAGTCAGCGGTTTTGATGATCCAAGGAGTTAATATTGGAAACAAACCTGCAGGATCTGCCGCCCGAGCGAGCCTTTGCGGACTTCGTTCTCTGCAACCTCGTCCTCCACCTGGTAATCATGAACTTCCTCGGGTAGACGACCCCAGCCCCGGCATAGTTCAAGCTCTTCAATATCACACAGCCTTTGGAGAGAGAGAGAGAGAGAGAGAGAGAGGGGGATGTAACCGGCCGGTATCCTTGGTTTTGAACTAGAACCACAACGTAATATCTGCTGGGTTATAACCCTTATGGAGACGGATCTCACAGCTGATTAGCAGTTTCCTTAGTCAAACAAGCATGTTTCTTTCTGGACGAATGGATAATTTATTTCCGTTATTAGAAAAGCTTATCTTCAGACATAGCTTCCCTAATCGGTAAGTAATAGATGATTTTATTGTCTGGATTAGAGAGAGAGAGAGAGAGAGAGAGAGAGAGAGAGAGAGAGGTTATGATTTTCTTTAGGATTGGATTTGGAGGTGCAAATTTGGAATAAAGCGAGCTTAACTCTCCAGGATTAATGCCAAAATGGGTACTTGATTATTATCGAGTATTAATTTAGTTAATTATCCGTCTTATTTTTTTCCCTTTAAGAAGTTGGTCGTTAGGGCTCCGTAGAATACTATTATTGTTGACTATTAAATATTAGCGATTAAACGGGTTCCTCCGTCGTCTCCTCGGGGCTGTCTGAATTCTATTAAGACGGTGGCCGTTCGTAGCTTCCTCCCGCCAGCGTTCCGGGGAAATGGGCAGTCTGTGTCTTCGTCTAACCCGCCGGGCGTGAGAGCGCCGGCGGCGCGAGGGAGACGGAATGGCGCAGCAGAATCCGCCGCCGCCACCGGTGGCGCTGCCGGCTTCCCCTCTTCCTTACCCTATCCCTCCGTTCGATGACTTCCCCCAGATCCCCACCTTCCTCCTTGAGCAGCCTGTTCCCGACGACAGCAGCCCTAGCTTCACCCACTCCAATCCCTACTCCGTCCATCACCACCTCAACCCTAACCTCCCCCTGCTCGTCCCCTTCCCTCAGAAGCGGAAGCGCACCGGCGTTCGCCGCCGTCCCGCGGCTCCTCCGCTGCCGCCGCAGCTTCCCAATCTGGTCTCTCCTCCTGCTTCGGCGCTGCAATCCCAGTCCCTGGGACCCAACCGGGAGACGGACATCTCCGAGGAGATCATCGTGATAAACAAGGAGGCGACAGGGGAGGCCCTCATCGCCCTCTCTGCAGGGTTCCCTGCGGACTCTCTGACCGAGGAGGAGATCGACGCAGGCGTCGTCGCCGCCATCGGTGGGATCGAGCAGGTGAACTACATCCTGATCCGTAACCACATCTTAGCGCGATGGCGGATGAATGTCTCCGGTTGGCTCACCAAGGAAACCTTCGTCAACCTAATCCCGCCACACTGCCACTCCCTCCTGAACTCGGCCTACAATTTCCTGGTGGCGCACGGCTACGTGAACTTCGGGGTCGCTCAGGCCATCAAGGAGAAGATCCCTCCTGAGCCTAGCCAGCCGAGCGTGGTGATTGTGGGCGCTGGTCTAGCGGGACTGGCAGCCGCAAGGCAGCTGCTACGCTTTGGATTCCGAGTGGTGATCTTGGAAGGCAGGAAGAGATGCGGTGGCAGAGTCTACACCAAGAAGATGGAGGGATCCAACAAATCTGCTGCCGCAGACCTGGGAGGGAGCGTCTTGACGGGCACCTTGGGGAATCCTCTCGGGATCATAGCCAGGCAATTGGGTTCTTCGATGCACAAGGTTAGGGACAAGTGCCCCCTCTACAGGCCCGACGGCAGCCCCGTCGATCCAGACACGGACATGAAGGTGGAGAACGCATTCAATCGTCTTCTGGACAAGGCCAGCAGATTGAGGCAGCTGATGGGCGAGGTCTCCATGGATGTATCCCTCGGCGCTGCTCTGGAGACCTTCAGAGAAGTCTACGGGGACGCAGTGAACGAGGAGGAGATGAACCTCTTCAACTGGCACCTGGCCAACCTGGAATATGCCAATGCCGGGTTGCTGTCGAAGCTCTCTCTGGCCTTCTGGGACCAGGACGACCCCTACGACATGGGTGGAGATCACTGTTTCCTGCCCGGGGGGAATGGGAGGCTGGTGCAGGCCCTGGCCGAGAATCTTCCTATTTTTTACGAGAAGACAGTCCACACAATCCGCTACGGTCCCGATGGTGTGCAGGTCATTGCCGGGGGCCAAGTATATGAAGGGGACATGGTGCTTTGCACCGTGCCCCTTGGGGTTTTGAAGAGTGGAGCGATCAAATTCGTCCCTGAGCTGCCCCAGAGGAAGCTGGATGGGATAAAGAGGCTGGGGTTTGGCCTGCTGAATAAGGTCGCCATGCTCTTCCCTCGTGTGTTTTGGAGCACAGATCTCGACACCTTTGGCCATCTCTCTGATGACCCGAGTCGGCGCGGCGAGTTCTTCCTGTTCTACAGCTATGCAACTGTGGCCGGCGGACCTCTCCTGATAGCCCTCGTCGCTGGAGAGGCTGCCCACAGCTTTGAGACCATGCCCCCAACCGATGCTGTGACTCTAGTTCTTCAAATCCTCCGGGGTATGTTCTGATACTCTCCTCTTTCCGAAATTCTATGTTTTTCCCTTCATAAAGTTGCTGGGTACATGATCAATTAAATAACCATCACTTTATTGATTGTCATATGAATTTGCTGAGCCAGACGGATATCATTGACTGTTCTCTGAGACTGCGGCCTGGGATACTCTCATCGACTCCATTCAGTCTCTTAACAATCATCATCAAATTATTTTATAGTGGAATGTACTTAAATGAGAAAGGTTTCCTTTGCTTCCTTCACCGTTGATGACCCGTTAGATTAATCCTTCGTTGAACTGATTCTCACAGGTATCTTCGAACCTCAAGGGATCGATGTGCCCGACCCCATCCAAACTGTCTGCACCAGATGGGGCACTGACTCCTTCAGCCTGGGCTCATATTCTCACGTCGCAGTGGGAGCTTCTGGAGATGACTACGATATACTGGCAGAGACTGTGGGCGACGGGCGACTCTTCTTTGCTGGGGAGGCGACCACGAGGCGGTACCCTGCGACCATGCACGGAGCTTTCATGACCGGGCTAAGAGAGGCCGCTAACATGGCGCACCACGCGAATGCCCGGGCATTGAGATTGAAGGTGGAGAGGAGCCCATCAAAGAACACCCAGCTCTGCGCCTCCTTGCTGGCTGACTTGTTCAGGGAGCCCGATTTAGAATTTGGCGGCTTCTCTGTGATTCTTGATCGGAAGACCAACGATCCCAAGTCAACGGTGATTGTGAGGGTGACCCTTGGTGGCGCCCGGAAAAGGGGCGCCGCCGAAGGGGCCAAGGCCGACCAGCAGCACTCGAATAAGCCCTTATTTCAGCAACTGCAGTCACACTACAACCAACAGCAGCAGATTCATGTTTACACTTTATTGTCCCGCCAGCAAGCTCTCGACTTGAGGGAGGTGAGAGGGGGGGACGAGATGAGGTTGCATTATCTCTGTGAGAAGCTTGGGGTGAAGCTAGTCGGTAGAAAGGGCTTGGGATCCGTTGCCGACTCTGTCATCGCCTCAATCAAGACTGAGAGGGGCAATCGGAGATCTGGGTCTTCTTCCCTGTCGCTGAAGATTGGTGGGTAATTATGGAAACAGAATGAAGATGGATTTCGGTCCCAAGAATCGAGTCTTTTCAGATAACCATTTCCTTTGCATAGAAGCTCATTTATATATATATATATATATGGAAAAAATCGTAGTTTTCATAGGATCATAGGTGATGGGTAGGCGGTTGTCGATATTTATGCAAGATATAAATTGTTTTCAAATACATTACCAAAGTTACGCAGGCTAATATTTCCATGGAATGCCAATGAATGCGAGAACGTAGATGCATCTCCGTCAATGAAAGCTCACATTTTCACAGCTCCTTTTTGGTTTTGCCAATATCATCGTAGAACTTCCTTTAAAGTCTACTCCAACAGGATGCTTCTCTTCTATCTCCGTAAATCATTTTCATTTTAGTTATTCATTAGGATTTAGTCAAGATTATACAAAAATGATTAGCCACGTCACCAGTAATCCCGGCAAGAACACGATCCTTCCCTCATATGGTGGAATCTTATCCTGTCCCTCACGATGATCTCCCTCCCGTAGGCCTTGGAGACGATCTTGAATGACGAATGACAGTCATTACATAATCTGAGATTCTTGAAGATGCGTATAGCCGCCCCTGGATCCACAGTGATGAGCCCGAACGCCAGGGCCAGCTTCTCGCTGTGATGCAGCACTGCAACCTCCTTCTCCTCCTCGTCTATGTCGAATGAGACCCTCTCTGTGGAGGGGACGTAGCCGGCCGACTTCAACTGGGCGGCCATCTCCTCCAGCTTCCGGTAGATCTCTCTGGTCTGGGGATGGGAGCCGTCGTTAGCTAGAAACTGGTTCAGAGAACCGTTCCACTCAATGTAGCTCCAGCCAGCAGGCTTCTTCTGGTTGCCATTTCTGCCGATCAATCTCCTTACATTCGTTGAATCCTCCCATCTCTGGGCGTCCGCCAGCATTCCCGACAGGAGAACGCACGATCCCCCATCCGGGCCGAGCAGAAGAAATCGCCTAGCTGCGGCCTCTCCGGTGCTGATGTCGCCATGGGTTCTGCAAGCAGCGAGGAGAGAATGCCAGATGACGGAGTTTGGCTCAATGGGCATCTCGTCGATGAATCCAAAAGCCTCCTTCAATAGCCCGCCTCTGCCGAGAAGATCCACCATGCAGCCATAGTGTTCCATCTGAGGTCTGATTCCGTGGTCCGTCGGCATGGAGTTGAAGATCTTCTTCCCCTCTTCGATCAGTCCACTGTGGCTGCAAGCGCAGAGCACCGCCGTGAATGTGATCTCGTCGGGGTTCAGATTCAATGGAGCCATCTCTCTGAACGTCGCCAGAGCTTCCACGCCGAGCCCGTGTTGGGCGAGGCCGGAGATCATGGCATTGAACAGCGGCACCGTCTTCGATTTCCCGTCGACTCCTCGGAATACATCGGTAGCCGCTGCTACGAGCCCGCATTTGGCGTAGGCGTCGACGATGGCCGTGGCGAGGACCAGGTTGCGCCTTGGAGGAGACTTCTTCTCTGCGCACCGGTGAAGCCGCTTGACCATCTCGACGGCGCCGGCCTGCGCGCACGCCGACAGCGCCACAGAGACGGTCACCTCGTCGGGTTCCGCCCCAGATGCCTCCATTTCAAGGAAGAGCTCCAGCGCCTCCCTGTGCCGGCCCGCCCGTGAATAGCCGCCGATGATGGCGGTCCAAGCTATCGAATCTTTCACGGGCATATCGTCAAACAGCTTTCGAGCGATCTCTACTTCGCCGCGGCCTGCGTAGCCAGTTATCATGCTGCTAATCGCCGGAGCGGAGATTTCACGCGGCCGGAGGGCGGCGAAGGCCCGCTTCGCAGCCTTCATTACCCCGCATTTGGCGTACATGTCGACGAGCGCGTTCTTCAGCAGAACGCCGGAGACGGGCAAGTTCTTATACATCAACTGATGAATGAATCTCCCGGTAGGGAGATCCGCCATGGACGAGGATAGAGAAAGCAGAGAGACGAACGTGTAGGCATCTGGGAGGATTTCTGATTGGCACATGTCCTTGAAGAGAGACAGGGCTTCCGCCGCTCGGCCGGCCCTGGCGTAGCCGTTAATCACGGTGTTGTACGTGACGGCGTCTCGGTCGGGGATCTTATCGAACAGCTGCCGCGCGCCACTCAGGTCGTCGAAACGGGAGTAGAAGTGAACCAGAGAATTGGCGACGAAGATGTCAGAATCGAACCCAGATTTCACTATGTGGCAGTGAATTCCTAATCCCGTCTCCGGGCTCGGCATCTTCGCGCAGGAGGAGACCAGGAAGGGGAAGGTGAAGTTATTGGGTGAAGACATTGATTTGAAGATGGCGATGGCTTCTGACGGGGGCCCAATCCGGGCATAGCCGCGAATCATCGTGTTGAACAGGAAGACCTCCGGGTAGTCGAGCAGAGAAAATAGGAGGCGGGAGTGGTCGAGACCGAAGGTCGAATTGGAGAGCGCGAAGAAGGTGACGAGCTTGGAGACGATGAACAGGTGGCGGTGGAGACCTCTGGCGACCACCTGCGCGTGAACCTGGAGGGCCTGACCGAGGGACCTGCAGGATCCCAAGAACGCGATGGGCGACGTCGGTGCCATGGAAGACGCTCACACAGAGTCGTCTACGATGATCATCGTTCTCCTCTAGTTCGTCGCCGGAGATGAGATGGCTCATTTCAAGCCCTGCTTTCTTCTCCTAGTCGGTCGAGTTCTACCAGAGGATGTCCTCTGTGAGCATTTGACTGGACCCCGAACGTTAATCATGACGTCATCATACGTCGAACCGGGTTTTCTTAAACCGGAAGTCTACCGGCGCAGGGATGGCGGTGCTCCGAGCCGGGTAAAAGGCCCGCGGTTTCCGGTCCTGGGGAGGTTCTTTCCATCTCTCCTTCCTCGCATCGGCAGTGCTGGGAAGAAGCTGCCCCTTGCTGATCGCGGTCTCGTCTCCTGCGTTTCGGCATGGCGTTTAGTCATCGGATAGCGGCATCCTCCACAATGATCGTCGTTAGCACGCCGAACCAGGATCTCGCTCTCACGAACTTCGCTTTCTGCTCCCCCAGTGATTACCGGACGCTCTCCACCCGTGGATCGGGTCTCGTTTTTGCACTTGTGGGGGATTCCGTGGTGCTTTCGCTTAGATATCCTTTTTCCTACTATTGCTTTTCTTGGCTCGTTTAATACCAGTCAGAAGCACTTTTAAATTGCTGCCGTTATTCGAGTGATGCTGGATCTGTCTTGATCGCACGATCCAATGACGGTTCTTCATGCCTTTCTTAGATAAAATCTTGAGTTTCTTCTCGGTGTCTTCTGTGACAATGGTAACCTAAAAGGAACAATTGCGTCTTCTAATTTAGATATAGCCGGTACGTCATGCCATAGTTCATCCGGCATCATTTCACGGTAAATGAATTAACTTCGTATCTACTAAGAAATGGAAGCTGTGTCTAATGAAGTTGTCAAGTGTTGATACTTTTTGAAACCCTTGTAGATCTCAGTATAAAAATCACACCAGGATCAAAAAATTCTTCCGATGACCAAGGTAATTGGATGTCTTTAGACTTATAATTCAAAAAGGCATGGTTACCTGGCCTGAAAGTCGATCTTGTATTTTGATAATCACCCTAGCATTTAGGAGCTGTTCTCTGGACGTTCTAGAGAGCACTCATTTGTATTCAATGATTTTATTTCCCTATTTGTGTTAATCATAATTTGTTCTGAAAAATACACAATTGTGAAGATGAAGCTGTTCCATGAGTATAATGTGCAATTGGAGGTAATGAAAAATCATAAAACTGGCCGTTAATTATTTCTTTACATGATGTCCGCCCTCAGTTTATTTGCAAATAAAGTAGGATTGTGGTTGCAAGTTCAAAAGAAAGATCTTTAGTCTAAATGGCCAACTTTCAGAGTGTTGCTTAAGACCCTAATTTCTAGTCGTTAGATGTTCATACTTCCTTTTACTGGACATTATGTTACCCTTTACAAAATCATACAGCCCATGATGGCATTCAGGAGGGTCATATTGCCTTAAATGCTCTTCAACGTAGGCATACAAAGGTTTCAACTGGTGATCCGATATCAGTTAGCAGGTATGGCCGATTAACTCTCATAGATTTCGTTGATGTATTCCTACAGGCATTTCTCTATTTTCCCAGATGAATTTATTTTTCTTTTTGGATGCGCATCAGATTCGTTTTGCCTGAGAATTTCAAGCTTGCATTACTTACTTTGGAGTTGGATTTCGCCAAGGCCAAGGGTAACCGAGCTGAGCAGGTCTACTTTTCTCAATATTTATCTTTGATGGATTTCATTTCACTTTATCTGGTTCATGAATTTCTGCATATCAGCTTGGTTCAACGTTCTTCAGATATATTTTTCCCCCTCTCGATCAGTAGGTTTTATCCAGCTATTTTAGAAACTTTTAATCATGGATTTTTACTGACATCATGAAATCTTTCAAATTCTTGTAGCTTGATGCAGTTGTTCTTGCCCAGCAGCTTCGGAGAAGATTCATTGATCAGGTACGTTTATTACTAATGGTGACATCTATCATCCTACATCTCTCCCTTCGACAAAGTAACATATTAATGTTGTTTTGGTAAAAAAAGTGTCATGTATAAGACATAGCCATATTGATCAGCCATATGTTGTTTTGGAGATATGTTCTTTGAGTTATTTTACCTAAATTTAACCTAAGCTTTGAACCATTGGATGCACTTCCCACCACATAGCCATCCCCACTGAGTTGGAAAGTGCCTACTGTTAACCCCCTTAAGCCAAGGAATGACATGTAAAGTATATCCTTACCATTGTGGAATGCCATTTATTTACCTCGCGAATAAGTTTCTTTTTTGTCTCTCTCCGGTTAATCCTGTATAAGACGGATTCTTCCATTCACCTTTTCCTTTCTTGCTGTATGGCCCTCTTCTAACTTGCCTTTATACATTGCTCGTGCTGAATCACACATTTGATCCTCTGCCTATGAAGAACCTTTCAGTTGTAACTGATGGAGTGTTGCATATGCATACTCATGAAATTATTGAATAGTCCATTTTTTAAGCCATTATCTTGAAATATTAGATCAATGTAAACATATATATCTGATAACCTAGATAGGTGTAATTCTAAGTAGGTTTCCGTTTAAAGCCGACTAGCTCAGAGTAAATCAGTCTAATCGGTATTTTCTGGTTAGTTCATTTCTGAAATGAGAAATAATTTGGTCACGCACTTGATCCTGTGGTAACTCATCCATCAGTGGCGAATACATTATCATTGAGTTTCCCGTTTCTTTCCTTTCGATTTCTCCTTTTTACTTATTTTAAATATCAGCGTTTATCATTATCTGATTCAACCCTTATAGTAGTTCTGGAAGTGATTGTTAGTAGCTGATACATTACCACAAATTTAAAAATTCTGTTACCGATACATATTCTTTCATTTTTCTGGTAATGTGGGAAACATAATCATGACTATGAAATTATTTAAAAACCATGTGATTCACTTGTTGCACCGGTCAAGTGGCAGTCTAGATAAAAATATGTTTTATTTATGTATTTCTTGAGTATTATATTGAAGCTCGTTTTCATGTCTATTAGCTGATATACTTTCTAAGATCGTTTCTTCCTCTTGCAGGTTATGACAATTGGACAGAGGGTTACTTTTGAGTATTGTGGAGTGATCTATATTTTCACAGTAAATCAGGCTTTAGTGGAGGGAGAGGGAGACAAAAAGTCTGGAGCATTAGAAAGAGGAATGATTTCTGAAGAAACTTATATCATTTTTGAAGCTGCTCCAAACTCAGGGATCAAGGTCTGCACTTCTTTTGCTGTTTTCTTTGAAGTGGGGTATTTTGGATGGACTAATTATGTTTAATATAGCACTATATGGTATTTAAAAAAGTCACAACAAGCCCTTCTTCTGTCATTTGTCATTTTCTGATAAGTTGACTTTGCTCGTTGAAGAGCAATCCAAAACCTTTTAATAACTAGTTTCAACGGTTTATAGGCTTTACACAGATTCGCCCAATTTCGCACCAACAAAAGGTGTTGAAACTCAGCTGGGGCATGTGAAAGGCCTCTAACTTTTCTGGAATTGTTTGAACCATTTTTTTGTCTATCATTGTTGTACCTGCTGGAGATTTTAGCATATTTTATGATGTTAAAATTTTCAAACAAGTAAATGGGTATCTGTGCTTGTGATGTTCCATGTAGGTAGTTAATCAACGTGAAGCTGCAAGCAACAATATCTTCAGACAAAAAGAATTCAACCTTCAGAAGTTGGGGATTGGAGGACTTAGTGATGAATTTACAGACATATTTCGAAGAGCATTTGCCTCACGCGTTTTCCCTCCTCATGTCACTAACAAGTAATTTATTTTTGCTGTTTTTCACCATTGCCTTATGTTTTTGTTTCGAAACCAATTCATTATTGTGATATTTTTCTGCCTCTTGTATCCTGCAGGTTGGGTATCAAGCACGTCAAAGGTATGCTACTTTTTGGGCCTCCTGGTACTGGCAAGACTCTTATGGCACGTCAGATTGGGAAACTACTAAATGGAAAAGAGCCAAAGGTAGATGCCATATTTATTGTTTTTTCATGCCTAACTAATCATGTTTGATAGCATTATGTTGCGACTAGAAAGTTTGATTTGTGCTATTAGGTGTTACATGTTCGTTATTTATTTAATGTATCTGCTAATTTTGATTGTGTTATAGTAAAAAATGGACATAATGTAACTCACTGCAGTTCTAGTTTTTGATTACCAGAATTAGTAGAATGCCACTTCTGTTATTTCCATTCTGATTTTTAAAGTTGTCTGCTATTATATGCTACAATCAATTTATACTTGGAGAAAGGTTTAATATTTCGTTGAATCAGGAAATTGGATTGACAGTTATTAGTAGGATGTCACATGTTCTAGGGTTGATTTTCTTTAATTGGTTCTTTTAATCACTCGATATTTGTTCTAACATGATGTCTAACACGTGAACTTGTTTTATTATGTACTGAATCTTAATTTAATTATAATTTCCTGTTGAAACTTTAGTTTATGCGTTGATAACCATGTACGAGTTTCATACATTTTTTTTTTATATTCTATGTTTCTGAATCTATTTATATCTGTTCTTTTGCACAATTTGATTTTGTCTTTGTGAAATTAGAATTTTCTTTGTTAAAATGTTGGAGGTCTAGATGTTGGTTCTGACTTGATCTTTTGTTGATATAGATTGTAAATGGCCCAGAAGTCTTGAGCAAGTTTGTTGGAGAAACAGAGAAAAACGTGCGAGATTTATTTGCTGATGCTGAAAATGACCAAAGGACGAAAGGCATGTAACTTTTCTGTTATAAAATATTTCAGCTGTTTTTGGTTTCTATAAATTCATCAGTCTTACCTTTTTCTGTAGGTGATCAAAGTGAATTGCATGTCATAATTTTTGATGAAATTGATGCCATTTGCAAGGTAAGAAACGTACATTATTTCATTTTTATATGTTTTACCACACTGCTGTCATTATTTAGAATAACGTAATATGTGACATAACGAATCATTTTTTCTTACTATTCCTATTATGCTGATTATCTTTTGCCCATTTCAATTCGTTCATTATTATCTGCTATTTTCTATAGATGTAGCGTATAATTTCTTTGCACATTCAATCCATTCGTGATCCATTTTGGTTTGTGTGATGGCTTTTAGCCTTTGCACTTTCGGCTTAACCTTTACAATCAAGTTTTGTGTCCGAACTGATTATTCAGATTAGTCATTTTATTATTGTCTACCATGAGTACTATCCATTTGTATCTGATTCATCAATGAGTAGTTATGGTGCATCATAATTGGATATATCAGATATTGAGTATTGAGGTGGTGGTTCAATTATTTTTGGAAAAAAGATGAAAGTTCCAGTGTAAAATGTGACTATAATTATGATATGCAATTATAATAATAATACAACTACATAATATAATTATACTATTATTTTAATATATATGATATATTACATATAAATATAACTAGCAGACCACTTCTTTTATTTTTATTCCAAAGTTTGAAAAATGTTAGTTATGAATTTGTAATATTAACTCATCAGAAAATGAAAAGTGTAAGGATTTCAGAGGGAGAATTTGAGGGTAACACCTTTTTCAAGAACACCTGTGATGGAGCACAATCTTTCTCCAGGAGAAAATAAGCCCTCCACCTCTTCCACCAGGATCCTTCATTACTATAGCTATACTGGGATCTTCCAATATTTTTCGGAATATGTGCTGAAAAAATATTTCATTAAAGTTTCAGTGTTTTCTCCTGACAGAGCTCAGAAAGATGAATAATGCAGTTTCGTTGTACTGACTTGATTGTTACTTGATCGCAACTTGGTCAACTCCTAGTCTTTATCTCAAACCTCCGTTATTTTATTTTTTTAAGGGGGTTGGCCAATACATTCGTTTTCATAGGGAGTGCTAAAACTGCTGAAAAGCCTTCTTAAGCTTTGTGAGTTAGCATGAGTCAGACTAACATGGCAGACCATTATGTCCATCTGCTACACGTATGTTTTGATGTAATGAAATGATTTCTTGGCATAATTTGTAAGTGAATACTTAAAATCATTGGATGCTAATTCTAGACATTTATTGGGTGATACAGTGGGAATGTACATATATGACTAAATACATAGGCACGCATGCATTTGTAAAACACATCAGTATGATCATAATGCTGGAGACGTTATATCTTGTGTTTTGTGTCCATCTCTTTCTGATACATGAGTCTTCGTTTGCTATTTCTTGTGTGATCGATTTGTTTTATGCTTGTTTGGCCCCTTCACCTGTGTATTTTTACTATGACTTTGGTGTTATTTTATTTGGTTTCAATGCCTACAAGTGCTAACAAATTCATACTCTGAAATTTTTGAACAGTCAAGAGGATCAACGAGAGATGGTACAGGAGTCCATGATAGCATTGTGAATCAGTTGCTTACAAAGGTGACATTATTGCCTCTAGATTTTTTTCGAGACACTTGATTCATTTTCTGTCATGATTTCCTTTGTTAATTACCAAACCATTGTTCTCTAGATAGATGGTGTTGAATCTTTGAATAATGTGCTGCTTATTGGAATGACCAACCGGAAAGATTTGTTAGATGAAGCGCTATTAAGGTGATTCCTCACTCTGCTGATATTTTTGTCGGTTTCTTGATTAATGGTGCTCTGTATCTGAAGATGACATCATGCTGACTAAATGCTTGTGCATTTAATAGATAATGACACAGTAAAGGGCAGTGTTATGGCCGCCTATTGCTTATTTTGCTGAGAGTTCTAAATGCTCTTTGGTTTTTGGTCAAAACTAAAGTAATAACAATCAAGATGCAAACATATGTAGAGATGTCTTTTGGCTCTTTTTCTTAGTATTTGAAGAACTGAGGATTGCTTAGTTTCTGGAGGTGAGTTAGACAAAGGGATTTAAGGAGTGTGACGCTACAGAAAGACAGTACTGTGGAGGAAGGCTAAATCGTGGGTGCACATATTTGCATTCTTTTTAAATGGCCACTTTACATCCGTTTGCACGTAATTAATGGTCATTCGAGTTTTATGGAGTCACACAGGCACTAGCCATGCAATTTTGGTTATTTTTGTGTCCCAAGGGAAGCTATGAAGGGGAAGGAAATCCCTGTGTTAATATTGTTGTGTAGTTTACCTTGTAACTTAGTTCAAGGTCTGTCCCTCGATAGACCATGTATAGACTTGATTTATATGATCAATATTTGATTTTTAGGTTTTTAACGCATTTCCTTTATTTTCTCTCTGAAGGAGATGCCACTCTTTATTCCATATAGTGGTGTCTAAAGATTTTCCTTTTTTGTCGAAAGTAGAGTGATATCGTATGAATTGAAATTCTATTTTATACGTTTTGTAGGCCTGGACGTTTGGAGGTTCATGTTGAGATCAATCTTCCAGATGAAAATGGTCGTCTTCAAATTCTTCAGATACACACAAATAAAATGAAGGAAAATTCTTTTCTTGCCGCAGATGTGAACCTTCAAGAACTCGGTATGCGTGCATTTCTGAATTCATTATGGGCATTGGCAAGGTTCCAACTGAAATGGGGCCTTTTGCCTATTCCAACTGAAAGGCCGTGTGTACAGCATGAATGTGATGCGTGTTGCCTAAGAGTAACCATCTTGTTTGATATCATGTTGAAGTTGTTGGGCCATCCAACGTAAACTACTTTGTGATGAATGGATTGTAGATTCGTCTACCATAGGAACTCGTTTGTATACATCATGCTCATTATGTAAAAAAAATTGTTAACTTGATAGGACTTCTGAGAAGTGTTAATATACATCATGCTCATTATGTAGGCTGAATGCGTATTTTTAGTCGTATGAATTTGCTGCTTGTTATACTCTATAGGATAATGTTTGTCACCAGTTGTAACACTGAAATTGGGGCTAAACAAGAATGAATGATTCAGGCTTTGTAGCTTATTTTCATTATCAAGGCATAAAAATCATTTATCATTGCATTGGGCTCCAAGTCTGCGGTTAATGTGACTCATCTGAAGAGTTCTTGGATAATATTTGATATCAATGTTCTTCCTTTCATTATACTTGATCTGTAGCTTGTGACAAAATCTTTTATTCTTGTTAGCGGGTGATTATCCACATGTTGTAAGATTCATGCCTGTGTTTTACTGCTTTCTCAATGCTTGATTCTTGACTACAGCTGCTCGGACGAAGAACTATAGTGGAGCTGAATTAGAAGGCGTTGTAAAGAGTGCAGTCTCATTTGCCTTGAACCGGCAGATAAGTATGGATGATCTCACAAAAACATTAGATGAAGAGAGTATCAAAGTCACCATGGATGACTTTCTGCATGCTCTCCAAGAGATTACGCCTGCATTTGGAGCATCTACTGATGACCTTGAGAGATGCAGGTATCTTCATCTCCTTTTCTCCCTCCCCCAAATCAAGCATCTTTTTTCTTTCTAGAAGATGGAAAAACATTGCGGTTTAAGCTACTAGTGATGAGTGCGACCCTGGTCTCCATACAAAGCTGCTGGCATCTTCCCCTTATACTTTTCTCAGTGGCAGGAACCGGAAAAAACATTGGATTCTGATGTTAGAACGGAATTAATTAGTAATCATTTCAAACTCTTGTGATGATAGCTTAATCAATGTTGAAATTGTTAACCGCGTTGCTTAGTTTAGCGAGAGAGCTATGTTCAGCACCAAAACGTTCATTTTGGCTTGCCCCTTGATGCCGGACCTGTTGGTAATAGTAGAAAGCAAGTCGCTCACGACCCCATCTTTCTATTTCGTTCCAAACCCCTTGTTGGCTCTTCAATGTGAAAATAAACCTTCTCTTTGAAAGAGAAACTTCAGTCAGCATGATCATGGGACTGAAGGCAACGCTTTGCATATTTTGTGCCCTTGGGACCAAACATGGCAATAGACAGTAGTCTAGTGTCGTCAGATGGGTCCCTGCCACTGTCAGTAAACATCAAGGCCCTGCAGTCTATATCTCTCTGTGTCCATCTTTTCTCTTTTTGCTGTTATCTTTTTACCCAATTATGAACGAATTACCATGATTTCTCAATCCAGTGAGAATCTACAGCCATGCAAGCTAGCTCACAAGCATTCCCAAGGATTAATGGTGCTGAAGTGTTTTCCTAAGTGCACTTCAGTGATTAGTGGTATCCAATGGGCAAAATTTAGATGCTCATTGTTAAACGCATCCTTGAAATTTCGTTTTATTTTTCTGTCTGCTGATATTCTTGTAGACATTAAAACTGCAATGTCAACCCTGGATCTGTTTACAGGCTGAACGGCATTGTGGAGTGTGGCAAGAGGCACAGACATATTTATGAAAGAGCCATGCTATTGGTGGAACAAGTCAGAGGGAGCAAAGGTAGCCCGCTTCTCACTTGTCTTCTGGAAGGCCCTGCTGGCAGGTAGGCTTCTTGCTTCCTCTTTTATCTCTTATACCTCAGTTAAGAAAAAATCCCCTAAATATCTGTTTTCAACAGTGGTAAGTCTGCTATGGCTGCTACAGTTGGTATTCAGAGTGACTTCCCCTATGTGAAAATTGTAAGCCTCCTTCTGTGTCTATCTATTTTTTTTCTTAAATTAGTTATTATTTCTAACGCTCTCTTACGTGTCAATCTGAACAGATTTCAGCGGAATCCATGATTGGTCTCAGCGAGAGTAGCAAAGCTGCTAGAATAGTCAAGGTTCGTCAAATTTAAGCTGAAATTGGGCATTTATAATTTTTTGTTAAATATTAAAACATTTGGACACACGAAATTGAAAACCTCTCTTTTCTCTTGGGTTTCATTTTCTTCATACCATGGTATCGATCTTCTTCTATTTCTGGTTTCTTTGTTCTTGTGTGCCAGAGTTGGATTATCAAACCTTCTTTGAAACTTTATCTCTATTACGCTCGCAGGTGTTCGAGGATGCTTACAAGTCTCAGTTAAGCATAATCATTCTCGATGACATTGAAAGGTACTCCGCAATAACTGCTTGATCGGTCTGCTGAACTCCTTTTGTCATGATAATCAAGGAGCCATTTAATAGTAAAGGAGTGGGAGAAGCTCATCTAATATTATAATCACTCACGTAAGAAATGGTAGCATGGCACCTACCTAAGGCCTTGGCCAGATGGAATTAAACATCCCTTCTGTTGGAAACAGAACTAGTGCACTCAAAATGGATATTTATTGAAACCACCCGCGGTGAGATTCTTGCTTTCTAGAGGAAACATGGAAAGTTATAGGCTCATATGTGCTATACGATAACACTATATCGACAAAAATCGCTTGGAGTGATCTTGCTCATATTTGCCTTGGGAGAGAGTTAGATGATGCTTTATGACGAGAATTTCCTATGCTTGCATTCCTTTTTATTGTTCGTCCCTTTATCTTTATTCTTGCTTGGAAGTAATGGCGGTTCATGTATCGGTTCAGGTTATTGGAATATGTACCCATTGGTCCTCGGTTTTCAAATATTATTTCCCAAACTCTGATGGTTCTTCTCAAACGAATTCCCCCAAAGGTCTGCATATAATTGGCATTTATGTTCTAAAGCTTTATCAATCCAATCCCGTACGATATGACAATACCTTTGTTTTTTTCAGGGAAAAAACCTCCTTGTAATCGGTACAACGAGTGAGTTGGCATTTTTGGAGTCCCTTGGCGTCTGTGATGCTTTCTCTGTCGTATATAACGTTCCTGTGTTGAAAGGAGAAGATGCCAAAAAGGTAGAACCGGTTGAACCGAGCATTCTTTGTTCTGTACTTGTTACTATGAGGCCCCATCTCTCCGTAGGGTTTGCATTACTACATAATTACCATCTTAATATTACATAATGGCGGAATATCAATATTTCTATAAATAACTAGATAGTTTAGTGAGGAAAGTTTGGGATTTGAGGGACCCTTTTGACAAGCATAAAGAAAATACATGAGTTCGGAACTCTTCCCCCATTCACAAACAAGATTACTATTCGCTTTCGATCATTCTGCTCCCAAAGACACGCCCTCGAAGGGATGGGCATACAGGACTTGATGTTTCCAAGTTTTCTACTCAGATCTGTTTAGTGGTTATTAATCATCTTTCTTTTTTCGGCTGAATATAAGTCTTTGATCGTCGAGCCCTACAGTTTACTGAATCAAGTAGTCATTATGTGTCTACATTTCGACATTAATTGTCCTAAAATGGAATCCATGCCTTCAACTTAGTTTATTTTTGGTTGGCGAGGTGCTTCCCCTATCATAATGCTACTGTCTTGAAACTTTTTCGCCGATTAATCTCCATTATTTTTATTTTCTCGTCAGGTTTTGCAAGGGCTCAACGTGTTTCATGAAGATGATATTGATGCGGCAGCTGAAGCACTAAATGATGTAAGTTTTGTCCTCTTGATGACGCTTTAAAAGGGACCGAGCCACACCATGACCAATCCTTGAAGACTCGTGCCGTAGATCTTGTTAAAGTTTTTTTTCTTAGCATTTAATCGTGTGAGAGAATGAATCGATGGCATCCTTTCTCTTGAACATTTATTTAATCAATAAATAAATAAATTGTTAATCAGACCACTGGAGCAATTTACTGACCCCTGTTTCTGTTATGCCGTGCCAGATGCCACTGAAGAAGCTGTACATGCTGGTGGAGATGGCTGCTCAAGGGGAGAAAGGGGGGAGCTCGGAGGACATCTACTCGGGTCTGGCGAAGATCAACCTCAACCATTTCTTCGATTGCCTGAGTGACGTCGCCCCTCTATACCACTGATGCCTCTTCTTCTCTCTCGCGCCGATTAGCACATCCGCGTGCCCCTTCTCTACATTTTCTCTCTCTCTCTTTCTTTCTTTTCCTAGACATGATAGCAACACCATGCGCCTTTTCTTGCTTATTTTGTTGAAACACGAAAAAAAAGAGAGCTCCTTTTTGTTGTTCTCCTTTCGTATATTCCGAGTTCGTGATGTTATTCGGACCCCACTCATTCTATGAAAAGAGCGCTCTCTTTCTCTCTCTCTCTCTCTCTCTCTCTCTCTCTATATATATATATATATATATATATATATATATAGTTCTTGCATAGATAGATACTCCGTGGTGGCTTGAACAACGTGTTCTTGCATAGATAGGGGACGCTGTCATGTGCAAGGTGAAAGATAATGATGAAGCGAAGCACCATCTTTTCAGTATACGCGCAGTGTACACCACGACTTTGGAGGAGAACAAACCAACCAACGGGGGTGGGTATCTATCTATCCTCGGGAATCCCCCAGTCCAGCTCCTGGGAGGCCTCAGACGGCATTCATATGGCGGTGGACAGCTCCTGGGCGGAGGCGGCCTTCGAAGCCCAGCCCCCCGCGAGCTGGCCCTGCTGCATCCACCTCCTCAGCATCTCCAGCGAGGCCGCCGGCTGATCCATCGGCACCATGTGGCCCGCGTCGTGCACCTGCGAGACGCACGGACGACTGAGCAGAGTTCCCCACAGCTTACGGAATCGTCGTGTAGATGGGGGAGGAGAAGAAGAGAAAGGAGACCACCTTCAAGAAGCTGAGGGGCCCGTGGGTCTTCAGCGAGCCCGCTTCCGCGCCGTCCACTATGAAGGGCACTGAAGAAGACGAGGCAAAGCCTTCCTGACCGGACCACTCCATGGAGTGGACCCACCTCGAGTTCCCTGCTCAAACGAAGAACACGGTTTGAGATCAGAGCTCGTCATCTAAATGGCAAGCTCGAGCTCTCCGACAGGTAAGTCATCACTCCCCAATAAAGACGAAAAAGCCCGGAAAGGTAATGTATAAGACTTAGTAGATGAAATGGAGCAGCTTACCTAGCCAATTGCATATCAGATCATACTCTCCGGCGTAGATAAGAAGCTGTATACCATCTTCAAGAAGAGCTGGAATACCGACTTCCAGGTTTCTCATCCAGTCGGTGATCAAGGCTTCATAAACCGTAGGGCTACAGGACACAAAATCTAACTCCCCGACACCGAGGGCGTTTTTGACAGTATTCTGGTTTAGAAATTTCTCCATGTTCGAGAAATCATAGCAGAGACTCCCCTCGCACTGCTTCCTTATGTCGTAGTACTGCAATAAATCGCATGGCTATAGTCAGAGAAGCGCATTAGATATATGTGTGTGTGTGTGTGTGTGTGTGTGTGTGTGTGTGAGAGAGAGAGAGAGAGAGAGAGAGAGAGAGAGAGAGAGAGAGAGAGAGAGAACAGAATCGAACTCAACAGTAAGATATCAATGGTGATTACATTTATCTTTCCAGTAACTCTTAAAATTGAGCTAAATATTGTGTTGCAGACAATGTATGAAGCATAGCAAGCCACGGACCCTCCGGTTCCTGAGAAAAACAATGAGAGCGTTTGTAGTCAGCTTAGGTTCCATATATAAAAAAGATGCAATATGATCGCATAATTTTCTAAAGAAGGTCGCTTGTAACTCAAAATGCCATTGACAGCTGACTTGAGTAAAGTTTTTTCACTATGAAGACGAATATTACTAAAAAGTAAAGGAAATATACCACAAAGCTTTATTGCGAGTTCACAGGCTGGTAAGAACTTGTTGATGCGCTTGTAGTCAGCTTGGTTAATTATTCCCATTTCTAACGCATAATCTGTGTACGCTTGGTACTGGATTGCAGGGTCAGTAAGTCCATTGCCAATAGCAAAACCCTGCAAGGCCATTCCTCAAGGAATTAGAAAATAAATCAGTCAACCAGATGTAAAGCCGTTGGCTGGAACAAATAGACGCGTACCTTCAAGTTAATGTGAATGCCTTCGTTAACTTTGTTTCCTTGGTGAATCCTGCTTGCAAATGCGGGAATGTAGTGCCCGGCATAAGATTCTCCAGTTATATAGAAATCATTCTTCGCATATTCAGGGTGCTCAGCGAAAAATGCCTGGAATTATCGCAGAGAAGTTGGTGATAACATCAGATAGTTTGTTCAAAAGTCTTAAAACTACAAGAAAACGAAAATAAGGATCATGAATGATGCAGCATTTAAAAGAAGCCTTAAAAGGCAACAACGTTCAGAACCGCGCCACTAAAAACCTCAGAAAATCAGCTGCATTTCAGCAGGCGATTTGAGCAGATCCTTCGGGCGTTTTTTTACTGGTTTCATTTCGTTAGATCCATCATCAGTATCATCATCGAGAAAACAACACGGGAAAAAATTGTCTCAAAGCTGCCTTGTGCGCACAAGAAGGAGAAGAGCATGTGAATTGATTGAAAAATAAAAACAACACTTATACCTTCCAGTATATTATACTCGAGGAGATAACGTATTTCTAGGATGACAGATTGTGTTTACATGATTTGACCTCCTCATGTCACCAAAGAAAGGCAAGACAACAAAAGAAAAGCACATTTTCTTGAACATTAGATAGGAACTCCTACATCCCTGGACAATATACAGATGTAGGAGAAAGGCATCATTCTTTGATTGATGGCAGGCAATTGATGATGTTGTAGACATCCACGATCAAGCATTAAATGAGTCAGGGTCAGTTCAACTTCCAGAAATAGAAAAAAGAAAAAGGGAAACCAACCTAAAATTATAACATCAGTTCATTACTCGAACAGGAACGAATAAATTGGCACTACACGGTTACGAATAAAACTACTTTTTTGTCTGTCTCAAGTGACCTGTAAAGGCACAACATGGTTACCAGTGAAGAATGGAGAACTTAAGCAATTCAAAAACTGTTGGCGAGGACTAAATTAAGTTTAAAACTTGTGTCACTAACACGCCAGAAATCTTATATTGCATTCTCACATTTTCCTTAATTGCACATGATCAAACTGACCAGAGTATCCAAAGAATGAACCTCAAACGTGCGAGACATTGATTTTTCTTGGCGATTGAAATTATCATAGCATTTCCAACCCTAAGCATCCCATTATAGCGCTGGCTGTATTCATTTCAGTAACGCGTATTTGTTGAATCGGAGATGAGGAATGTTAACCAAATAGTTAGTTTAAAAGATACTGCAAACTTAGCCAAAAATATGCAAGCCCATTAAAACAGCATGCCCAAGGTTGTTTAACACTGAAATATTGAAAATAGAAAATAACCTGTAGAAAATCATATAGATCATCACTGACACCCTTTTCGTCATGACGGATGTCCCGCTTATCAGAGCTGAAACTAAAACCAGTTCCTGTGGGCTGATCAACGTATAGAAGATTTGATATCTGAAAACAAAATGATTCATGACTAAGGTTTGTAAGAGCAAAGAAGTGATCTCCAAACATAGATCATGGTAAGCTTTGCCAAAGTTTTATATTCTTTTCAGCTTATTCATAGGCAGCAAGAATATTTACCAGAAAAAAAACATGAAAAAAATTGTAAATTGAAATAAATTATAAAATATACATATTATACCTTATCCCAACCATAGTCATTCCACAGAAGAGACATGTTATTGGCTATGGAGAATGGCCCATTTTCATAGAAAATAGCCAATTCACTGCTGCATCCTGGTCCTCCAGTCAGCCAAATAACGACAGGATCGTTTTTGTTATTCCTTGACTCGAAGAAAAAGTAGAACATCCTGAAAAAAGTTAAAAATGTATGAAAGACTGCACAAGCTGGCTTGGACTCCCATTCCCTTACTTTTTACCACTATAAATCGATTTTAGACTGTCTGCAGAAACCATATTCTCTATCTTTTGACCCTGTTCTTCTCTTCAAGGGCTCGCTGGAAGATAAGAGTATTCTAATACATGTTTTACTCATGCTGGTATGGGATTCCTCAGGATTGACTTTAAAGGCTGCTTGTTTCTTCCTTTTTGTTAGCAACGATGGAATACATATCCACCGTTAAAAAGATGATGCACAAAAAATAAAAATGAATTGAACTAGGTGATCGGTCACTTAAAGAAAAAAACTCAATCAAATATTATTAGGGTTAGGCAAGGTAAACATAGTCGCCATCCTTTCAGTGAAAGAAAAAAGTTCACAACGAAAGGCGCAAAATATCACAATTCGTTGCTTTGCAGACAGCTGATACACATACGACCAGAACTTGCAGGCTATTTTGAGTTATGTGGAGCCCTAATAATGATTGAATCCACATCCAAGACTCGTGAAAAATGTTAGATTCCTAGGCTTGAGGTTTGAAATAACAACACATAGAAGGTCATGCAAATACTGAACCCAAGTATGGACCAAGTAATGACAGACTCTGCATTACAGCATGTGAAGACTATTCATTGGACAAACAATAACGAAGATCATGGGCGAGATAAAGGAGAGAATCCGTTCGCAAACACTGTGCCCGCCATCAAAAACTTTACCAAACAATGGAAGTGATCGCACATACCTTGGCTCCCCATAGAATTGAGGCAATTGATCAGACGAGCATTACCCGGATCCAAAAGACGGGGCACAAGAAGAAACAGGAAAATCCAGCCTACCTGGCATCGTGAGAGTGCGCAAGCCGGTAGTACCCCGCATGATGGCCAAGGTCCTCGACCGCGACATCTCCAAGACCTCCATTTCTCGTGCCTTCTAGCCCCGGGAACTGGAAACGCCGCTCCACAATCCTCTTCTCATTGTCGTCCTGTAATGTGTCCAATGTGCGCGCGGAAGCATCTCTAGGGAACAGATTAAGCTCTCGAATGAGCCTCTCCGCCTGCGCCTTCGGGAGCCTGACATCGAGGGGAAGCCGGAGGTCGTCGGCGACCGCCGAGGCAGGCAACAACGGGAAACCCAAGAACAAACAGCAGAAGACGATGGCCACCATGCCCAAGTTGAGGTCCCCCATGATCCCCCTCCTCCCAAATAGGGTTCCTACGTCAAGAACCCAACTATTTAAATAGCCCCGTCCTCCTCCCGAAGCCAGTAACCGAATCCCCGGGAACGCAGAGATGGTGAGCGGCCAGAGGCGTTTAAGCGACGCTACTGCAGCGGCTTTCGTCCTCTGCCCATCATCACCTGCAATGGAGGAGGTACCAGAGAAGCTTGCGGTGGAAGGTAAGCTCACCACACGTGAACCGATCCGGACTGGAGGTAGACGCCATGCAATACCCTCCCTGGTGCCGTGTGCCGGTCATCGCTTCCGGTACTCCGCCGGCCCAGATTAAGCATTTGCCGGGACCGGCAGTTGGCAGACCGTGACCGGACGGGTGGTTACGAAAGTTAGATCTGGCAAGTTGACCAACCAATCCGGACCGAATTTAACGGACAAAGCAATATGCATAAGTACTTTTATACCCAAAATATGAGCCCATTAAAAGCCCAATAATGAGCCCAGTTAGAAGCCCCTGCAACTTCAACGAGAGCAGGAGGCAATTCCGATTTTTGCCGAAATAAGACAGCGAAAGGGGAGCTTCATCTTATTCTGCGGGACTAGGAAGAAGGGTGACGGCAGCAAACCACGAAAAATCTAATGAGGAAGAGAGTTGGCCACTCGGTGGGGCCCACTAGAGTCAAACCGTCTTCTGCGTCCTGCTGCGACCAGGAAGATCAGCGAGAGCCGAGGATCAGAGGCCGAGCTGCAATAGGAGACTGCGCCATCTGGGCGTCTCCTCCTCGAAGATGTACGTGAGGTTGGAGACCAACACCCCGCTGCCGCCGACCTGTGAACCACAGAAGAACATCTGAATTTGAAGGCGGAGATTAAAATAAATAAAGAAATAACTTCCCCAGAATCTGTTGACCATCACATCAGTTTATGGTTCCATGGAAGGGCAGAGAGAGAGAGAGAGAGAGAGAGAGAGAGAGAGAGAGAGAGAGAAAGGGGGGATGGGTTTTTACTGCTCTGAGCTGCTGAACTGATTTGTAGAGTTCCTTCCGGGGGACACATATGACAATCGCGTAGTAGTCCACCATCACCTTCCCGTCTCTCTTGCAGAAGACGGGGCTCACTGTTGGGCCCTGCATGCATTTCGGGAAGTGACGGAGATGCATAGATGTCCAAAAATAAGCTTAAAGATTGCTCATTTTCTGGTGGGAAGAAGCGAGAAAATAAGCAAATTAAATTTTAGAAAGGAGACCATGTGAGAACATAGTCGAGAGAGTTTGCTCAAGAAAGATACGCTAACCCATGAAATTGTACAAATGGCCCTATATTTTATCCCAGAAGCAATCTCCTGTGGTTGAGTATGAAGGCTACGATTGTTTTTCACAGATTATTTTCTCCCCTTTTGTTCAGTGGGGAAGATCTTCGACTCTTTGAATGTTTCATTTAATGATTTATAAGTATACATGCTCAAAAAATCTCACTAGAGATTGGCGATCATCCATCTCAACCACCACCATAATCACACAAACGGGTCAAGAGAAGAATCTATGGATCCAACATCACAGCTTTTGAAGAGTTGAGCCTCGGAATTCACTGTTATCCCGTAATTTTTCAGTTTCCTAGGGTGGGTTTCAAGAGTCTTACCTGCAGTCCTGCTAACGACGACTGGCTGAGAATTCTTTCTGCCACTTGTAGAGCACTACTGCCTCTCATGTTCGCTGTAACCTGCAGTTATTCGATGAAACAAGGCGCCATCACCCCCGTGTGACAGAACGAACATGAAAAAGAGAGTACATACTATATCTTTCATACCGTAAACTGCCCGGCAGCCCTAAGATGAGCCTCAAATCGTTCTAGTATCTCATGAGTCGTATCCAGCACACCGTTCCGCTGGATCATGGACTTCTTACTCGCAACTAGAACAGCCTGGAAGTGTAGTTCCCATAGATACAAAGGTAGGTAAAATCAAACGTAACAGCCGACTAGGCTGGTTGTAGGATAGGATCTTGGAAGGGGAAAGGAGTGAGAATTTTTGCCTGGCTCCGTAAGACGATTCCACCTTCGATTTCTTTCAGATTGTTCTCGCGCAAGGTTGTCCCACTGCTTACGAGGTCTAGAATGGCATCGGATATGCCCATCTGAGAAAAACAGGGGGGAGCATTCATGGAAACTCGTTACATTTCACAAAACAAAATGCCAGAGCCTCTTATAAAAGGAGTGACCAAAGGGTAAATTTACCCTCTGCACTCAACAATCATCCTTCTGGATGAAAAATGATTGGGACCTTATCTATGTATATCATGGTTTCCTCCAGGCTCCATAAAAATGGAATCAAATACGACATCATCAGACTTAGAGAACACGAAAGAGGTAAAGACACACTTGCAAGACACAAGTGATTATTTAGAGAACACGTAAAATCACAGGACCATTTCTATGATCACTCGTCAAGTGTAGACAGTTATAGCTATTTTACAAAAAATATATTTTTTTTGTCGCAGATAAGGAGGAAATTGGCCAAGCATGACAAGAGGTCCTCACAACCCAGATATCATGGCCGAGAAGAAGACGAGTCAAAAGGTAAGAAGACAAGTATCCGTAATAAGTTCAAGAAGTTTGCAAGTGGAAAATTATTTCAGCATACACCTCCAATCTTATGGAATGTCTCTTACAAGAGGTGTACGAGCAACTAATGCATCTTGATGACAGAGCGCTCACAGAATTGTGACCCAACCCCTAACAGACGTGATGTCAACAGTCCAAGGTGTGCCGCTAATATATCCATCTAAAACACAAAATAATTATGAAAAAATTATTCAGAAACCTAGAAAAGTTTCAAATTTTTTCCTAGGGAAGCAATGATCACCCGACTTGGAGTTCAGCTACATGAATAGGTTGCCTGGATAAGCTTATCACAACAGTAGTTCTTGTTGCATCTCAACAGAAGAAAAGGACATAAATCTGGATAAGGGAACCTTGACAACTAAAGTATGGCCACATTCCGAAACAAAAATTCAAGAATGATGTCAGATTTGATGATAAAATTATCTAACGATACAAGCAAATAGTAAACGAGAAAGCAAGGAAGAAAATAGGTACCAGGAAAAAATAGTAAATAAGAAATTAGTTGTTCAGTCATATAAGATTTGAAAAGAAACCAATAGAGGATACCATCAGCAACTTGATTTATCTAACGATAATGAGATTCTTACTGCAGGGGCAGCCTCAAGTGCTCCATCAGCAGTCGAGAAACTGACATGCTCCAGGCCGTTATCTTTCATAAATTTAGGTCCAAGCTAGAGGATATCAACCGAGTTACATTAGGAACAAAATAATCAAATTAGTAGAAAAAGAAAAAGGTTGAAGTAATATACATAGGTGAATCCGGTAGCGATTCGTAGAGGCCTGTCTTTGGTCCATTGAGGCATTTTTGCAAGCTCTTCCAGGGAGTTAACGTTTTCAAATATCCCATATTTCGGAATCTGTGTCAGAAATCAACAATATCAGCAATAGTAACGCATCTCAGTAACAAGCCAACTTTTTTTTACCATTTGCGAAATAAAAAACAATTAACCATGCTTCAAAAGCCTTACAGCAATGGACAGACGGCAATCTCCATATTGCAGTTCATCATGAACTAAGACTAAATCTTCGTTATCCTGGCAGGAAAATCCCATAAGTACAGGAAAATGTTAAATCACTCTTTTAAGAAAAATCTGATTCGGAAAAAAAAAGCGAGTTGCATTAACTAGAAATAAGTGGACACTCAAACCAGTTGAGCCACATTTAAACACCAGTGGTGTTAACACAAAACTATGTTTAGATGAGAAACCTTCACACAGAATTATTAATTACAAGAGAAATATTTCACATTTGATGTAATAAAATTTCTCATTGGTCACCGCACCTACCAAACATTTATGTTTATCTGATATCAACCTAACCTTAGATTAATGCAGTATAACGAACCCTATATTCACAGATTGATCTCCACGTTTACAATGCCCATTTCTCCCAAAGCCGCAAGCCATGCAGAGGTGATCATCTGCCCATGGCGTCCCACCCACCTCAACAGAGTTCCGTCCTACCAGAAGGCCCGTGGAGTTTGCCGCAGAAGAAACAACGTGATGCTGGTTCTAGAATCAGTGAGAGAACCTTCAGAATAGAACGGCATGGAGGAAATTAAATCAACTGCATGCAATTTTCATCTGTTTACCACAAGAAAGTTAGTCTATATATTTACGTCCCTTGGATTTTCTTGCCCCACAGACCTGAATTTTATATTAGGTACAGACAGAGATAAAGGTCGCATAGCAGAAAGACCAATACGAAAGCTACCAGAGAACCAAATTAGGGAACGGAAAATGATGATGATGTCCCTTTTGAGCGATATGCAGCATTTCTGTCTTATAATAGCCCAACATCCAGCCTCTTCTGTCAAAAATAAGTTTCAAAAACCAGCACCCTACATGCAAACCTGGCCATACTCGCTGACAGTATCAAGACCAACAATTCCGAGGTCCAGATCACCTGAAACAATTTTACGAACAATATCTTTCGGCCTCTGAAACCAAACCTCCAAGTTTGCAAGCTGCATCAGAAACAAGAATCAGAATCCTCTAATTACAATGACATCACAAATATAAAAATACTGCATAAAAGAAAAAAATGTGACAATATGGTGTCTGCCAGCCACTGACCATTATCGTACTTTATAATCTATTGGCCGTCTTATGGACTTTGGATTTATCTACCTTCATTGCCAGATTATCAACAAGTTTTCATAGATTCAATGGGTAAAGTACATAATGTCAACGGTTTCGTACAGAATTTGGACATCACCAGTACCCAACAGTAAGGAATTCATGGGGGAAAACTTTAGTTATCTCCCTTCTTCAGACTCTCCATTAAAGGCATTATTTCTAAGTTCATCGAAAGGTCTCACACTTTTCTACAATGTTTTACTGCAAACTTGGGAAATTCGCAGAAAACATTTTCAAAGATAAGATTCTCAGAAGGTTCACACCGCTTTTTAAAATATTTTCTGATCGGCCTCTTTTATGTTCTGGGAATATTTGGTCTTGTGCGACAGAACCGATAAGATCACATGGTTGCTTGGCCTTTCATCTTTACTAATACAGTGGTGGTAGGCCATATGAATCACTTCAAAATGCAATTACGGAACCAATAGGATAGCCAATACAGATAAAGCGTATATGCAAGACGACAACAAATCCTTGCTGCAGTGTGATCAAGTATTCAACAACACAGCCACAAGAGTCATTCGATGTGAACAGCTGCACATCCAAAATGTTTAGGGAGAACTACATACGGTGAATAAAAGGACAGCGCAAAGCCATCCAGAGGCATCTCTTATTTACGTTACAGGAACACGTATTGCAACATCAGTAACAACTATGCTAAACGGTAATCTTCCCAAGTTTGGAACACAACTCCAAGAAGATTCCTATGGCGAATTCATGCAATTTCAGTGAAGGCCAATCCACTTGAACCTCATTTACTCCTCCATTAGCTACCTCTGGATGTTCCTTATGTTTAATAATTTATTATTTGAAGGAAAATTATAGTATCGTTTTCTTAAATAAATGATGTATGTGAATACAGCCTTCGTCTATAAAACAGAGAAACTATCCTACGAATTCCAAATTCCCTCATGATGTGACCTAGGTTTATCTCATGCACTGGCATCGTAAAACCTACTCGTCAAATTTCTTCATTGAGATATTGCTCTTCGGGGATGCACTTGTAGAAATATTCCTGGCCAAATTACACTACACAATATTTCTATTGGGGTTAAAAATAAAAATTATGCATTGGTGCGACTTCTTGTCTGTGGACTATTTGGGAAAATATTTGTATTCGCCAATGTAGTCAGTCGGTGCTCTTTTCTTTAAAATATTCAAAAGAAACCGATGGGAACACGTTAAAGTAAGATATATTACAGACTGTTTTGCAGAAGTTTCAGGAAACGGAAGGGTGGACGTTAAGCTTTTCATTTCCCCCAAATCGGATTGTATGAATACGAAAACAATGAGCCAGTGTTTTCGTAGAATTAAACTGGCTATAAAATGAAAACTTGAAGACACATGAGATTATTAGAAGTACCTGCGGAATGTCTGCCACGTACTGTCGAGGATTCAACTGCCTCACTGACAGTTGGCAATTCTGTACGAGACGAGAGTAGTTAGCATCGAAGACAATGGGAAGGGTACCAAAACACGTCGTCACTAGAAGAGGAGCACCTTCAGGAGTCCTAGCGTCTCCTCAGCCATCCGCCCCTTGCTGGGCAGGCCGAGGCGAATGGCGGTCCGCTCCTGCTTCAGGAGCGGTTCGACCTTGGCGTCAGCCAACACCAGCGGAGAGGTGGCGGCGACGACGGACCGGCATGGAAAGCGGCGCCTGCGAGCGTACACGACGATAAAAGAGGAGCCGGAAGACAAGCAAGGGCAAGCGGAGGACGAGGCAAAGAGCTGCACCGGCGCAGCGGGAGAAGTGGTCACGGCGGCCATCCTGCTCTCAGAGCAGCGGCGGGGGTAATGTGATCAGAAAGGTGGTGGTCGGTAGCAGGAGATTTACAACGACGACAACAGATCGTTAGGGCATCAACGGGCTCTGCCCACGGGGTTGACGATTGGACGGGGGCGGCCATGTGCGGATTTCCAGAGGTATATACTGCAAAACCCTCCTCCACTCTCGGCCGTTCCTCTTGGTCCGTTGGCACCGTCGACCCCTACAATGGACCCCATCATAATAACTCGGCCCGTCTTAGCCTACTTTGGACAAATCGTAGAGAATCTGGGATGGGCTACGACGGCTTCAGCTGATCAGCCCATTAAATCACCATTGGCCGTAGACAAGGATGGCATCGTGTTAATGGGCCAAGAAATGAAGCTGGCCGCTCTTTTAGCAGCAGCCCAACAAGAAACCTGGGGGCCCGACCGGACAACAGTGCCTCCTGGTCTGAGATCATTAAAAGCCTTAAAGTCAAAGATCTTCCGTAACTGTATGTAAGAAGTCAAATCTCCAATGAGAGATGAGTAACAGGATACCCACCGTGTTGCATAAGAGAGATAGAGGGGAGGGGGGGTTGTCGGAATTTACCTTCGACGTGATGGTTCTCTAACTTCTCCAAGAGAACTCTCTGGCCAGACACCCTCTCTCTCTCTCTCTCTCTCTCTCTCTCTCTTTCCCCTTCTGCGCAGTACAATAATTGGGGAGAGAGAGAAAGGGGGGGGTTAGAACATCGTTATCATGGTGGCTCAACTGTGCAATGGTCGAGTGATTACCGAACAATGTCCAGTGATCTAAACATGCCACTCTGAAACTTGACCATCTTGCCTTCACGTTTCTGTGAGATGAATTCCTTCCCAGCGTAGCATTGCAGAAACATGAGGAGGGAGGAATCCGTGTGTGATGGGGTGATCAAAGAGTGAGGACGATGGTCTCAGATTCTCCGGGAAGACAGCACAATCCCGGGGAAGGGTTCCCACCATCTGCCGCAGAAGGGTCGAAAGCCGTTACGCCAAAGTCTGCGCGGGTCGGACTCGCGCGATGTGAGCAGATATCACGGCGAGGAAGAAGGAGAAGGCTGAGGACGGAGCTCCCCCTTGAATGTTTCTCGCGGAGAGATGATACTGCTCACCATTTACTATCATTTGGCGTGCGGGCAGAGGTTGCGATCCAAACTGTTCTCCCAGTGTGGAAAAAGGTACTTCCTTCGGTTTCATCAACTGCCCCACGTTAACTGTTCTTCGGTTGCATCCATATGGCCCCCCCCTTAATGTTTCTATTTATGACAGGACATGCATGCTTTCTCTCTCTCGCCCAGTTGGGGGCTCCTCTTCTACATCAAGACGGGCACATTTGTCATCACCCGAGATAGTTTCCCTGACATCCCTCCTTCCACTCTCTCCTATCATTGCTACTCATATGGGTCTTCTGCTTCCCCTCTTGCTCTTGCTCGTTTTCTCCAGGGCCAATGGGCAGCCGTCCCCTGGATACTGGCCGAGCTCCAAGTTCGGAGTTGTGCGATTCTATGAAGCTTTTGGTAACATCTGGGGTCTGAGCCACCAATCAGTTTCCCCGGACAAGTCCTCGTTAACAATCTGGCTTGACAGAAGCTCAGGTTCTCTCTCTCTCTCTCTCTCTCTCTCTCTCTCTCTCTCTCTCTCTCTCTCTCTCTCTCTCTCTCTCTCTCTCTCTCTCTCTCTCTCCCCCATGGATTTTCCACTCTCATGGTCCTGAGAACCAGGGAGCGGATTCAAGTCGGTCAAGCCTTTCAGGAACGGCTACTTTGGGGCATCGATCAAGCTCCACCCCGGCTACACGGCCGGAGTAATTACAGCCTTCTACGTGAGACAAAATTTTATCTCAATTGAAAGATAAAGCTGAGAAATCAACTTGCAGCGGGAACAGCTGCCTCTCTCTGACTGTGCTGCCGCTTCTGTGCATGATCCAGCTATCCAACAACGAAGCCCATCCGGGTTTCCACGACGAGGTCGACATTGAGTTCCTTGGGACGACACCCGGCAAGCCGTACACGCTTCAAACCAACGTCTATGTGAGGGGCAGCGGCGACGGGAGGGTCGTCGGGAGGGAGATGAAGTTCCACCTCTGGTTCGATCCAACGGCCGCCTTCCACCACTACGCCATCCTATGGAACCCCGACGAGATACTGTAAGCGATGATGATACCCTCCCTTCTCTTATTCATGTACAGCATAAAGTACCTCTCTCTCTCTCTCCCCTTTCCGATGGTTTCATTTCAGAAGATATCTGACGTAGCTTGTTATGTCGTGTACCGATCCTTCTCATACGAGTCCGTAGTCGCCGTATTCATATTCTGTTACATCTCTTTCCCTCTCCATTCATCCTCTCTCTCTCTCTCTCTCTCTCACTAGCTAAAAGACTGTCTCCGCACATAGTTCAATCTACGGTCATGTAGAAAAACCTTTCAGCATACAGGTTTGTTCTCGCCAACATTCGACTAATTTCCAGCATTCTACCCCGGTGCAACGATCCTGATGCGAGCCCGGAAAAATATATTATCTTCTGCACCATCATAGAATGGGGGGCATTTGATCGATGAAAAAATCCCGCTAATTCGTAAATTTGGTCTTCTTATGCATGACGACGATGCGGTGGCTGCCCAGATTCTTGGTGGACGACGTGCCCATCCGGAGGTATGCGAGGGAGAGTGGTGCCACCTTCCCGCAGCGCCCGATGTGGGTCTACGGCTCCATCTGGGACGCGTCCTCCTGGGCAACGGAGGGCGGGAGGTTCAAGGCCGACTACCGCTACGCGCCCTTCGTCGCGCGCTTCACCCACTTCAACGTCGGCGGTTGCCCCGCCGATGCGCCGCAGTCGTGCCACCCCGTGGCCTCCTCCCCCGGCGGCTCCGGCCTCAGCGCCCGCCAGGCCGCCGCCCTGCGCTGGGCGCAGGCCAAACACCTGGTCTACGACTACTGCAAAGACCCCCTGCGTGATCATTCCCCAACCCCCGAGTGCTCGCGTTAGGCTAAGACTGGAGCTTCCCCTGCCCTTCTTCTCATACTGTTTCACCGCTTCCCTCTCTCTCTCTCTATCTCCATCGCATCTCCCGGGCATGTGTAATGCTTCATGCATGCAATTTATAAATAAGAAAGAAGGGCTCCTATTACGACAGATCTGACGGGCCATCAAGAAATTTTGCGAACTCAAATTTACAGAGAGAGGAAGAGAGCCCACCGTCTTAGGATTCATGGCACTCGGAAAACCTGGATCCTGTTCTCGCTGATACAACCCAGGAGACCTGGCCCAGAAGCGTATTTGGAGAACTTGACGTCGAGTATGGGGTGTTCATGTGGTTTAAGCCTTTTAACAACTTGAAACGACGCTACGTCCCACACAGACAACCCGTGGGAGGCTTCATCCCCGTAGACGAAGGCCGTGCCGCCGCCTTCCGCGTGCACAATGGCCGACCGGCACATCCGCACGTCGCTAACGTTGCCGGAGGCGGCCTCATGCCGCCGAAAGCTGCGGCCATCGACCCTTTTCAAGAGAACGTGGGTACCGAGCCTCACGGGTCCGGTGAGGGCGGTAGAACCGGCGCCGCCGCCGCCGACGCCTGTGTGGACTAGGGGGCGGAATGAAGCAACGGCGTCGGTGCCTGAGCCACCACAGGCGAGTGATATGCAGACGCCCTGATTCTCCGTCTCGGGCAAGAGCTGAGGACTGCATCAAACAGGCAGTTCAAAGGGAAGAAGAGTACCCAAGTTTTTTCCAATGAGTCAGTAAGATGTAGATGGAGGCCGGGTAGAAAGACCTCGTTTCTCTCACTAAACTCACCTGGTTTCATTACTACCGGTATCCCATAGACATGGGCCCACCGCAGAAGCAGTGAGGAGAGCTCCAGCGCCATGCAGTTCCGGCTGCGGGGGAAGAGAATGGATCGTGTGGATCGGGTGACTACTCAGACCAGGTCTTGATTCCAGGGGGCTTGAGGTTTGGCGTATGTCAAACATTAATAACATCCCGTTCTGTGGAAAGATTTTGAAGTATTTTAACAGGAATAGTTCGTTCTCAAAGGAAAGGAGGAAAATGATTCCAGAATCATCTTCTAGTTCAATGACTTCTTAAACGATAAACGCATTAAAAGCTTAGCAGAGTTATGAAACATACCTGCAATCCAGCATAAATATGGTATGAAGCGTTGGAGTCCCACGAACATGACCAGGCAGGTCCCTGAGAGAGCAACTTACATCAGAATAATTCCTTAAGCAACTAGAAGTGACAGATATGGCAAAGAACATTGACAAATGGAGCTATTATCGTACTGGGGTCCCCGCGTTAATATAACAAAGAATTTACAGATACATGAGGAAGTAAAAACCCTAAACCAGAACCTCACATCGGCCAGAGATGGCGGACATGGGAGCAGTTTTTCTCTACAGCCTGTTAAGCTTAATAAATAGTAATAGGCTGGAGGCAATATACGAAGTATAATTAATTAACTGATAGAAATTTGCTTTGAGATATAACTAAGATGAAATGTGGTAGTTGACTTAAAACCCAATGAAGAACGACGATAATCTTTCAACCAATGGACTGAAGAAAGACTGAGATGAGACATTTACCGGTAAGTTGTACTTGAGGACAATATTATTGCTTTCCATGCTGAAAAAAAGGACCATGCCTATTATTAGCCCTCACATGTGCAAATAAGGAATTATAGAGAATTAAATACGAAAAACAGGAAAAGCGGCACCTGAAAACAGATAATTTCTTCCCCAAGGAAGCCAATACCGCGAGCCTACCAGGAAGAATCGCGTCAACAGGTGAAAAGTGAAGGTCCCTGACAGCACCAGTGTCGTCAGGGAGCGGAATGCTTTGCACTGCATATGGACATAATAAACTAACCTGCACACAACATCAAAACAGGAAAGAAACACCAAGTTATTTGCGATGCATCAGAGATTTCAAAAAATTAGAATGAGTAAGATCTTAGGTTGATCGGGTGAAAAAGGGAAATACTTTAGTCAGAGCATGCCCTCCTCTCCACCCAGGTAACTTTCCCGAGATGAGTAAGACATGACAAGAAGCATCAATATCCAGAACTCTGGCCCCATCAAACTGTAGTTCGTCCTGCAGACAAGGAATTGTCAACCGATCACTGGAGGCATTATAAGCATTATCCATAACTAATAGGAAAAGACAATTCTCAATTTATCATTTTAGCCATTACCCACAATTGATAGGAAAAGTCAGTCGGAACCCATAATCCTCTATTAAGTATGTGATACAAGTACTTCATCAAGAACATCGTCTGGATATTGGATAAAAGCTCAGTATGGCCATGCCAATACCTTTATTTACTGATGCTAATTACACCCTTCATCAAGGAGTTTGTATACTGGTGGTCCCAGAGTTTACTCCTTAAATCACAAGGAAGCGCGAAATTCTATGAGATCTCTAAAGACATTTTCCTTATTGAAGTCACGATTATCAACAACAAAACTCGAAGGTTGGATATTCGTCTACGTCACAACACTTCTTGTTTAAAAAATCGTCCAAATTTTTTTGGGAATAAGGCCCCGGTGAGCATTGAAAACGAACCATGAGTTGAAAAGAGAAATGGCATTCGTCTCTCCATGATATGCCAGAATATATGTAATAGTATACAAAACATCGCTGATTTCAAAAGAGCGAGATGGCCATACCTGTAAAACAATGTCACCGAAGAAATGGCCCTCCTGTCCGGTATTTGGGTAGAGGAAAATTGATCCTGCGCTCACATTATAACATCAATCAGTTGCATAAGAATAGCGCAAGCCAAGAACACAAATCATGAAGCTATCACCTCAAGGAGTGGTGTACCACGTTCAATAGACAGTTACATAAAATTGGGGGGGAGGCAGAAGACCAAGAAACTTGAAAGAGACACCACACCCCTCCCATTAAACAGGCATATACGTTCCCTCATAAATTAAAGACTAAAATTGAAGACAAATTTGAGAAATATGCGTGATGTGATGTTCTGACGAGAGATAATAAATGCACAAATAACTTGATACCTTGCAAAGAAGGGATCTGTGATTCATTGAAAAAGTCGGAGGCCGTCATGCAAACTGCTCCAGGGAAAACATTACGGATGCATGCCTTTTTCTAAACATATAACCAAAACGGGAGTCGTCAAGAATCTGCAGGATTGGATTGCTTTTGCTATAAAATCATTAAGTAGATCACAACTTAAACAACAAAGTGCAATACAATCTTACCAATTGTGTGTAGTCTTCTGCATCTTTCTGCCAGAAATAAACCATTAAAAGTATAAAAGTGAGAACTAGACAACTGAAAAGATAGCACAGGGCCCTATACACTGACATTCTACCTGAAAAAAATAATGATGGAAAAATTCTACCGTTAACAGATTTAGGTCATCACTGCTCGACACAACATCTACGTATCATAAATCTATACAAACGGAAATAGTTAAAAAAAAGGGATGGATAAATAAAGGATCCAAACTTCAAGGATTGCCATTAATAGTTCCACTTCTTTCCATTTGTTCAATAATTTTTGATATTTCGTACAGAGAAAATCTAATAAACTAACGAGCAAGTTGTAGCATCCACACAGTGCCTCTTCTCTCGGTTAGAATAGACAATAAGTGACAGCATCAATGCAACGAAAAGAAGAAAAAAAGGGGAAGGGAGTGGAAGGAGAGAGGGAGGAACGGGAAGAAAAAGGAAAGAGTTTTAGCATCACGGTGTGGAAAATCAGCCAATTTCGACCAAAATCAGTTTTTGCTATTAAAGGAAACCACAGCCAGTCCGATTTTCATTGTAGGAGATTCAATTAGTCCTTGATATTTCCAAAAAGGCCACCCAAATGTCTACCAACCTCACTTGGATTACTGATGAGGGAGCAGCACTAACAGGTTGCCGCCCTGACTACCATATAACAATGGAGCCTGGAAAGTATGTTGTAAAAGGGGCTGAATTTCTAATGAAAACATGTTTGAAATTTTATTAAGCATTTACTCTATTTTACTAAGAAAATTAGACGATAATCTAAAAAAATGAACCAATATCCCTCAGTGTCCTTTCAATCCCATTAGCTCCTTTTACCAAAGCCAGCCAATTTGACCTATCTGATCCAGAATAGAGTCAGACCTGCCCCAGTTTATTAAGGGCTATGATCTGATTTGAAAGACCAAGGCAAGAAACTGTTGATGAAGACAAATGCAAATAAAACAAAAAGAGAGTAATGCAATATAGAGATGTACCTTTAACTTGCTTACTTCGTCAAGCAATTTTTTCCGCTGAAAAAAAATGACTTGCTTTAATCACTAAAAATGTAAATTTATGACTATCCTCTTGTTTTGTAGCTAGATTAACAAAATTTTAACAACAATATGAAGGAATTAACCACAAACTATGTGACTGTATTTATTGCATTAAATAAATAAATAAAAATCAAGTCGAGAATACATCCTGTGCTACACATCACACCGAGAAAAGAACATGCAAAAGCCTGTGCTTTCTATTATTGACCACAAACACAAAGCCTTCACAAAACTCTAGCTTAATTGTATACTCTGACAGCAGGTTCTCGATTTCTCACATCTTTACTTTTTAAAGTTTGTTAACGTACACTTTGGTCATATACTCATCGTTAACATCCGGAACGAGTAAATGCATGATAATCTGTAAAACCAAAGGTGAATTCTCATATTATGAGAATATATAACTCATATTGATATGTCAAGGTAACATCAAAATAACATTGAATCATAAAATTCGATCATCAAATACCAGCGCCAAGGCCTGAAGCCTTTAGTGTAAAGATGGGTGCTTCATAATTGTTGAAGAATGGAAATCCTTTGTTGGTAAGAAACTCCTTGGGCCCGCCAGACCTACTTGGGCCCATTAGTCTTGTTTTGTTTCAAACATCAATATATTCTCACCTTTGGGAAAGACCTACATGCGTCACCAGGGGTTTCGGGGCTTATCCTTTCCACTGTTTCTCACCCAGGATTTCCAGGTGGAATCCTATCTACCTCTTCAAGATTTACTAGGTGAAATATTTTTATTTGTAAGAAACTGTCCGGAAAACAGATCCAAAGGATACAAAGTCTCATACATGACTTACTTCGATATTGAGAGATTCATTCTTTTGTCGAAGAATACTTAATTCCTGTGAAATGAAGACAAACGGATCAGAGAATGGTAAGCAGTTACTCAACAGATATAAGTGATGGTCAAGACCTTCTCTAGATCATCATTCAAAACAGCAACTTGTGGCGCATATAGATTTATAATTTCCTCTACTTTGAAACGTTTCTTGCACTGAGGGCACTGCAAAAAGAATAACCAATGAGGAATCTATAAAAAAAAACTGGTGATAAAGCATAATCAACTCTACAGGAGATAATGTTGTTTATCGATTTAGTGATAGAAAGATATATCTTCATTTTTTTGAAAACCGCATCCTATTAATTCGTGGAAGTTGCAGGGCATTACAAGATTAAACTACTAGGTAGATAGTAGGAAAACTTTACCCAGTGCTATGATCATAAAAACCCTCTTCTAGAAAGGTTATGATGCTTCCTATTATGCCGATTCTAATTATTAAAAAAAAGAGGAAAATTACTGACAAAATTCCTCTTCCACAGTTACAGACAGAAAGTTCGCCAATTAGTCGCATCCACATGCTCCTACTAGAGAATAAGAAATATGTTAATCAAGATGGAATGAAACATCAACAGCGACCTTCATCGTTTTCAGGGTGGAGAGAAACAGATGCAAGTTACTTTTCAGCAGGCACATATATGGCAATGCTTGAACCTGAGCTGAGCTCGCTTATGGTCATTAGAAGTGAAAGCCAAACAAAACCTTAAGGACTAGCCCAGTCAAGACCAGATGAAACAAAAAGAGTGAAACTTCGGCAAGTTTGAGCATGTGTCATTTAGTTGAATGCGCGATGCACCAGACACTTGGCTTAGCAAATCTCCATGTTTATTTATGTGAAAAAGAGTTGAGAAGCTCCCATGCCAATAATGACGGTGAAGAAATATAATAGCACTTTCGGTGCTAAGTTAGAAAATTAGAGGCCATACGTGGGATTTCTTCAAAGAGCTAATGCATGAAGTAATGGGTGGGCTGGACCCACTGGAATAGAATGTAAAAAAGCTACAACATCAAACCAATCCAGCTTTCTGACCAGACTAAATTAGAGTATCTCCAGCTTAGGCTACCATGGGGTTAGGCTTAGACATTAGACCAAAAAACCCAATTATGTAGTTGACATAAACAAACCAAAATTCCGGCTTAAGTCAGCTTCATGAGCAAGACATCTATTAATTGATTCTGACGGATGAGGAAATCAACATATGAAAAATGCTACACTCCACTCTGCGATAGTCAATCATGACCTCACCACTGCCTCTTGCCTTTCGTTATAAAACTTTTATCACACGGTGACCTCATTCAAAACATAAAACACTCAAGCGATCAAAATACACCATTTCATACTCAGCACAAAGAGAGACAGAGAACAAAAGGAGATCAATCCAAGAACTCCAAAAAAGGATGGTTGGCAACAATGGGGCTGACATGGAGGATCAAGCGGTCACCAGGTCGTTGTTTCACACTTACACCAACGATCACAGCCCACTATGGACATGCTCAGCCTGATGGATGCTGTTGATCAAGGATTAGAGCCGCAAAAGTGTGACCTTATTTCATACTAGACCTCTGAATGCAAACTTATTATTGAGGTAGCGAGAGCAATGAAGTTTTTGATCCAGGGGAACAATTCGATGGACAGATTTCATGGACAGCTAAACATCATGTTAACAAACCCAAGATATTCCTCGACTGCAATCCACCAAAAAGTACACGCAACTTGAAGGATGGGATTGTCATTAAACCCGATGATAATGAACCATGGATAATCTTTAAAAGAATGATGTTTATTTTCAGAGAAAAATATCACAAGGAACATTTTCAGATATTGCGTTTCAACACCATCTACAACACTTATAATTGCAATAATGTACAAAGTCCCCAACTTAGGATCAACCTGAAGAATCTCAAGTCCACAATCTACAGTCTTCCTAACTTTGTCCCCGTTGTATGATGAATAATACTGTTAATGTCTTCATATAACCATGATCACGTACAAAGGTTCCAAATGACAATCTGCCCATAGAATCTGATGTCCAAAATTAGGAGACTGCAATGCCTTATGTCAGGGTTAAATCGAACAGTACTCACCCGCCTGTGAGGTTTCTTCTGAATTGCATTTGACATATGCTACCTGACGGTGTTATGCGTATGCTACAATTTTGCCTCTTTTGACGATGTCATAATAAGGTTCCAACAGGGGAATGGTACAAAACAACGGCTACCTTTCCATGGCCCAGTTATACTGAAACTATTCACCGGAACTCAGAAAGAGGGTAACCTGCCATAACATACCTCTCCCAGCTGGTTAAATAAAAGATGATATCACAGGATTAATGTTCCGAAGATGTCTTTATTTGCAGTACTTATAGCATACTTCCACGGCATTCTCTTTTCTCTTTCAATGATACTTTATCAAAACCGCAACACCAGTCCTCAGACAGCTTCAGAAATAAGTTTTTTCATACACTGATGTAACAAGGCCATCTAGCCATTGACAGACAAAGCAATTCTTTGGCATTCCTATCATTTATCCATGACTTAGTTCTGGCTCATTTTTCAACATCATTCAGAGTTTTCATCCAGGGAAAAAGCCTCTACTGATCCAATTGAATATTAGTATCTGACAAGAGTGAATGCACCTACAAAATAGAATGGTTCACATGGAGCACACTACCAGCATACACTACATTTCCCAATCAGCAAGACATCAATGATGGAATATTCTATATGAGACTAGTTCTGACCAAAACTTTATATGCACAGGCGAAAAAAGGTAAATGCTATACCATTTGTCAGACTAGAAACATTATTCCCGCCAATCATGCTGGACAACAAAATAAAGGAAGTGATTTAAGTGGCTACCTTTGCGAAACTAGCCCCACAACGTCTAACCCAACGCTCAAGGCACGATCTACCATACAGGTGTCCACAAGGAATACAACTACATTTCAAAAGGGATTGACATCAGAGATGACTTTCAATAGCAAGTCTTCAAAGGTGTCACCATACACAGAATTCATAACTATTGATAGGCATATATCAAGAATCGAAGTAATTGAGACATGTAAATAACTCCAGTTCTTATTTGAGAACCATTTTTAGAGATATAACTGAAAACGGGGCGAAATGTAAAAAAAGGCAAACATCAGAACTACGCCTTTTAACTTTAAACTATCTTATTTTTTCGTTAACAACAGGACCTTGCACGCTGGAGTAGGGACGGATGAAGTCGGATTTTTCAGAAATGGATATTTAGTTCACATAAGTTAGCGAAGCTACTCGGGTTTTCCCGGCGCAATCTCGTGATATCGTCAAAACATCATTTACGGATCAAGTCCTACGATGGAAATGCACACATTGCTCCCCGCGATAAGGAAAGTTCTTATTTTGATAAACATTAGGGGTCTTTTCTAACGCTTTCATGGGTTGTACAAGGCCTAACCGTCTTCGTTCACACAATTAAACCCATATATATGTCATTTCAAGCACGTTGCAAAATGACGAGAACAAGCAGTCTCGAAAAATAATTTTAGTACACGTAGGGCTATTTTTCGACAATTTTTGAGACTGGATGTAGAGAAATCTACGTAAACAAAAGAAAAAAGACCAACCAGACTCGATGAACACCTTGGCCGGCCCACCGTTCCATGCAAATTGGACAATTTGGTAATAAGAGATCTGGATCGTTGCTTACGGGCTGCCCCAGGCAGCGTTCGTCCAATTTCTCCTTCTGTGCTCCTCCCACACCCACTTTCAGCAGGTCGTTTTCACTGTCCTCCGAAACATCTATAACTTCATCTCCCGCTCTCTGCTCGGATCCTCTTCCCTCAGTCGTATCCACATTCACCGACCCTTCCCTCGACTCGGCTTCAGACTGCGCGTGTCTCGGGTCAGAGACTTCAACGGATGTATGTAAATCCACATTCGTAGCCTCCGATTCAACTGCACTGTCTCCGGGAGGAGCGTAATCTTCGTCACTATTTTCTTCTTCGTTCTCTTCTTGTTCCTCCTCCTCGGATTCCTCTCCGCCCCCCTCATCACCTTCCACTTCTTCTCCACCTTCGGAGGATAACCCGCTCCTCGCATTGCTAGTGGCCATTGAAACGCACCCAACAGCAAGAACTGGAGAGATGGAGAGATTTGGCAAACGAGAAGACTAACAGAGCACGGAGAGGGAGTTTTCTCGACACAATATTAGGACTTTAGGAGGGGAAAGTGGCCTGGCGAGGCAAATAGACAGTTAGTGAGGATAGATAAATCATTATCAATATGATGGGGTACCATTGTTTGAAAAACAATGAGGAGAAGAAAGTAGTTATTGCTAATTGTGGGATTGGACGGCTGTGATACGAAGAAATACATCCCACGGCATACGATTTTTCCGTTTCACGGAATTATAAGACTTTTAAATGGGTCCGGCTTGGCATGGCCCATTTCGGATCCACCAAGAAGAAATTCGACTAAAGCTACTCGCGTGTCAGGTGACCGAAACCGGACTCACAGGACGCTCTTCCCGACATCTTCGACACCAATGAACCCCATTCCGGGGACCATTCTTGCTGGTAAGATCACCGTCATGTGTTCTCTATCCCGGGCAAATCGGAGGGTAAATACGTAATAGCAAACCTCGAGAACGGCTGTTCAAGCACCACCTCCCCACGTACCCCGGCCCCCCGCCTTCCGCTCCGAGAAAAAAGTAAGTGTCTCGAGGTTTAAAACCGCCGCCTACACAGAGGTTTATTGGTTCTACGAGTATTTTTTTGTTCTCATCTTCTCTTGCCAATTCTCAACGCTGGCGCTGGCCGATCCTGTCTGTTGGGTATGTTCCTCATCTTCTTGCTGTTCTCAGCGCGACGAGTGAACGCCCGATGATTTGGAGGAACTATTTGTGCGTTACCCGATTATTATTCAATGGGTTTCTCTTTTTTTTGGTCTCATTTTCTTTACTAGGGTTTATCCGTCGGTCTTCCTTCTCCGGTTTCATTTTATTGACCTTTGGTATCTCTTCAAATGCTTGGAGCAATAGCTACCATGGTTTTGCCGTACTCCGCGTGTTGTGGACCTACCGAAAGATCATCCTGATCTGATAAAGGCACCGCTGGCTCCTTTTTTCCCTTGGATTTGTGTATTGAGGAATGTATCCGGAAGCATCAACAGGTATCCTTTCATTTGCAAATAATGGATTGCCTAATTCTCGGAGAATGGCGCAGTTCTTGTTTCGTTCAGGCCATTTTTTAAGAAATAAATACGTGTTTTCTATTCGAACTTTTAGGTGATCGGCTGATTCATGTCTTATCAATTCCATCCTTTATTCTTTTATTCTACATTCGGTGTCTTCCTGCATTTTACGTGTCGATTCATGTGAAATTAAATATCAAATGCCTAAGTATTCACCAAACTCATTCTGAGTGTCAGCCTAGCCGCTGGCACCCGTTTCCATGCCCTTCCGTTTAGGGCAGTAGTTATACAGCCTAGGCGAGTATCACGTGTGATAGCCTGACCGACCCACTGACTGATTGTGGAGAATGTTTCCTTGCACTACTCTATAAGGTGTGTTTGCTATGTCTTCACGTCATGTTTCTTTTTAAGGGATAAGATTCTTACTTGATCTCTTACCCCCATATGTTTAGAACTCACGCACAGGTAGATGAGGTCCTTCTGAGACTGTATTAAGAAGATGATTTCGTTGGTTTCTCCTGATGAATATTGTTCTCGCATAGAACCATTATTCAATATCAAAATCTCCCTGGATTGGTGTACGGCGTATAACTGGAAATACTAAGTTAATGTGCGCCGGGAACCCCCTTTATCCATCAGTCTGTATGTGCCAATCTACAGCTTAGAACTAGTAGCATTTTTGTTTCTAACACAGCTTCTAGTAAAAAGAACTCTTCATAGACCTTTTTCGTGGTGGCGCGGTGCCTGAATCACAGGGTTCCAATGTTCTGCTCGTTTGTCCAGTATTATCTGTTAAAGTAACAGTTAGAAATACCGTATTCTTTGAAGTTGTCACGGCTGTGATAAGAAAAACAAGATTATGTAAGATATCAAATAAAAGTAAAGCTGGTTGTTTAGGCATAACTTTGTTTCTGATAGTTTAGACCTTAGATGTTATCATTCTGCAGTATCCAGGGTGATGATTATTATGCTTCTTTTGTTTCCTGCCAACTCTAAACACCGTTCTTCTATTTGACGAAAACTATGAGAAAGTATTATCTTGCATTCTAGATAATGTTAAATCACTGTAGTTGGGTGATTACCTCGGTCTCACTGAACAGATTCTTTGGATCAGAAGTAGGAATTAGTTGCTTCTTTTCTTATGCTAAAAGCACGTATGAAATATGATTCATACTAGCTCTCTGAAATCATCTGTTTAGCGTATGTTTGATAGTGAGTCAGGTGATGCAAACAAATAACATCTTTCCGCTTTTCAGATAGTTATGACCCTTATTTCATGACATATATATACTATTGAATACTATACGAGAAAACAGGGTGCTATCATTATATCCGGTTCATAGCTGTAGTGGTATGATTGGCAAGCTGTTAATTAATATCTGGATGCCAGCCATTTCATCTCACAGTGATCTGCAGAAGCATGAGTAACATCCCGTTTGATCTTACACTGATGCATCCATAGGAGTAGGTAGTGGACAGATGACGATAAATCGTTTATTGGAGTCAAAGATAGTTTCCACTGGGAGTGGAAAAGTTGAGAATTAACTGCCAGAGAGAACAAGGTATGAACTGGTTGGTTTTTCTATCAATGTGCGAAGCAGTTAGTTTGATATACTTTGACTGAAATTTACCTTATTCTATTTGCTAATCTCATGAGTCTGTAAAATTTGGCTTATATTGGGATCAACAGGTTCGACATTATCTAATCCTGTCACCCGGAATGCATTAAATGTCCCTTGTTGTTAATGACGTATGTTAAAACAAATGTTTTATTTTTTTTGATAAACTTTGTCAATATTTAAAGTTTGCACTGGTTGCGCATAAAATTCAGACAGTTAAAGGTTGCGCAGGTTTCTAGACCCACGAATGAGAATAAAATGTTAATTCTTTACATGGAGATCCCACGCTTGCTTTTGTACCATTGTATTTTCTTATCAAATGTTTGCATAATTATTGCTGATTGTGTTCTGGGCACTTAGCGCTAAATGTTTGCACAATTGGCGCCACTTAGCAGCATGTAAAAATATAATATTTCAGTTCCCTGATGTTTAGGCTGATATTCGGTATTACATTAAAAGCCTGATTTTCTTTCCAAAATAATTTTATTTTTCTTAGAAGAATCGTTTTTCTTCTCAGCTAGAGCTATTCGAGTCCCAACTCCGTGTGCTAGGGCTATAAGCACTTTTAGTCCTTTGCAATGGATTCTCCAGAGCATTTCTTAACCTAGTTGGCGTTATTTACTGTAACGGGTGTCTCTGCGTAGATGTTCCATCGTCAGCCTTTATTTCATCACTAGTGTCAACTTTGTGCGAGTTTCGAATATTGTTATATCTTGTTTCATTTGTTTTCTCTCTAGGATCTCAATGGAAGCTGGTAAAAACAGTAGCTTGCTAGAACACGATCGCATCCCCCCAGGTGCAATCTTCATGTCAAACCGCACAACAAAGAAAGAATGCTTCAGACTCAAACTTTTTGGACTCCCATCTTCTCATGCAAGTTTTGTAAGAAAGATCAACGTTGGCATGATTTTGTTTCTGTTTGAGTATGAAGAAAGAAAGTTGTATGGGGTATTTGAAGCAACATCAGATGGTTCTACGGGCATTATTCCTACAGCATTCGTCACATCGGGAAAAGAGTTCTCTGCTCAGGTAAAATGGCTTGATTAATTTTGACAGGCCATATTAGCCATTTAACTGTTCAAGTGGACATGTTAATGGATTGTCGTATATCTTTTCTGCTCCAGGTTCGTTTCCGGACGATCTGGTATTGTAATCCTTTGCCTGAAACTGAATTTCGTGACGCAATCAAGGAAAATTATTATGCACCTAAAAAGTTCCACTTTCAGCTATCAGAAACACAGGTCTGGGATGTCTTTTTTACTTTAACATCAAGCAATAGAATATTTGATTTATCTTCAAATACCTGATTCTTAGCGATTAGCGTCTCAATGTAGAACATTTGTTTCCCTTGGTTTGCAGGTCTGCAAATTATTATGTTTGTTTGATTCAAAGAAGACTAAAATCCAGCAGTTTTACCGTGGAGGCAGCAACCTCACGTTGGAGTTTAGATATTGGGGGACGAGCGATAGTGAAAAACGTAAAAATATGTTTAGAAAATATGAACTTACAAAAGAAAGCAATGCAGAGTTAGGCATGTACCCTGATTTACCTGCTACTAGTCTCCATCACGTTATGCGCCATCAGAGGTATTCGCTGCCCGCAGGCAGTTCAGGTGTAGCCTCTGAAACTGCATTACAGCCAGCTGTTTCTGCCTTAGAAGAATCAAAACTCCCAGATCTTATTAATCCTACATCCAGAGACACTCTTGCTTCCGGTAAATATCTTACTACCAGTCAAGATCATTATTCTTATCGACTTTCTCCTTACCTGCAAGGGAGGAGGTCACCCGTGAACACAGGCATGGACAATGCTTCTGTTGATGCAGTTGATTCTTACCCTACTGGCTCTCATTTAAGTTACCCTTTCCCTAGAGATCACTATTCTATTTCTCAACCAGATCGTGGGCATTTGACCTCATCCTACAAAGATATTCAGAATAGAGTGAGCACCAATAGCCTCCAGGATTCTACATCTCGAAATTTTCTGAGTAGAGTGGGCGAAATTGATCTCCCATCATACCAAGACTTTAATGATCCTGGTAACCCTGAAATTTTATACTCGAACCGAGGAGGTTACATGAACAGGGATGTAAGTACACGTGCCCATGTTCTAGCTAGGCCTGAACTGCTCACTTATAACCTGACATCTCTAGCCAATGACCATTCAGAAGGGCCTAAATCTTTGGAACCTGACCCTTATGGCACTATCCCTCGTTATCGATATGAGCAAAGTGGTTTGAAGGTGTCAAAATCGTGGTTCCATGGCAGTCAAGAGAGGGGTCTCTCGCGAATCCAATATGGTGGTGACTTTTCAGAGCATCAGTATGAAGGCTCGGGCTCTCATCAACTGAACGAGGATGATGAATACTATCACGTAGCTGCAAGCTCCAGACTTCATCTAGAGAGCCATGAGAAGAGAACCAGTGTATTTTCACGTCTGTCTGGGCCAAGAAAATCTTCTGTGGAGAAAACTGTGACTTTCAAGCACAATTCGGTAGTCCTCGTTGACTGCCCAGAAAGAAAGAGAAACAGCAGGATCAAGATGACCCGAGTCTCAGATTCTAAAGAGACAGAAAGCCCCCCCCCAGCCACTTTCAAGAAGATGAAGTTAGCTCCAGATTTCAAAAAAGCGGATGGATTGCCCGATCAAACGGTTGTGTTAGATGGTGATGAACAACCGGAACATTCAGGCGCGTCCGATCCCCAAGTAATTTCCCTTCACAATGGGGTGGCATCCTCCAGTCAAGAAGCGAATGAGACCAGCACCATTCGGCCTTTTGTAAACTTTAAAAGGAGAAGCGAGGCGCAGAGAACAGCTGCTGATCAGAGAGAAACAAGCAGCTCTTTGCAGCAAACAGGGACCGACGTCTCCCAGGCCAAGCAAAAGAGAAAGAAATTGCAGAGGCCGTCCTTAGTTGAAGAAGATCCTTCCGGCAACGACCTTGAGATGCAGAACCTTCTTGAGCCACCCCAACAGCTCTCGATTAAAGGAAAGGCCGGCGTAGCATCGACCACTGAAAGCCGGCCAAGCGTGGGCAATGAAAGCGTTCGTGCTGCAGGAGGAGAACCCCTGGATGAGCATCTCATGAGTGCAGCTGATGATGTTCCCAAGGTTACGAGTTTAAGCGGTGGTGATGGCGCGGCCTCTGAAGGCCAGGTGAAAGGATTAGGAGAAGAAGAATCGTCTCATCAAGGCCCTCCCTTGGTTACAGACGGCGACGGCAGCGGGAAATATGATGCATCAGAGGTAGATGCCAGTGAGGGCAAGAGACATGGAGGAGACCATTCTGAGACCCCGTCCGGCCCGCAACGGGGAATGGCCGCCGTCCGAGGAACCCGTTCGTCCCCTCGTTTGACCAACGCTTGGCGCGTGCTGCAGGAACGTCAGGCGGCGTCACAGCGGGTTTCGACGGCGGCACATTCTCCGGAGAGTCCGGAGCCACCGGAGAAGACGGCGGCGGTCTGAAATAAAGCCGAAAAAGACGGAGACAAACATCTATCTATTTACCCATAGGACGAGGGTGACGTGGGCAAGGAACGAGACGGTGTCTGAGAATGACGCAGCTGCTTGGCCCAATTCGGCGTTTTTTGGCACGTGGGTAATCCTAGTTCGGGCATTAGATGATCCGTTTTTTATTATTATTATCATCATCGTTTCATGACTAATGGAACGTCGATGATCTGGGTTGCGATCGATCGATCACTTAGAATGCACACGTACCTGATCAATATATATGAATGGGTATACCTGATCACGTATTAGAAAATATTGCCTATATAGCCGACACAGCCCCAATGGGTAGAACTCTACCCCTCGTAATCCGCATCTCACAATGGTAGTACTAGTAGTATCCACTGACGTCATCCCCATCTCACGATGATAGAACCCCACGTAAGGCCGGCCCCAAAGCCGGACATGGCGATGACGTCACCAGCTTTGACCTGGCCACCCCGTACGGCTTCATCCAAGGCCAGAGGTATGGAGGCGGCGCTCGTGTTCCCGTAGCTCGCCAGGTTGGAGATAATCTTATGGGAAGGGATCTGCAGGCGGTTTGCGACAGAGTCTATGATCCTCTGGTTCGCCTGCATCATTACATTCAGTCAGTCAGTCGGTCGGTCGGTCGGTCGGTCTTGGAGCGAATGGGATTCAAAGAGGGGAGTTTGGGACATGGTACCTGATGGAGGAGCAGCCAGTCGATGGTGGAAGATGGGAGGCCAGCTTCGTCCAAGGCGGCCTCGATGGACTGAGGCACACACCGGACAGCGAAGCGGAAGACCTCCTTGCCGTTCATCTTCAGGCAAGAATATGAGGGCTTCCGTGGGGGGAAGTCTGGGGCGTCGTTGCTGTCGGCGGGGAGCTCCCCCTCATCCACTATGATAGCATTTAGGTGTCTGCAGTAGCAGTTAGACCTCTCATTAGATACAGAGAGAGAGAGAAAGAGAGAGAGAGAGAGAGAGATTGTACTTTTCACCATGCCCATCACTTTGAAGGTCAAACCCAAGAAACCCGTCCTCCTTTTCCGAGCAAGCCTGTAAATAGTTGCCCCACAGGAAAGAAAAAAATATCAAGATCATGATCTATTAGGGGAGATCGAAGATTGTTCGAGGTAAGTGACCACCACAACTTAGAGCGAATCAGTCAACAGTCGGTCCGTGAAGTTGCAGGATTAGACAAGAACAATGTAAGGAAGAGAGACCAAAAGAGGCATTTTTATTTCATATTGCATTCAAAGAGATTGGTCACTTCGTGGCATATAGCAAGAAAACAATGACCTGAGGAAAATGATTTCTAACATACGCCCTCTCTCAGGAACCAAAAATTGATCAAGACAAGGGTGGCTGAGAGCTCTGCGACTTGATATTATCTCCGGTTCTTCAACTGTTTGACCGGAAGAATGCGCACTATCTGAGGCAGAAACCTCCCCAGATGCCCCCGTATTTTTAAAAGCTTAATCCTTGAAAAAAACAGAAACGTTGATATGTCCACACAGATCTTCAGACGTACAGACTCTGATTCTGCCGATTTGTTCGCCTTCATGAGTCACAAATCAAAACCTTCTGTTGTTTGTGTACCTCTCTCAAACGGGCTCCCGGATGATGATCCATCGAGCGAAGTGCATGCCATTAGATTTCAAACTAGCGAACAATGAAAATAACTAGCGATGCTTGTGTGAGCGTGTGAATACCACAAAAACTATTTTATAACTTTCCTGATTTCACTCTCCTCTCGAGCTCTGCTTGCGTGTGGTTTTGCCTGTGTGAGCATGTTCTAGGTCTTTCCTTCTAAATTCCTTGAAAAAGACCAGATCTTTCATTTCTTCATGTTACTAGGTATCTTTATTGCTAATTGATTAAACATCATAGATCAAATTTTACTGCCCCTTCGCAGTCCCCCAGCAGAGTCTCCACCGATGAGTTACATCATCCTTGATATATCAGAAGGCCTCCTTTTCTCCCAATGCCAATCCTCTGATTGATGCCCGGTCATTGATTTTTCTAGCTTTACTGATTTATTTTTTTAGTTGTACTTGGCATTTAAGAATGCAACCGATCATTTGCCTCTCAAGGTCAACCGGAGTGGGGAACAGGCTGGGATATTGCAAACTGGCCCCGCCTGATCATTTACCGATCATAAGCCTTGGTTGCCCTCAGCACATTGTTAGAATCCAGTAGAATATGGATTTAAGAGGCCTACTATCATATTGGGTTAGTGATTCATTGAAGGCATGGGCCCATATTAGGTCTTATGGTATGCTCCCCTCACTATAACTACATCAGTGAGAAGGGGGACTGCGAATTGAAACCCTAATATTTTCCTCCTAGTTTGAAACCCAGAAAGGGGGGGAAAAAAAAAACTAAACAGAATGCACAATTAAGAGAAAAGCTTTCTTTACATACCTGCAATAACACGGCACCAGCAGCATCACCAAATAGAATGCATGTTCCTCTGTCACTCCAATCCACATACTGTGAAAGAGCATCTGATCCGATTACAAGGACATTCTGATAACCACCACCTGCATTTTCAGAAACAGTTTCAAGAATCTTGACAAGAAATATATATTTTTATTTAAACTATAAACAAGGCTACCTTTGATGAAACGAGAGCCTGTCACCAGTCCCACAACAAAACCACTACACGCAGCAGTGATGTCAAAAGACAAAGCATTTTTGCACCCTAACTCTCTCTGAACCTGAACGATAAATAACTGGAGTTGAGGCTCTGTTGAGGAAAACTTAGAACATGAGAAGGAATAAAGATGGAAAAATGAAGTATGGAGCAAGATTTGAAATATATGCAGCAATTTCTCGATTTAAATGTGCACAGCTCGGGCGAAATTATTTTTTTACAAAAAAATGCAACATGAACTCCAAAATGATTATAACCCCAAAAACTTAATGGTTATAACCCCAAAGCGAGGTGCAAAAGCATCATAAGATCTAAGAAAAATCTCTTTCGGAGTTTTCATCTTGCAATTATTTTCCCATCAGACTCAACGCTTTCAATTCCTCGATAAACGAATGTGACCCTCTTTTGGAGATTTTTTTTTAGCACCTCAAGTTTATAAAGTAAGTGGAGAGTAATGTAAGCCCTTGGGTTCATTATTGAATAATATATCACGCATGGCATGTGCAACTATGCGCGATATCTTCAACTTGATAAGAAAAATGTCTCTGCATCGTCAAACCCCCTGAATGAGAGGATCAAGAACATGAATGGATGGAGAGAATAGCGCTTGTACTCAATCCTGTCCTCGAGTGATATCCTACATAGTAATTACCGACCCATTTTTTCAGGAAGGTTCAATAGCCTGATAATTATATTATTTCAGGGCATCAACTAGATAGCCTGGTTCCCCATATAATACTATAATTGAAACCCTTAATTTGCCACTGAGAGGCATCTCCAGAAATTGAAATTTTCAGTCTCAATTTCTTTAATAGAAGACATCGAATCTACTTGCAGTGGAGGATTATAAATTCTATAATTGTTGAAACACAAACTACAAACCCAGAGCGTTGTCATTTGAGACAATATCAAAACTGGTCATCAAAAGAATAATGCCTACGTTTATACACAGATCTCATCTGAAAAATAGAATGACAAAAGTCGGAGATAGTCTAAGAAAAAATTATAAAAGGGAAAATTTCAGCGTTATAGGAGCATAGTGAATTTCTCAATGTTTACTGATATTTAATACAAAATCAATCCCGTCTCCACTAAAATGCACGCTCAAAAAGTTCACAGCATACTTAAACAAAATAGATAGATGACAAAAAATGAAGCTACAAACCAGCTGTTCATTTGAGAATGTGGTGAAGGAAGAAGGGATCGTAGCATGGATAAAAAATGTTCATTTTAACTAACTAGCATGGTGTAAACTCTAGGCGGGAGACAACTAGTGAAGTGCAAATCAAAGAGAAATATCACAGAAACCCTGTGCATGAAAGTCATGCAATAGCATCAGCCACTTGCTTAATACGAGTATCTATATAAAAAAGCGAGATGTTTTCTCAAACGTACCCGAGCTGCATCACCAAAAAGATTTTCTGGGGTGGATGTGCACATTAGGATTAAGTCAACGTCATCAGGTGACACCTGTGCCATGCTGAGTGCTCCCTTGGCAGCATCAGAGGCCAGTTCAAACAATGTCTCTTCTCCTGTCAAAGGGCGGTTAAGAAGTACAAAAAGACCATAAGCTATGGAAGAATGCAGCGGAATGAGGATTTTATCTCCCTGACTTGGGGTCTGAACTTACCCAGCTCCACCATTGCCACCCCTTGTAGGGGCAGACCCTCAATCATGTGGGGCATTTTCTGAGTTTTAAGGACCTCAAAAATGAATCCCCCAAAGAGAAGTAGCGTCCAGTCAATAAGGACGTATCTAGGGTTCAAGAGGGCCGTCTAGGAATGATGAGAATGCAGAATCTGAAGCATATACGGCAAGTTATGCCATCCATATCGTGCCAATAGGTAATTAGAGACAAGTAGGAGGACTAAGAGATCCCAATGCGGATACCTGAAAGAACCCGACGATTACGAATCCCCGTGCGAACAGAAATCCATTCATCTGATGTTTCAACTATTTTTGCAAGATCATCATTAGAAATCTGAAGCTTTGGCAAGGCAGAACCACAACCAACAAGCTTCGAGCCCATCCCAACAAGTCTACAAATGTATAACAAAGGTTTAGAAAGGATTCACAAAAAATTAATGCCCATTTTCAATAAAATGGAAAATATTATTCTGGTAATGAGCACTGGAACTTGAAGATAGAGATCAACTACAAGACGACTCTTGATATTTATCACGTATATGTATACAACCATAAGCATCTATTCTCAGTCATTGAGCTATAAAAAATCCCGTCTGCTAATATTTTTCCTCAAAATTCGCAATAGAAATATCGCAACCCTCCAAAATAAAACAAACGAGAATAATGGTTTCAATGTCATGGTTAGACATCCTCATCATGTCAACATGTTATAAATGTACGCCTGAAGGGAGTTACAAGCAGAAGTTTCATTTTGTTTCATTATTACGAATCCGAAGGAAGAAGCAATTAAAAGGGTGGAAAATTTACATAGAAGCCATGATTCTGATTTTTCACAAGACATAGCAAATATAAACATATTCTTCACAACAGGCACTCAAAAGATACAAATCCAAGGCGCCGACAGTGATAAAAGCAGAGACTAGGCGTGAACCACTGCTGATCAATGGAGCAGAAGAAAACCAAGAAAACTGAACCCCTATATGAAAACCCCTTATTATATAGCCGAAATACAAAGAGATGATCCAACAGCTGCACATTAACTTTATCATTTTAATCATTGCCCACTGAATTCAAACATTCTTATGGGTTCAAAGAACAGGGATTCCATCCGATGGCGTCTAAGTCTCAATTAAATTCACTTCTGGGGCACGAGAGTCACACGTTTATTATTTTGGAAAGATGTAGAGGAAACAAATTCGAGTATTCATTCGCGGTCAAGGTTTCAACCATTGCGATCCCTTCTTTTCTACACACACTCAGGCGCCCGATGAAATGGTATACGATCCAAAAGGTTCCACGAAGAAATGTGAGAACTTGCAAGAGAGAAGGACACATGCATGCAGATGGCGATGGACGAAGAAGGATATCGCAATGAGAAAGAGTGAAAAATAGGTTGGTTACCTAGGCAGACGGGATTTGGAACGAGAAGAACATTCCACGGTCGCGTCGCAACGCAGGGAGAGCATCCTCCTCGGGTTTCTGTATAACGAGAAAAACCCAGAAGGCGAGATGCTCGCAGCAGACGATTTTTCCGATCTGACGGATACTGAGGCCAGGGAGATAGCTCCGGAAGCATTGGCCATCCCGACCATCACCCAGCAAAGAGACGCGAGATACAAACGAGAACTACAGAGGCAGGGGATCCCCAAGAGAGAGGTGGACAGGCCAGAAATCAGTCACAATTTATAGCAGAGAAGACCAGTCCGGGAATGGCATCCTCATCGCCGCAGAAGCACACCGGCGCCCCGAGGGTTCAGGGCAACGCTACCAAAGCTTGTTCCTGTCTCCTCCCCTCTTCTCCTTCTCTCGTCCCCGCCATTAAAGCCCCTTCCAGTCTGATGTGTAGATCCGCCTGCGAAGCCCACTGGGTGCGACTGTAGTGAGTCGACCTCGGCGATGCGGTGGCTGGACCTGAGTGGTAGTCGGCCTCTTCCAGCCTGCACGCACCCTGAAGAAACCCTGCGTCGGACGCTGTGTAGATAGGAGGAAACCACTCCCACTCTCCATTTTTCGCGATCAAAAATGGGATGCCGCACGATTTCGATCCAACGGCTACCATATATTTCAGTCGGATATGGATATGAGTAGTCTCATGACCTTTATGACCTTTCTCATATGCACAACTCTCCTCTCTTCTTAACCTCTATGAGCTCCGTTATGACCATTTTTTAATGATTAATAAAAATATTTATTTATTGTATTTTTATTTCGTTAATCTTCGTGTTGTGGGCATGTCAGAATGTTTAGTTAAAATGGTTTTCCTTCGTTTTTGAACCCGCGTGAAGAGGTCGATATCAAATAAATAATATGCAAGGGTTTATTTAAAACTTATGCAACACTATTGTATATAAGAGGCATAACTCCCCGGTCTTGGGCCGACATCTGCGAGGCTCCGATTGCTGGCTCAATTCTGGTTCGAAGCAGAGACCGCCCCATCTCCAACCCCCCGAGGAAAAATCTTCGATAAAGAAATATGGTGAGTGCGGATCCTTGTTTTGCTTTCTTTCCTGTTGGATCGCATCATCTGCTCTCTGTCGCCAGTTAGGGTTTTTCCACATCGTAGACCGAATGGTAATTTTGTGGATGAATCTGAATGGGGGAAGTACTGGAGATCGACAAAAAAAATTGTTTTCTGTCTTGACAGGTTTGTGTGGCGTGTCTGTTGCCGATCTTCCTAATCCCAGTGGTCAACGCTCTCCCGTTGCTCTTCCATTTTATCCTTGTAAGTCGCGTCGATCTCTTTACGTCATTCCTAGTGGATGTGATTTCTTAAACTGTCTCTCCAGTCTTGTTTTTCGATATGTTTATGTTTTAAATCCGCAGCGATGATCGTCGCCGTCTCTATTTGTTTCTGTCACTCGTGATTAATGACCAACATCTAGAGGAATTATGTCGTATTTTCCGCTTTTTTTAGTGCTAGTTTCATGGTTGAGCGTCTTTCAATGGATCTGATGCTTTCATTAGATACTCTTATTTTCTTCTTCTTCTTTGCGAGGAATATCATCCTGAGTATGGCACAGTGATGATGTCCTGTGTTACTGAAAATATGTAATTAATTTTGTAAAAAAGTTTGTATGGTGTGTTCTTGTCATATAAAAATATTTTTGACATTTCACTGGGATCTCATGAGTAGAATTGGAATTTCCTGGGGAGTTTAGAAAATTTATGAGGACGTTATTTTGTAGATCTTCATGCGACTTTAGGTAACATGAAGAGATCAGAATTGGTTACGTATTCTCCTCTCTGATCCCACTTAACGAAATATACCTCCCAGACTCCCACTATTCATCCCTCATCTAGAAATTTTGGCTGATCCTATTGTAATTCGAATGTACAACAAAAGTTATTATCATTTGACCTCATTTAGGCATTCTTGCTGAAAATTTCTTTCTTTTTTTTCACAAATATCAAAATTTGGAGTCAGGAAGAATGATCCAGGAGCAGGCTCATAACGTAGTTATAAGGGAGGTGATATGGCAAGCCTATGAAAACAAAATTGCAGCTTACAGTCGTGTCGTTGATGATTTGCTTTGGTAACACATATTAAAGATAGGATGTTTTCATGATTGATTCTTTTCTATTCTTGCACCCCGGATGTGTCAATAATATTGTTCTAAGCTATACAAAGTGGTAATCAACATTTAACTCATTGGGTTTGTAGATTTTCAGCTAAAATTTATCACAAAGCCTCGTACTTTTCGCTTATGTTGTTTTCAAGTGAAAGGCACTCAAGTAGTCATTATATTAGAAGGTTAAGAGACAGAAAAGTGGCATGAAAACCTTATATTAGAAGAAAATATGGTCGTTAATTAGGTTGTTCAGATCACTGTGGCAGAACTGTGAAAGTGAAAATGCCTTATAGTAGGGCCTGAGCTGTGATTGATAGAAGATCAAATTTGTGCTCTTGAATCATGTAATGAATTCAAAAGTGTGTTTGTTCTTGGGATGGTGTGATGATCCAAGAGTGTGTTCGTTCTTGGGATGATATGTTTGACATACATGCATATGAGAGAAAGAGAGATGGAACGTGGGTGCTTTCGTAAGGGCATAACATGCAACTTTCTTTCGGAAAAAATAGTTCCAGTCGGTAAACGTTCGAACAAGAGATAAATCCATAGCTTCCAGCGACTGAACTTAGAATAATAGATATTAACTTTAGTCGTCCTGTGGTAACGTTTATTGATTCATAAGCAGACCCCCCTGATGCGAGATGGTCAGAAATAGGCAGACTGACTGAACAAGTAACTATTCGTTCGTAGAAATTTTCACTGCATTCTTGTCGTAGTGTATCCAACAAATGTACTATTTCTTTTGATGAAGTCAGATTATCATCTGGTTTTTCAAGTATCACCTTTCTTTTCTTTGTCGTCATCCTTGCTTCTTTCTCCAATCACGTGATTTTCAAAATTAAGGGTGCATAATATTGTTCTTTGCATATGATTTGATCTGGAAGGATTCTTAAGACATAGAAGAAGCAACATTAGCATTTGAGCAATGTTGATTAATTTTACTAGTTAACGGTGTCCTTTCATTTTGCAGAGCAAAATTTATGGGCTTTTTGGATGGGAATACAGGAAACCTGTGAGGACTCCCCCAACTTGTCCTTTTAGGCCTGCATCGAGCAAGAATAACCAGGTATATACGCTTTTTCGTGACTGTATGGAAATCGTGGGCATCTTGGTTGATGCTCATCTTACCTTCTTCTTTCATTTCTTAGCACTGGTGGAGTTAATATTTTTGTCTTTTGAGATGTCTGTTATCTTATGTTGACTGATGGGTAGCTTCTGTTTTAATTCGCTCTGTTTTAATAACTTGGATTTATGCTAGAGGTCTATATCTGAATTTTACTGTAAGCAGAACGTAAAAAATGCAAATTTGCTATATTCTTTTGAGATAGCGTGAGATCTGGTAAGAGAAATAAAAGGATGCGCTGTGAAAGAAGTTAGCCATTCGATTATTCCATGCACTGATTAGGAGACAGATTCACTGATAATAGGCCTCCTTTTTAACGTGAGATAAGTGACATTATTTCTTCGATGTGAAAAGATGACATAATATCCAACTCGAAATCGTTTTCTGACTTTCAGTTGATTTTATTATACATCAAACGGCCTCACTGCTTGACGAATCTTGGCAGGGCGCCGTTGAAATCCAGAACCCCCACACTGCTGGGGAACCCACAAAGACGCCTTCACAGGAGGATATCAAGCAGGATTGAAACAAGACAACGAGGACAGGCAAAACCGCACCGCTGGAAGGAAGAAACCATATATAATCTGTGGATCCTAAAAACTCCAATCAAGGAAACACACCATCGAAACTTATATAATGTCCCAGAGACGATCCTGTGACTTCTACCAACAGCGACCATTTGACTACTACTGCATGTTCTTCAGTACTTGAACAAAAACCTGATGCCTCGCCCTCCGCCGAAGCTTCTCTCTAGCTCTCGGCGTGGCCAGAGGCCGGCTCGGCGGCCACCGTCGTCGCCGTGACCGCCGAGACCATGGTATTGATGCCGCAGGCGCCGTGCCCCCTGCACAGCCGGTAATACCCTTCTTCTCCCCACTGCCTCCCCCATGAGTTCTTGATGATCCAGTAGGGCTGGTACCCGAGGCGCAGGAGGGAGAACCCCCTCGCCCCGTAGCCCACCAGCAGCACGCCGTGGTTCACCCACCGCCGCACGCAGACCAGCGGGCACGACACCCCGCGCACGTACGTCTGCATGAAGGCCGCGTTCAAGCCCACTGCAACGGCGGCGTGGCGCAGGTGAGATGCAGGGGATTGCAGGAGGGAGACGGCGACGCGAGGAGCGAACCTGCGAGGGGCCCGTGCCGGACGAGGTAGGTGGCGATTTGGTCCTCGCCGAGGGGGACGTTCGTGAAGTTGGTCACTCTCACGGCGACCTTCCCCGGTTCGAACGCGCACCGGCCGAGCCTGCCGGAGTATGGGTACGCCTCCTCTTCCTCCAAGCCGCCCGCCTCCATCAGGTACTTGTAGGCGTTGGTCATCAGCCCCCCGCTGCACCCGTTGTCGCACGCGTCCTTCTCCACCGCGTCACACTTCGACCACCCGCTACCCCGTCAGCTGAGAAATCGAGAGAGAGAGAGAGAGAGAGAGAGAGAGAGAGAAATCAAGAGAGAGGCAGACCGTGTGGTCGCAGTCGACTAGCTGCTGCTCGCTGAGTCTGAGGAGCTTCCCGGTGGCGATGAAGTTGGCACCTTCGACGGCGCCGGTGGTGCTGAAGGCCCAGCACGAGCCGCAGATGCCCTGCGAGAAAAAGGAAGACGGAGAAGAGGAGAGATATCAGAGACGGGGGGGGAATGGAGGGGGAAGAGGATGGAACTGGGAAAGACCTGCATCTTGACGTCTGTGACGGCTCCTTTCTCCCGCCAGTCGAAGTTTGAAGGGAGTCCCTTCACGTCCAAGTGCGGGGCCGTCTGGCGACCTCCCCGGCCACCGGCCCGGCCGCATCGCCGCCCGGCGGCGCTGCCCGCCGCCGCTAAGCCCGTGAAGTGTCGCTCGAACTCCTCCTCAGTGAGGTCCGAGAAGGGAGTGACGCCGTGCACGGCAGTGGGGTCCAGGGCCTGGTGCTCCGCCGCCTTGGCGGCGTTCCTGGCGAAGACGGCGAGGCGGTGGAGGTACTCCTCGCGGGTGGCGTACTCCTTGCCGTACTTCCTCGCGAAGGACACGAAGGCCGCCTCTTCGGCGGTGCCCACGAGCCAGTCGTTCCTGGGGAAGCCGCCGTCCTCGCCGGGGCGGGCGAGAGCGACGACGGCTAGAATGGCGAAGCCTGCAGCGGCGACTACCGCCAAATAGGAAACCCTCTTCTTGTTTCCGCCTCTCCCTGCCATGGTTTCTTCTCTCCTCGTCCTGCCGCGGTCGCTCTGCGACGGCGCCGGATGTGAAGTAGCTCCTCTTCCCCGCCGCCCTTCGGTGGCCGGAGGCCGACGGGGTGGGCAGCATGCAGAGAACACGTCGGGAGATGTGGACGCGTGGTAGGCCGTTCGTATACGTGCCCCCCCCCCCCCCCCCCTCCTCTCTCTCTCTCTCTCTCTCTCTCCCTGTGAACCGGCCACTCACCCTCTGTCATACGTGATTTCATCGTAGCATCACCACCGTTGGTTTCCCGTTCTCACCGCTTGAGAACGAACGGACGGGCAGGAAAGAAAATGTGCCATTGGAGGTAAATGGGCCGCGGCGAAAAAGCCCAACTTTAGGCAGCAGTAACCTGGTGGCCACTCATCTCATTTCTCTCGAGTTGGATAACGAACTTCCCATGCACCCTGAAACTAATTTATTTATCAAGGTTTTCCATAAGAAAAAATTGAAAAAATTGACCCTTTTTGATGCTCTGCCTGAAGGCAATCGTACCACGTCTGAGTTTTTAAATAAATGGTAGAATCATTATATACACACGAAATCAAGTTCATCCCGACAGTTTTATCTTTGATTTGACACTAGTAGATTACCATTTTTATATATTTTCGTCGTTACCCGCGGATATATGTTCTAACTTAAAAAATATACCTAAATTAAAAAATAATTTACCTCGTGAGCCGTCGACGTCCCTTAAACTCTGGAAAAATGGATTAAATAAAATCACATTTAAAAAAAATATATGTTACTATTTTTGCGAAAATAAAAGAAAATAATGCAACGATAAAATGAGATAATAAGGGCGAAGAGTAGAATCCCACGGAGTTCCACGCATCTTCTCGTATTGTTCACGTAGATTTCACACGAAAATATATATATTTACAAAAAAAGAGATAAAAATCGAGTCTTTGACCTCGAGGAGACGGATAATCTCGTGATCTTTATTCCTGTTAAGGTCCAGAAAAAACAACCGTTAATTACGGGGTCACGGTCTTTTGGGTTTGATGTTCTCCGAGCCTAACCCAGATTAAGTTCCGTAATAGTTTTTACGAGGAGCTGTCCATTTTTGGTTGCGTACGTTGACTGCCGAATCCTGGGTCAAAGCATGCGTCTCTGGCGTGGAAACGAACGCCTCCCCGTAGTGTAGACCGCGCTCCCCTACGAGCGACATGTTTCAGATCGGTGCCGTCAAGTTACTTCGACGTGGGGTGGAGAGCTCTCGACACGTAGCTGAGCGATCCCGTTAATTAATTTAAAAATTCGGCATTTTGACCACTCAGTGGTCTCGTCGACTCAACTGTCTCGGATGGGATGCTAAGTTTTTTTTTTCCCATTTAAAAAAAAAAGGCCCCACTGAGAATTTAAAATGAATATTAATATTTATTTCGAGGGTTATTATATTGAAATAAACATAAATTTGATATATTATTGCGTAGTCCTCAAAACGGTTTTTCTTTTTGTCGCTTTAGAGCAACAAAGACACCACGACTGTTCGGATTTATTCCGCTGGTCAATTCAACGTCTATTTTCGCCACTATTTAATTAGAAAAAAGACTAAAAGCCTTATTTATGCCGCACTCGCTACAAGTACGATGCGTCATAGATAAACGTCAGGTCATAGTTGAGATCGGAGGATGTTTTGGTCTTTTCATAGTAAAACGTCAGGTCGAGGTTACCGCAGTTAAGTTTACCCGAGCATTCATTACACCCGGGATCGTCCCGTAGTCGTTGACCCGGGGTGGGTTGTTAGTGCTCTCAATACACATTGACCTCGAAACGAAGATCACTTTGTCCGGTAATTAGCAAAGAAACTCGTTGACTTCTTTCCTCGTTAAGGTGATGTTACGATAAGTATATTAATCATAATAATCAGGGGGGATCTAAAATAGGCAATAAATTTATTAATGTATTCTTAATATTCTCAAAATGATCAATCTAAGGAAAACTGCGACTGATTCTCCTGGACGCTAGAATTTCCAAGGGTGTGGCTTCCGTGGACGCTAGAATTTCTGTGACGGCATCTATGGACACGTCTTTCCCCATCCATTGGAGACCGCAAACCTTTAGACGTGGAGGAATGGGAGGAGAGAGAGAGAGAGATAAGTCTCACCGGCATCTTGTGTTGACTTCAGTAACCACGTGATGGAGATTCCAGAGGAGGAGGGAGGGTAGTAAATCACGGGCTCAGGCTCCGAAGAGGATCCTGTCGTGATCACCGACGGCGCTCCCTAAAACTGCGGGCCGGGCCCTAATCCGGGCGGTTGACGAAAGAAGCCCGAATGGCCGACACGTGCTGGCAGCTTGGTCTGTTGACTCCGCGTAGTCTGCTCTAATGGCTTAGGCCGTTTTGTGAAGAAAAAATAGCAATATGGAATTAAAGGATTCTTTTAAATTTTTATAAAACGACAAATATTTCCCAGATGGGCGGGAACCTGGGATTTCTGCGGAATCTGCCTTCCGATTTGCCGACCCACGAACTGGGGAGCTCAGCCGTCCGATGCCGAAGATCACACATGGCTGGGTAATACGCCGTCTGATCGACTATATCCGCCCTTTACGTCGAGCGATGGTACAGCAAGGCGAGAAGGCGGAGGGGAGAGAACGCGGAAGCCACTGAACGATCGGAGAATCCACTAGGACCAGCTGGCCAGTCTGTGAGGTCGAAATCACGCAGGCAGGCCTCGATCGAGCTTGTCGCCCGTTCTCTGGCGTATCTCTGCGCACTGAGTAGGCCATGGATTTTGGATGCGGAGGATCCGGCGACGGAGGCGGCCGCTCTGGCTAGGGAAGTTCCCTCCCTTCATCCCTCGTTTCTTGTTGCCAGGGGAGGTAGGTTCTGAAGGAGGAAGGGGGCGATAAGGTATTTGGCGTAGTTTTGGTTTGGAAGGCGAGGTGGAACTCGAGGGGGATGGGAAAAGTTCAGAAAAACCACCAGCCGGAGGACTCGTTGTTTTGTGAGGACATGGTGGTGATCCGCCAACCAGAGAAGCCGGGGGATCCCAGCGTCATCACCATCAATTGCCCCGACAAGACTGGCCTCGGGTGCGACTTCTGCCGGATCATCCTCTTCTTTGGACTCAACATTGTACGGGGAGGTAATACTTCGTAGTTCGATTATAGATTACGACCTGGCTTGTTTTTCTTCCCTTTGCGGTCGATGGATCTATTTCTTCTCACACTATTCCCCTCCTTTTTCATCTTGCGATTCCTCATTAGCTGCTATTGAATGATGCACTTTTCGCCGAATTCTCTGTAGACATGAGTACGGACGGGAGGTGGTGCTATGTAGTGTTCTGGGTGGTTGGGAGCGGCACCACGCGGTGGGGCCTGCTCAAGAAGAGGCTGCTTGGAGTGTGCCCCTCGGTAGCCGCGGGGATCTACAGCTATTGCTTCGGACAGGTGGAACCTAGGGAGCCCCAGGTCTTCCTACTCAAGATCTTTTGTAATGACCGGCTAGGCCTCTTGCACGGTAAGCGATGGCTTTGGAGGTTCTTCCATACATCTGTTTAAGGGATTTACCCCTGTCAATTCTTCTGCTTTTTTTGTTGTTGTTTCTTTCTATTTCTTTACTTTTTCCCCATGTGCGACAGGGATTCGCGGAAAAACATCAGAACCATGAGATTTTCCCAATTTATTCTGTAATACGAGATTGGATTTCATAATTTCTCTGCCGGATGAATTTTTAGTTCGTTTCTGAGTGAATCCTACACGGATGAAGTAACTGCAAAGTCCAAAATTCGCGTCAAATTTAGAGATGATCCATATCTTGATTTCTTAGTATTCGGTTGGTGAATATTCATTTCACTTCTTCGTCGAGATAGCTCGCCTTATTATTTTTTTAACCCTTCCTTTGTCTCTTTTTTTCCTATCTAGTTGCTGGAATTCCCTAATTTTTGCGCTATTTCGCTCTCCATTTCTACATTTTATATTCTCTACATTTAACCTAGGGCATACGGTGGCTTTGGGTTTTGCTCCTCTGAGTCTCACTGGATTTTGAGACAGATGTGACTCAGGTACTTTGTGAGCTGGAACTTACAATAAGGAGAGTAAAGGTTTCCACCACTCCAGATGGGAAGGTTGTGGACCTCTTCTTCATAACCGACATCAGGTTCATACTACTCTTTTTCACTCATCTGTATCTTCTCCCCCTGCCTTTCTTTCTTATTTGGATACCCTTTCATATGAACAACATCCGGCTTTGCCTGCGTTGTTGACGGTTAAAACGCACGATCTCATGAGCTAATCCTGATTTTAGCGGGCAATTCCCAATTTTTTTAATGTTCAATACCTGCCCTAGGTTCAAAGCTTTATCCTTTGCAAGGAGCTTACATTTCATTGCTTAGTTCGACAAAGTAAACTGAAAATTTCCCTTAAACGTTGCTGAAGCCCCTTCTTAGGGATCGCCTAATATAATTTGAGTATGAAAAAATCTGCACGTTCGTCGCAGATTGATTAAAACTGGGGTTATTTCTTTTAAATTGGGAATATCTAGAGTCATTGTCAGTTCTTATGAGAAGCTAGAAGGTACTAATTTTTTTAGAAAAATTATTTCGCGTGTATCTTCCTTGTTTTTTTTAATGCAACTCCTTGCTTAATAGGCCAAGATTGAGCCCGCAGGGCTTCGGGAAAAAAATATTAATGTCCAGTTGTTTCTTAAAGATCATTTACGTAGCGAATTTATGTAGAAAAATTGACATCATTAAAATGTCAGAGCGGTGATAAATTTTATAAAAAAATTGAGCGTTACATTCCCATAATGGCGGAGCTGTTTCTTTGTCTCAGGAAGAAAATTATAGAAAGATAATGACTTCATATAGCTGTTTCTGTCATCTATTCTGGTTCGTATGCTATGATTCTGCAGCCATAGCTACCTCTGATCAGATTTATCCACCATTATTTTATTTTACAGGGAGCTCTTGCATACGGAAGACAGAAAGGAAGAAATATTTGATCAATTGAAAGCTGTTCTAGGAGAACATACTGATTGTGGGCTCGAAGAAGCTAGAACAGAGATCAGGGTGAACGTCCAACCATTATCCTTTCAGCTTCCCACAATCCCGGAGGAAACATTCACGCTGGAGCTTCCCGAGGTCCAACCTAGGGAATCTTCCAACACTCTAAATGGTCTCTCTGTCACCATAGACAACTCCCTGAGTGCTGCTCACACACTCATCCAGATTCTTTGCCGGGATTACAAAGGCCTCCTCTACGATGTTATGAGAACCCTAAAGGAGTACAATATCCAGGTGATTAATGTGATATTTTCTATTAAAAGAAGGAAGGAAGACGCATAGCTGTTTTGTTGCATGGCATGCATTCACAGGCTACATTCTTCAGTGCTCCTCTCTCTCTCTCTCTCTCTCTCTTGACATGCAGGGGCTTCTTTTCCTTACAGATATCATATGGACGATTTTATGCCAACCAGCACAAAAGCTGTGAATTTGACTTATTCGTGATGCAAGCGGACGGGAAGAAGATCCTTGACCCAAACAAGCAGAAGGCTTTGTGCTCCCGCTTGAGGATGGAGCTCTTCCGTCCTCTCCGGGTCGTTGTTCTCAATCGTGGACCCGAGACGGAGATTCTAGTCGCCAACCCAGTTGAGCTCTCGGGGAGGGGACGACCTCTCGTCTTCTACGATATCACCCTCGCTCTTAAAATGCTCAATGCCTGCATCTTCTCGGTAAATTCCTTCTCCTAGCTTCCTCTATTGCATTCATTTTTTCATTAGCTTAGAGAAGTTCATCAGAACCAGTGCCGTGTTTCTCAGGCAGAGATCGGAAGGCACATGATTGGAGATAGAGAGTGGGAAGTCTACAGGGTCCTCCTCGACGACGGCCACAGGAATCCTGCCACTCTGAATAGGATTCAGGAAGGGGTCCTTAACATGTTAATGGGCTGGGACTGAGGTCGGCTCCTGACTCCAAGAAAGACGATGGCCCCACAGACTTTATGTGCGGTGTAAATATCCCAGTAATTAATTACATTGCCTAAAGATGGACTAACGTTTGTACAGTAATTCTCTCAAACAGCATGCTTAGTGGGCTACGTTGATCCGTAATGGATTGGACTTAAAATTGGGCTTCCTGATCGGCCCATTAGTCAACCATTTGATTGGATCTAGAGGCCTCCAAGTCAATTTGTGGTCCGGTGGGTTTCCTCGCTGGATCCCACATAGCTTTTAATGAACATAGCTTCGTCTCTTTGCGTGATGACTACTTGTAAGGACGCGATCACGTGCACCAATGTTTTTGCAGGTGTTATTTACATCTGACATAAAAGCCCTTGTTTTGCAGACAAATAACACTCTAAACCCCCCTTTGTTTTGAATATGTGGGAGAAGCGCCTGACAGGGATTATGTGGACGTCGCCGTCGACTGTTGGGCGCCACGACGGCAAAATTGCACCGCCATATTATTTTTTACTATATTCTATTTTTATATCATGAAAAAAACTATTTTCTCCGCTAGAAACAAATTTCGAATTCAGCAGTCTAACGGTCGGCATTTCAGACACCTTTCCAGACAGCAGTCGAAGCGGTCGTCATCTTCCCCATCCCCACCACCACAGCTACTCCATACCGTGGCGGCCGAAATACCAAATACCAGTGCAATCATCGCCAAGAACGCGCCACGACGCGTCTCCGGGCTTCATCCGACGGTTGAAGGAGGAGGGCCTCCCTGTCGGCGGAGTCCCACCGGTTGTGCTGGATGGCGGGGAGATCGGTGGCAGACACGTGGCGCAGGATGGGCTCGAGTTTGATCACCTCCCTCTCCGGCAACGCGGAGGGAGATGCCGATCCGCCGGACGTCGCCGGAGAAGGGGAGCCGTATGCCGTCGGCGATGATGACGGGGACGCACCCGAGGGCCTAGCCGGTGTCCCCGTTTGCGAGATTTAGGGTCGTGCCGAAAATTACCGGCTACGATTTTCTGCACGTTAGTAGAAAATCCTGAGAAGACGCTTCTCCCTTCTCGTTATTTTCCAATCGAGATCGAGGGAGGGGGAAGAGAGAGGTCTGCCTGCCCGAACCCCGTGGGACTGGCGAAGATGAATTGCCTTCAGAGTCTTCCCAGGTAAGTTGGATTCCTTCGTGTGTGCGTTTTTCCGTTTTCCTTCGTCTTTCGTTTTTCCTTCGGACTATAATCGCGAAATTTTGATGGCGGTGTCAGCTCATGTGCCCTGCGTGTATGCGACTTCAGAGTCCGTTCGGAAAAGCCTCCAAACTTTAATCTGGTACCGGAACTCAAAATTCATTTACCTCGTTACTCATGGTGACCATTATCCGGCTGTTTACCTGGCTTGTTGCCTTCCAATTCCGTGCAGGTATCTGTGAGAGACAATCTCCACCGTAACGTCGCCATTAGTGTAAGCTTGGTCTATTTCTCTCTCTCTATTTAACGTGTCTATTGATATCTTTTTAGCAGAGAATTTTTACGCCTGGATTTCCCTAAAAGTTTATAAAATGAGGATAAATATAGCATAACTATTTATAACAGCTCCTCCTACAAGTGCTTCACGTTGCCGACATCCCCACGTTCTGAAGAAAAAATTATGGTAGAACATTATCTTGAATAAGGTTCGGTTGGAACTGTTTAGATGTTTGCAAAACGAAGGCAACTCTTTCTCACATACTGACTGTAGACTGGCATTACTAGCTTAAATGAGTCATTGATCGAGAAATTCCTAAATATTGATCAGTTGACATGGGTGATGCTGAGTTCCATGGGCAAATGTTTTCAAATGGGCTCTACTTTTTTAATTCTTATCTTTTATGTTCTATCAGTTTTTTTTAGAAAGCACAGAAAGTAGATGATATGGATGTCATAAAAACATTCATGGATGAATAATTTCTACAGGAAGATGGCGGAGGAAAAAAGATTTTTATGCTATAGTTTTTTTTCTATCATGTTGAACTATTTGTTTGCAGATTTATGCCTTTATATGAACCATATATTTATCTAAATTAATGTCTTTTTTACACATTCTATGACTTTAATGACTAGTAAATGTAAACTATATAATATGTGATAGATCCGAGAAAAAAATTGTTGACTAGATCAGACAATAGTTAAAGTGGAATTGCTAAGCGGAATGTGTAAGAAAATAACAAGATAATGCATAGAAAGATACTCAATTAGCGAATAGATAAGAATAAACATATTCTGGAATAATGTTCGTGAAAACCTTTTATGTTATTTTGAATATATATAGATAAGATCCACAAGAAATACTCAGATATTTCCGTCAATTTTCTGACGATCCTAAAAAATTAAAAAAGGACATAGGGAGCTCCAATAGAAGCAATGAATATTGAGAAATTTTTTTGCCTTAACTTCGTTAATGGGGATTTGGTGAATATTGCTGGCTGGAGTCCATTCCTCGAAGAAAGCTTTCTTTTTATGTTTTTCTAAAATCAAAAACTGCTGGTAAATGCAAATTATTTCGTTACTACCTTCTTTGTGGGCCTGGTGAGTCTGACTCTCTGTAATGAACTCCATTGTAAACTAGAGCGATTTCAAAAACGTGATCCAGATAATGTTTTACAGGCATCCTCCGGCTTCGCTTCAAGCGCAGAGAAAAGTAGTTCTGAAGAAGAGGCTGACAAGTCCGAGATGTACAGTCACGATATGACACAAGCAATGGGTGCTGGTGAGTATACTGTCTTTTCTTTCCCTCTGGAGTCTAATATTTCTGTATTGTTTAATCTGCCATGAAGTCAGACTGTAGACATCGGATACTTCTGGAACTCAGTTTCCCTGACCTTCGCTATCAAAATGGACAGTACTGACGTATAGGCACGAGTTAGGAATGAACTACAATTTTATTCGTCCAGATTTGATTGTTGGATCTTGCCTTCAGGTAGTTACTTTAACCTTTTTTTTCTATTACGTGTGTTCTGCATTCTAAAATTTCTGACCGCAGACACCTGAAGATGTTGACAAGCTCCGCAAAGTTGGGGTTAAGACCATTTTTTGCTTGCAGCAAAATCCGGACCTCGAGTATCCTTTGTTTGGTAGTTTCTACAAGTTAGCAAATTAAATCATTGTTTTATTGCTTGCTATAAAAATTTACAACTGTGATACTTGGAACAAATCCTAGAGACAAAAGGAAGGGCTGACGTTATTTTATCGAGAAGATCATCAAATGTCACTGTAATCCTATTAATATCTGTAGATACTTTGGGGTCGATATTATTGCCATACAAGAGTGTGCAAAGCAGTGTGAAGATATTGAACACTATCGTGCTGAAATAAGGTAAGCAGAATTCTGTACTTAAAATGACTGATGGGAAACACTTAAGTGCTTATTATCCTAACTGAGGTGCACTTTTGTTGACGCAGTTTCGATTTTGATACCCCTGGAATGTTCACGTTGATGTTTTTTAGCATTGAAGCTAAATTGTAGTCGACTCTCGTTGATAACTGTTTATTTCTTGAAAATAACGGATTGCACGATCGTATGTAACGAATGAAGTGTAATTCTTATGATTACTTGAACATAATACTATTGGATTGTGCGGTCATTTTAGTCCATGTGAATTTTTTTTCATGTATGGGCTAGCCTTAGTTTCTTATCATGTATCTTAGAAGGATGATTATTATTTATGCGTTCTATTGAAAAATGATCTGCGATGTCTAGTGGATGTTTTAGATGCACGATCCTGTGAAATCATGCTGTACGCTTTAAAATCATTCTTTTTATATAAAATTAATATGAATTGATAACCAAATACTAGTATTCAATCTAGGGGTTAAAGAAAAAACTAGGGTATGGCTTTATTTAGTTACTTGGAGAATATTCCATTTTATATCAGACTTATTGGCTTTATATGCATTCTATCAGAAATATTTGAAGTTGTCATGAAAAAGATAAATACATCACTTTTGTGAATTCTGACCGGGAAATGGTTTTTCACTACTACTAGCGTGTGGTTGCTGACATATTATTTTTCACTGATATGTGTGATGTGAAATACATGACATATGAAGAAAATGTACTGGTCTGACGGATTATTTTCTTCCAAGATACTACATCTTATTTTGCGTTTATTTCTTTGATATTCTGATTTGGATTCAAGCAGGGACTTTGATGCTTTTGATCTGAGGATGAGGCTTCCAGCTGTTGTGAGTAAATTGGTGGAGGCTGCAAATCGCAACGGTGGCGTCACCTACATTCATTGCACTGCTGGGCTTGGAAGAGCTCCTGCTGTTGCGGTAACACATTTACTTCATAAAATGTCTAATCTCCGATCAAACAGTTGGTTACGTCTGTCTCCCTGGTGTATGAAGTAATGTATTAGGATTTCATGCTTATCGTAGATCTTCTATAGGAAAACTCGGAGGGAATATTAGAATGCATTAAGTGATAAATTATTCTAATTTCTCATACGACGACCAAAAAATGCATTAACTAGCAAAGATAGTTTTCCGAAAAAAAATATATATATATTTTCCTCATCAGCTCCCGTGAATGTTTGGCTGTCATGCAGATAGGTCAAGATATTAACAAAAACAGTTGCTGTTGTATGCATATGGTTACCTTTGAGTTCGCACCACCTCCTTTGATTCTAAACGTCGAATTCATGGAAAATATTAAAAACGCGACCTGCTTTTTTCTGTTGCATTTGTTCTTCTAAATTTATTCTTTTTTAAATTTCCTCGTAGTTTAATTGTCTATTGTTTTATGAAATTGTAGTTGGCGTACATGTTTTGGGTCCTTGGATATAAGCTCAGTGATGCGCACGACTTACTTCTGGTAACACGCAGTGCCCTTGTCCAATCTAATCTTCTTCTCTTTCTATCCGTTAGAGTTGACTTTGGATTAGGAAAGAACGACCGGAATGAATTAGGAAATGTTAAATGCGTGGGTTCGTGGTCGATCTGCTATGTAGGATGATGTCTTTACAAAGTCAATGTCTTACAGTGAATCGGTGCATCATACGTTGTCGTCTACTCTTGTTTCAGAGTCAACGGTCTTGCTTTCCGAAGCTTGAAGCCATAAAGAATGCGACTGCTGATATGGTGAGCTCCAGTGTCCATCATTCCTTTTATGCCTTTATCAGTTCGGACTCCGTTGTCGAGAATCCTCCAGTTTCCCAACCAATTTTCCCAACGAGCGTTGGGTCGTTCGCGGGTATAGGCCATTTTAGAGCTACTACGGTTGAGCCGGGTGTGATGTCTTCAGTGTAGCACTCTTTGTTCGGATTTTCTTCATATTTTGTCAACCCAAGTTCGTCCAGTTTTCTCACCTCATCTTCCTGACAGTTGGGTGGTGTGTCCTCAAACGTCATTACGTTGACGTGGAAGGACGACGAGTGCTCGTCAGTGGAAGTCTCTGGACTCGACATCGGATGGGGACAGGTGACGACACTTCTCCTCTGGGCGACATTCTTTATAATATCGTTATAAAAATAGGAAACATTTTTCGTAGCTGCTCAGGGGCTCAGCTGAAATTCTCATCACTCTTCTTTTTCTTTTTTTTTCTTGTAATCAAATTAATCTGGACGTTGCAGGCCCCACCCACCCAATTCTTGTCTATCTGTTTAGATCTCTCGCAGATGCTTCAACTGTCCACTGACTTTCTCTGTCCATGCTTTTTCCTCCCCTTCCGTAGAGAATTCCCTTGGATTTCGATGAGGAGCAGGGAGTCTGGACCCTGCAGAGAAAACTGCCTGTGAGTATCCCACAGAGAACCACTGGTCCGACCGTCTCGTTCATTCGAGATTTATCACGGAGCATTTTTGCTCCTCATGCCATCTGATTTCTCTCCTTCGTCGCCCTCGCAGGCCGGAAGATACGAGTACAAGTACATAGTCGACGGCGAGTGGACGTGCAACGAGGAGGAGCTGGTGACCTCCCCCAACGACGACGGACACGTCAACAACTACGTCCAGGTAGTTATTGAGCGCCGCCACTGCAGCAGCTCCTTCTGAGCTTTGTAATCCCAAGGAAACCGAACCAACCGCACGTGTCTTCGCACAGGTCTTTGCCGACGATGTCCGCGAAGAAGAGATCGAGGTGAGGGAGCGTCTGACCGGCCCGGACGCCGACGTGGATCTCACCGAGGGGGAGCGCCGTAAGATCCTCCAGTTCCTTGAACTCTGCGCGGAGCAAGCCGATGGAGATCTGGCCGTTTGATGGGTGACCCCTAGCTATTGCGCTTCCGTCTCATTCATAATAAATGGTCTTGACTTAAAATATTTTTCTGAAAATAATCACTTTGCAAATGGACCTCCACAAATCTGCAGTAGGATGCAAAACCATGTAATTTTTTTACCTTAGTTCAAAACTTAGCTGAACAAGCAAGAGAACATGAGACTAGTGATTTTTGGACTAACGTTCTCTACCACTTTCAATTCCTCTTTCACTTGTTTGTTCACTGATGAAATGGAATTGACATAATATTTTGGCATATTCATTATTCTGCAAGTCATGAATGAAGTTGATGCCTTTATTTTCAATCTAGTGAACCCAAATCATTTACCACTATCTCTTCACTTCCTATAGCAGAGACAAATAGATTTAGTCGCACTTTTGCTACTATGGGAAACTATTATCAAGAAACATGTTATCACGGAACTATATTACTCCTAGTTATTCAAAGCTTCTTGAAGATGTAGTCCAATTTCCATCATACATAGTTCTTCTTGATCTCATTAGTTTATGAGTAGAAATATTTGGAAGAGGAAATTGAGAAAATGAGAAATGAAATTCAACATTAGGTTTTCAGTGAGACATCCAGCGTCATGCATATTATTGAATAAAAATTGCTTGACAATAACCTATACTTTGATCATCCTAGTGATTCAGACTGGGAAGATGTTAGTGAAATGGAAATTTTCGAAGATATTGAGACACTAGAAATTCAAGAGGTACATTATTTTCTTTTGTTATGGTTCAGCATGATCTTTTAGTCCATGGAGCTAGTACAGTAATTCTCTCAAACAGGATGTTTAGTGGACTACCTTGATCCGTAATGGATTGGACCACAAATTGGGCTTCCTGATCGGCCCATTAGTCAACCGTTTGATTGGATCTAGCGGCTCCAAGTCAATTTGTGGGCCCGGGTTTCCTCGCTGGATCCCACGGAGCTTTTAATGAAGCTTTAATCGCAGGGCTTCGTCACCCTATCTGACTACTAGTGGCAACGACGCAAGCTGGAGGGAACATTTTGACAGCTTTGAAGAGCGCGGTTTATTGGACCGCTTTGTGAGAAAAGACCGCCGCCGCCGCTGGTGGCGGACCCACCATTCACGTGCGCACTGGTACAAGTTGTTTGACTCTCGTGTTATTTACATCTTCCATAAAAAAGCCCGTGTTTTACAGATTAATAACATTATAATCCCTCTTTGTTTTGAATTAATGCGAAACGCATCTGTCAGGGATTAGGTGGACGTCTCCATCGCCTGTTGGGAACGACGTCAGCAAACCGTAGACAGGGCGGATCACGTGACGTGCGCGACGAAAGCCAGCTGTGAAGCGTCGTCACCTTCTCGCCGTGGCCACCGAAAAAACCGGAAACCAGTGCAATCATCGCCGATGGATCTTGGCCGATAGCGCCTTCAGAACGTGCCACGTCGCGTCTCCGGGCTTCATCCCACGGTTGAAGAGGAGGGCCTCCCTGTTGGCGGGGTCCCACAGGTTGCGCTGGATGGCGGAGAGATTCGTGGCAGCCACGTGGCGCAGGATGGGCTCGAGTCTGGTCACCTCCCTCTCGGGCACGCGGAGGGAGATATCGTCCCATCGGACAGCATTGGAGAAGGGGAGCCGGATGCCGTCGGCGATGACGACGGGAACGCATCCGACAGCCACAGACTCCACTAGCCGTGGGCTCCACGGGGCCCATCCCCGGGGGCAAAGGCAGAAGACCGACCGCGCCATCTCCGACCGGAACCCGTCGTGCCGCTTCCTCTTCAGGAAGAACCGCCGGTCGCCGCCGTAGCGCCGCCAGATCTCCGTCCTCACCCCGCTGGAGGAAGAGAGAAGCAACGGAAGAAGGTGGTCAACAAGAGATAGAAGCAACGGCCCGCCATGAGTTGACTTGACCCTCTTCCTTACTTGCCGTAGATCCGGCCGCTGATGTTCTTGGGGTGGACCTCCATCTTCCCGCGGAAGTACACCCAGATGTCGCGCACCGGCGGCGTCGCTACCGACGGCGGCGCTGGTCTCTGCAGCAGCTCCGGGGGCACGTACGGGGGGATCAGTACGTGCTCCACGTCCTGGCACGCGTGAGGCCGGTCAACCCCGAAGGTCTGGAGGATGATGGACCGCCGTAGGAACTCCGGTATCCCCTCCGCCACCGCCACATCCTCCTGGAGTTGAATGAATGAATGAATAGGCGAGAATTTTGGGAAGGGAAAGGCTCCTACTTGGGGGTTGGACTAACCATGGCGTGGAAGCAGGCCCCGTAGTCGTGGGAGGCGACGAAGACGTGATCGGCACCGCCGCGGAGCCCCCAGAAGGGGTGGCGGGAGGAGATGAAGTCCACGGCGGAGGAGAGGAGGCTCCGGGCGTGGCCCAGCGCGGGGAAGCCGTTGGCGGTGCTGAAATTGCAGGAGACGTAAACGGGGACGAAGAAGAAGTTGGCGGCATGAGGATCGAGCGTTCGCACGGGGCTGCCGAGTAGGGTCTCGTGCAGGGCGACCTCGGCGGCGAAGAGGTGGGTGGCGCAGCGAGGATTGGCCAGCCAGTCTCTGTTGTAGCTGGAGGGGAGGTCGTAGATGTAGATGCGGAGGGACAGAGAGTCCGGCAAGGCGGCGCCGCCGGGGAGCTCAGAGTCGCCGGCGGCGATTAGGGCTCGGGAGGCGAGGGAGGTGTGCTTGCGGAGGAAGCTGTGCTGGTGAGGGCGGCGGAAGTGCGGCGCCGTGGAAAAGGTGGAGAGGAAGAATATGCAGAGGGAAAGTGAGAGCCAAACGACCCATTGGAGATACCTCTTCGGAAGGATGTGGGCTCTGTCTTGGTGAGTTTTCCTATGAATGAACTTCATGGGGATGGCGGTGGTGGCCTCGCGGTGGTGGTAGTGGTGGTGGAAGAGAGCCGAGCCATGCCGCTTCGCGTCCGGTGGCATGCGAGATTATAAGACACGGCGCCGTTCTAGCCGCTACGATTGGTGGCGGGGAGCTCTCCGTCGCCGGTCATTGAGTCGAGACCAAGGGACCTTCCCGGAGACGGATGCGGAGGAGAACGAAGGTTTGGAGTGGGAGAAACTCCGAGCTAGGGAAGTGGGTTCTCCATCCCGTCGGTTCTGGTGCCAGCCCAATCGTCGGCGCTGGTGTGTTTATTATTTTTATCTTCGAAAACCTCGATGCTCAGAGCAAACACATGGGCTGCTTTTAATGCCCTCCCTAACCCTCATCGGCTTCTCCAAGCTGTTAGTTACTTTCGGGGACGGCGGCGCCGCCGGGCTCGGCTTCAGAGCTTGCCCTCTTGGTCAAGCAGTTGAAGACATAACGCGGCCGCCGATAAAGCGGACAAGAGGCTTTGGTGGTCAGCTTTCCCCTTCCCCACGCGGTTTATCCGCAAGATGGCAGCGGCGACCCTTTCCCCGGCGTGGCGCCGCCGTGAGACGACGGCTGTGGGTGGAGCTGCGGGCGGGAGAAGCGGTGGTGGTCCTCGTGGGCGACCGACCGGCGAGAAGATTCTTATCATGCGGGTCTGATTTGAGGTCTCGATCACGAGATCCGTACGCAAAAGTGCCCTTTTTTCACGTTATGATCTCTCCACATATTATATAACATAATATGTAGAGAAAAGACCGACCCGCTGGATCGCTCCACTGGGCCAAGCTCCGCTGGTCTCATCTCATTGGGCCTCCTAGTGATTTCATACATGGGCCGTCTGTTTTCTTTCTCGACGGGCGTTAAGATTAGCTCTTTAGGGGAGCCATCTCGGCCCATAATATCGGGGCATTTTAATGTCGTTTGTTTTTCGGTCATCCTTTAATGGGCCTTTATAAAAGTCTCGTACATGGGCTGTCTGTTTTTTCTTCGACGAAGGTGATGATTGTGGGGCCCAAATAGGCCCAACTACATTGGTCGAAGTCGATGTCTTTTCTTATCGGGTCGCCTTGTAAGCTTTTACGTTGATCGTCTGTTCTGTTCCGTCTGAGAGCGGGGCCCACTCTCCAATGATTACCTAATTAATCACGTGGCCTTGCCAGCGTTGAATTCCGCAAAAAATTCTTCAAAAAACCATGACCGATTCGGAATCAGTTCCAAGCAGGTTCGCAGTCCTCAAAGTAGGTGGTGGAGATCCGCAAGAATTCACTTTCAATTCCTGAATGGTCAGTCTCAGGGGCTTGTCCGTATGTCACCATAGTGATGTTATCGGTCTTCTGGGCGAGATATTTCTTGGTGGGCCCTGGCCTGGGCTTTCGATGTGGGGCCCTCAGAACTCAGACACCGACGCCGCTTTTGATCTTCATGTGGACATCCGACGGCTGAGAGGTCATCCCGAGGATGGCACACTCATTTCACGGTCCAGAGAGTAGAATCAGGTTTCACGTTGGGCCCACGGGAGATTGGTCGGGGAGCAGCCAGGTCAGCAATGGCCCACGGGGAGGAATCTGGTTAGTGTCTGCTAACATACACGCTGTTCTGTTCTCTTCGCAAACCACGATCGGCAGCTAGAAAAATATCTGCAATCCCATTCTTCAGTAAGAGGTCGACATGGTATAAAAAAGGGGGAAGATCCTGAGAAGGCGCTTGTCAATCTCTCTCTCTCTCTCTCTCTCTCTCTCTCTCTCTCTCTCTCTCTCGCTCGTTATTTTCTAATTGAGTTCGAGGGAGGGGGGAGAGAGGTTTGCCAGCCCGACCGTGGGACTAGCGAAGATGAATTGCCTTCAAAGTCTTCCCAGGTAAGTTGGATCCCCTGGTGCGTGTGTTATTCTTTTTCTTTTCCGCTTGAATCAGGACTCTAATCGAGAATTTTCAATGACGGCCTCAGGTCGTGTGGCCTGCGTGTATGCAGACTCAGAGTCCATTCTCAAAAGCCTCCAAACTTTAATCTGGTGCCGGAGGTTAGAATTTATCTATCGCGTTACACATGGTGACCATTGCCCGACTGTTTACCAGGCTTGTTGTCTTCCGATTCCGTGCAGGTGGCAGTGAGAGCCAATCTCCGCCGTAACGTCACCATGAGTGTAAGCTCTCTCGATTTCCATCTTTATTAAGGCGTATATTGATATCATTTTTAGAAGAGAAGTTTAACACCTGGATTGCCTTGAGTATTTTTAAAAATGAGGGTCGCTGAATTAGTTATAACAGGTTCTCCTACAAGTGCTTCATGTCTCAGACATTCCCACGTACTGAAGAAAAAATTGTGGTGGAAGATTATCTTGAATTAGGTTCACTTGGAACTTTTTAGATGTTTGCAAAGCGAGGGCGCGCCTCTTTCTCACATACTTACTGTAGACTGGCATTACTAGCTTAAACGAGTCACTGATAGAGAAATTCCTGGATTGTGATAAGTTGACATAGGCGATGCTGAGTTCCATGGCCAAATGTTTTCAAATTTTCTCTACTTGTCTAATTCTTATCTTTCTATTTTATCAGTTTTTTTAGAAATCACAGAAAGAGATGATATAGATGTCATTATAATAGTCATGGATGAATAATGAATTCGTTAAGGTAGCTGGGGAAGAGAAAAGATCTTTATGTTATAGTTTTCCATCATGGTCGAGCTTTTTGTTCACATTTTTTTGTCTTGAATATGCACCGGATAATTTCTAGTTTAAATTTTCTTTTTCAAAACTTCTATGATTTTGATGACTAGTAAACTTACACCATATAATATGTGGTAGATCCAACAAAAAAATTGTTGACTAGATCAGACAATAGTTAAAGTGGTATTGCTAAATGGAATGTATAAGAAAATAATAAGATAATGGATACTCAATTAGCGAATAGGTAAGAGTAAACATAATCTGGAATATGGTTCGTGAAATCCTTTTATGTTATTTTTAATATATATAGATAAGATCGACACGAAATACTCAGATATTTCCGTCAATTTTCTGACGATCCTAAAAAATTAAAAAAGGACATAGGGAGCTTCTCATAGAAGCAATGAATATTGAGATTTTTTTTTGCCTTAACTTTGTTAATGGGGATTTGGTGAATATTGCTGGCTGGAGTCCATTCCTCGAAGAAAGCTTTCTTTTTATGTTTTTCTAAAATCAAAAGCTGCTAGTAAATGCAAATTATTTCGTTACTACCTTCTTTGTGGGCCTGGTGAGTCTGACGCTCTGTAATGAACTCCATTTTAAACTAGTGGGATTTCAAAAACGTGATCCAGATAATGTTTTACAGGCATCCTCCGGCTTCGCTTCAAGCGCAGAGAAAAGTAGTTCTGAAGAAGAGGCTGACAAGTCCGAGATATACAGTCACGACATGACGGAAGCGATGGGTGCTGGTGAGTATACTGTGTTTTTCTTTCCCTCTGGAGTCTAATATTTCTGTATTGTTTAATCTGCCATGAAGTCAGACTGTAGACATCGGATACTTCTGGAACTCAGTTTCCCTGACCTTTGCTATCAAAATGGACAGTACTGACGTATAGGCACGAGTTAGGAATGAACTACAATTTTATTCGTCCAGATTTGATTGTTGGATCTTGCCTTCAGGTAGTTACTTTAACCTTTTTTTTCTATTACGTGTGTTCTGCATTCTAAAATTTCTGACCGCAGACACCTGAAGATGTTGACAAGCTCCGCAAAGTTGGGGTTAAGACCATTTTTTGCTTGCAGCAAAATCCGGACCTCGAGTATCCTTTGTTTGGTAGTTTCTACAAGTTAGCAAATTAAATCATTGTTTTATTGCTTGCTATAAAAATTTACAACTGTGATACTTGGAACAAATCCTAGAGACAAAAGGAAGGGCTTGACGTTATTTTATCGAGAAGATCATCAAATGTCACTGTAGTCCTATTAATATCTGTAGATACTTTGGGGTCGATATTATTGCCATACAAGAGTATGCAAAGCAGTGTGAAGATATCGAACATTATCGTGCTGAAATAAGGTAAGTAGAATGCCGGACTTAAAAATTACTGGTGGGAAACACTTTGGTGCTTATTATGCTAGATGAGGTGCGCTTTTGTTGAAGCAGTTTCGATTTTTATACCCCTGGAGTGTTCTCGTTGATATTTATTGGCATTGGAGCTAAAATTGTAGCATAAGTATCCATTTCTTGAAAATAACGGATTGCATGATCGTATGTGCGAATGAAGTGTGGTTCATATAATTACGTTATCATGTAGCTATTATATTTTTCGGTCATTTAGTCCATTTTAATTTATTTTTTTCATGCATGCGCGAGCCTTAGTTTATTATTATGTATCTTATAAGGATTATCGTTCTGCATTTATTCTATTGAAAGATGATCTGTGGTGTCTAGTGGATGTTTTAGGTGCACGATCCTGTGAGAAATCACACAGTACGCTTTTAAAGTATCCTTTTTATGTGGCATTAATATGGACGGATGACCGAAACACCAGTATTTAATCCAGTGGTTAAAGAAAGCAGGGTGTCGGTTCATTTAGTTACTTGGGAGATATTCCATTCTGCAGGCTTAAACTCAATTATAGACAAGTGCTTCAAGTTTCAACAAAAAACTAGTCACATCTCATTTGCGGTTGACATGAAAAAGACAATGCATGACTTTTATGTCTTCCAGCTCGAAAATTAATTTTCACTACTACTGGCGTGTGGTAGCTGATAAATTAATTTTCACTGCTGTGTGTGATATAAGTCGCTTGATGTGAAATATTTGACAAAATTAAAAAGATTCTACGTGTCTGACAGATTTTTTCTTCCAAGATACTACATCTTATTTTGCGTTTATCTGTTTCTTTGTTATTCTGATTTGGGTTCAAACAGGGACTTTGATGCCTTTGATCTGAGGATGAGGCTTCCAGCTGTTGTGGGTAAGTTGGTCAAGGCTGTAAATCGCAACGGTGGCGTCACCTACATTCATTGCACTGCCGGGCTTGGAAGAGCTCCTGCTGTTGCGGTAACACATTTACTTCATAAAATGTCTAATCTCCGATCAAACAGTTGGCTACATGTCTGTCCATGGTGTACGAAGTCATGTCTTAGGATTTCACACATCGTGGATCTCCTATAGGAAAAATTTCAAGGGAACATTAGTTGAGCATTCTAATTTCTCATAGATAGTTGAGTATGCTTTTCCTTTTATGATGTTTATTTGGACGGTTAATCCCCCAAATAATGTAGTGTATTGAGATATGAAGAGTACACTGCCGAGGGTTGATGAAATCTAGGTTTTCTGTTAGACAACTGAATTTCGTGGGATTTGACCACAGCATCACCACGTTTACCTTTCTGGGGTACATGGCACCGCCTTGTTGTCGGGTGAAAAGGAGGAATTGTGACTGCCTCCCGTTGAATGCTTGGCTACCATTTGAGGTTGCCTCTATAACCAGATCCGCATCCAGATAGGTCAAGATATTAACAAAAACAGTTGCTGTTGTATGCATATGGTTACCTTTGAGTTCGCACCACCTCCTTTGATTCTAAACGTCAAATTCATGGAAAATATTAAAAACGCGACCTGCTTTTTTCTGTTGCATTTGTTCTTCTAAATTTATTCTTTTTAAAATTTCCTCGTAGTTTAATTGTCTTCTGTTTTATGAAATTGTAGTTGGCGTACATGTTTTGGGTCCTTGGATATAAGCTCAGTGATGCGCACGACTTACTTCTGGTAACACGCAGTGCCCTTGTCCAATCTAATCTTCTTCTCCTTCTATCCGTTAGAGTTGACTTTGGATTAGGAAAGAACGACCGGAATGAATTAGGAAATGTTAATTGCGTGGGTTCGTGGTCGATCTGCTATGTATGATGATGTCTTTACAAAGTCAATGTCTTACGGTGAATCGGTGCATCATACGTTGTCGTCTACTCTTGTTTCAGAGTCAACGGTCTTGCTTTCCGAAGCTTGAAGCCATAAAGAATGCGACTGCTGATATGGTGAGCTCCAATGTCCATCATTCCTTTTATGCCTTTATCAGTTCGGACTCCGTTGTCGAGAATCCTCCAGTTTCCCAACCAATTTTCCCAACGAGCGTTGGGTCGTTCGCGGGTATAGGCTATTTTAGAGCTACTACGGTTGAGCCGGGTGTGATGTCTTCAGTGTAGCACTCTTTGTTCGGGTTTTCTTCATATTTTGTCAACCCAAGTTCGTCCAGTTTTCTCACCTCATCTTCCTGACAGTTGGGTGGTGTGTCCTCAAACGTCATTACGTTGACGTGGAAGGACGACGAGTGCTCGTCAGTGGAAGTCTCTGGACTCGACATCGGATGGGGACAGGTGACGACACTTCTCCTCTGGGCGACATTCTTTGTAATATCGTTATAAAAATAGGAAACATTTTTCGTAGCTGCTCGGGGGCTCAGCTGAAATTCTCATCACTCTTCTTTTTCTTTTTTTTTCTTGTAATCAAATTAATCTGGACGTTGCAGGCCCCAGCCACCCAATTCTTGTCTATCTGTTTAGATCTCTCGCAGATGCTTCAACTGTCCACTGACTTTCTCTGTCCATGCTTTTTTCTCCCCTTCCGTAGAGAATTCCCTTGGATTTCGATGAGGAGCATGGAGTCTGGACCCTGCAGAGAAAACTGCCTGTGAGTATCCCACAGAGAACCACTGGTCCGACCGTCTCGTTCATTCGAGATTTATCACGGAGCATTTTTGCTCCTCATGTCATCTGATTTCTCTCCGTCGTCGCCCTCGCAGGCCGGAAGATACGAGTACAAGTACATAGTCGACGGCGAGTGGACGTGCAACGAGGAGGAGCTGGTGACCTCCCCCAACGACGACGGACACGTCAACAACTACGTCCAGGTAGTTATTGAGCGCCGCCACTGCAGCAGCTCCTTCTGAGCTTTGTAATCCCAAGGGAACCGAACCAACCGCACGTGTCTTCGCACAGGTCTTCGCCGATTTTGATGTCCGCGAAGAAGAGATCGAGGTGAGGGAGCGTCTGACCGGCCCGGACGCCGGCGTGGATCTCACCGAGGGGGAGCGCCGTGAGATCCTCCAGTTCCTTGAACTCTGCGCGGAGCAAGCCGATGGAGATCTGGCCGTTTGATGGGTGACACCCTAGCTATTGCGCTTCCGTCTCATTCATAATAAATGAATGGTCTTGACCCAAAATAGTTTTCTGAAAATAATCATTTTGCAAATGGACCTCCACAAATCTGCAGTAGGATGCAAAATCCTGTAATTTTTTTACCTTAGTTCAAAACTTAGCTGAACAAGCAAGAGAACATGAGACTCGTGATTTTTCTACCACTTTCAATTCCTCTTTCACTTGTTTGTTCACTGATGAAATGGAATTGACATAATATTTTGGCATATTCATTATTCTACAAGTCATGAATGAAGTTGATGCCTTTATTTTCAATCTAGTGAACCCAAATCATTTACCACTATCTCTTTACTTCCCATAGCAGAGATAAATAGATTTAATCGCACTTTTGCCACTATGGGAAACTATTATCAAGAAACATGTTATCACGGAACTATATTACTACTTGTTATTCAAAGCTTCTTGAAGATGTAGTTCAATTTCCATCATGCATGGTTCTTCTTGATCTCATTAGTTTATGAGTAGAAATATTTGGAAGAGGAAATTGAGAAAATGAGAAACGAAATTCAACATTAGGTTTTTAGTGAGACATCCAGCGTCATGCATATTATTGAATAAAAATTGCTTGACAATAACCTATACTTTGATCATCCTAATGATTCAGACTGGGAAGATGTTAGTGAAATGGAAATTTTCGAAGATATTGAGACACTAGAAATTCAAGAGGTACATTATTTTCTTTTGTTATGGTTCTGCATGATCTTTTAGTCCATGGAGCTAGTACAGTAATTCTTTCAAACAGGATGTTTAGTGGACTACCTTCATCCGTAATGGATTGGACCACAAATTGGGCTTCCTGATCGGCCCATTAGTCAACCGTTTGATTGGATCTAGCGGCCTCCAAGTCAATTTGTGGGCCCGGGTTTCCTCGCTGGATCCCACGGAGCTTTTAATGAAGCTTTAATCGCAGGGCTTCGTCACCCTATTTGACTACTAGTGGCAACGACGCAAGCTGAAGGGAACATTTTGACAGCTTTGAAGAGCGCGGTTTATTGGACCGCTTTGTGAGAAAAGACCGCCGCCGCCGCTGGTGGCGGACCCACCATTCACGTGCACTGGTACAAGTTGTTTGACTCTCGTGTTATTTACATCTTCCATAAAAAAGCCCGTGTTTTACAGATTAATAACATTATAATCCCTCTTTGTTTTGAATTAATGCGAAACGCATCTGTCAGGGATTAGGTGGACGTCTCCAGAACGACGTCAGCAAACCGTAGACAGGGCGGGTCACGTGACGTGCGCGACGAAAGCCAGCTGTGAAGCGTCGTCACCTTCTCGCCGTGGCCACCGAAAAAACCGGAAACCAGTGCAATCATCGCCGATGGATCTTGGCCGATAGCGCCTTCAGAACGTGCCACGTCGCGTCTCCGGGCTTCATCCGACGGTTGAAGAGGAGGGCCTCCCTGTTGGCGGGGTCCCACAGGTTGCGCTGGATGGCGGAGAGATTCGTGGCAGCCACGTGGCGCAGGATGGGCTCGAGTCTGGTCACCTCCCTCTCGGGCACGCGGAGGGAGATATGGTCCCATCGGACAGCATTGGAGAAGGGGAGCCGGATGCCGTCGGCGATGACGACGGGAACGCATCCGACAGCCACAGACTCCACTAGCCGTGGGCTCCACGGGGCCCATCCCCGGGGGCACAGGCAGAAGACCGACCGCGCCATCTCCGACCGGAACCCGTCGTGCCGCTTCCTCTTCAGGAAGAACCGCCGGTCGCCGCCGTAGCGCCGCCAGATCTCCGTCCTCACCCCGCTGGAGGAAGAGAGAAGCAACGGAAGAAGGTGGTCAACAAGAGATAGAAGCAACGGCCCGCCATGAGTTGACTTGACCCTCTTCCTTACTTGCCGTAGATCCGGCCGCTGATGTTCTTGGGGTGGACCTCCATCTTCCCGCGGAAGTACACCCAGATGTCGCGCACCGGCGGCGTCGCTACCGACGGCGGCGCTGGTCTCTGCAGCAGCTCCGGGGGCACGTATGGGGGGATCAGTACATGCTCCACGTCCTGGCACGCGTGAGGCCGGTCAACCCCGAAGGTCTGGAGGATGATGGACCGCCGTAGGAACTCCGGTATCCCCTCCGCCACCGCCACATCCTCCTGGAGTTGAATGAAAGAATGAATAGGCGAGAATTTTGGGAAGGGAAAGGCTCCTACTTGGGGGTTGGACTAACCATGGCGTGGAAGCAGGCCCCGTAGTCGTGGGAGGCGACGAAGACGTGATCGGCACCGCCGCGGAGCCCCCAGAAGGGGTGGCGGGAGGAGATGAAGTCCACGGCGGAGGAGAGGAGGCTCCGGGCGTGGCCCAGCGCGGGGAAGCCGTTGGCGGTGCTGAAATTGCAGGAGACGTAAACGGGGACGAAGAAGAAGTTGGCGGCGTGAGGATCGAGCGTTCGCACGGGGCTGCGGAGTAGGGTCTCGTGCAGGGCGACCTCGGCGGCGAAGAGGTGGGTGGCGCAGCGAGGATTGGCCAGCCAGTCTCTGTTGTAGCTGGAGGGGAGGTCGTAGATGTAGATGCGGAGGGACAGAGAGTCCGGCAAGGCGGCGCCGCCGGGGAGCTCAGAGTCGCCGGCGGCGATTAGGGCTCGGGAGGCGAGGGAGGTGTGCTTGCGGAGGAAGCTGTGCTGGTGAGGGCGGCGGAAGTGCGGCGCCGTGGAAAAGGTGGAGAGGAAGAATATGCAGAGGGAAAGTGAGAGCCAAACGACCCATTGGAGATACCTCTTCGGAAGGATGTGGGCTCTGTCTTGGTGAGTTTTCCTATGAATGAACTTCATGGGGATGGCGGTGGTGGCCTCGCGGTGGTGGTAGTGGTGGTGGAAGAGAGCCGAGCCATGCCGCTTCGCGTCCGGTGGCATGCGAGATTATAAGACACGGCGCCGTTCTAGCCGCTACGATTGGTGGCGGGGAGCTCTCCGTCGCCGGTCATTGAGTCGAGACCAAGGGACCTTCCCGGAGACGGATGCGGAGGAGAACGAAGGTTTGGAGTGGGAGAAACTCCGAGCTAGGGAAGTGGGTTCTCCATCCCGTCGGTTCTGGTGCCAGCCCAATCGTCGGCGCTGGTGTGTTTATTATTTTTATCTTCGAAAACCTCGATGCTCAGAGCAAACACATGGGCTGCTTTTAATGCCCTCCCTAACCCTCATCGGCTTCTCCAAGCTGTTAGTTACTTTCGGGGACGGCGGCGCCGCCGGGCTCGGCTTCAGAGCTTGCCCTCTTGGTCAAGCAGTTGAAGACATAACGCGGCCGCCGATAAAGCGGACAAGAGGCTTTGGTGGTCAGCTTTCCCCTTCCCCACGCGGTTTATCCGCAAGATGGCAGCGGCGACCCTTTCCCCGGCGTGGCGCCGCCGTGAGACGACGGCTGTGGGTGGAGCTGCGGGCGGGAGAAGCGGTGGTGGTCCTCGTGGGCGACCGACCGGCGAGAAGATTCTTATCATGCGGGTCTGATTTGAGGTCTCGATCACGAGATCCGTACGCAAAAGTGCCCTTTTTTCACGTTATGATCTCTCCACATATTATATAACATAATATGTAGAGAAAAGACCGACCCGCTGGATCGCTCCACTGGGCCAAGCTCCGCTGGTCTCATCTCATTGGGCCTCCTAGTGATTTCATACATGGGCCGTCTGTTTTCTTTCTCGACGGGCGTTAAGATTAGCTCTTTAGGGGAGCCATCTCGGCCCATAATATCGGGGCATTTTAATGTCGTTTGTTTTTCGGTCATCCTTTAATGGGCCTTTATAAAAGTCTCGTACATGGGCTGTCTGTTTTTTCTTCGACGAAGGTGATGATTGTGGGGCCCAAATAGGCCCAACTACATTGGTCGAAGTCGATGTCTTTTCTTATCGGGTCGCCTTGTAAGCTTTTACGTTGATCGTCTGTTCTGTTCCGTCTGAGAGCGGGGCCCACTCTCCAATGATTACCTAATTAATCACGTGGCCTTGCCAGCGTTGAATTCCGCAAAAAATTCTTCAAAAAACCATGACCGATTCGGAATCAGTTCCAAGCAGGTTCGCAGTCCTCAAAGTAGGTGGTGGAGATCCGCAAGAATTCACTTTCAATTCCTGAATGGTCAGTCTCAGGGGCTTGTCCGTATGTCACCATAGTGATGTTATCGGTCTTCTGGGCGAGATATTTCTTGGTGGGCCCTGGCCTGGGCTTTCGATGTGGGGCCCTCAGAACTCAGACACCGACGCCGCTTTTGATCTTCATGTGGACATCCGACGGCTGAGAGGTCATCCCGAGGATGGCACACTCATTTCACGGTCCAGAGAGTAGAATCAGGTTTCACGTTGGGCCCACGGGAGATTGGTCGGGGAGCAGCCAGGTCAGCAATGGCCCACGGGGAGGAATCTGGTTAGTGTCTGCTAACATACACGCTGTTCTGTTCTCTTCGCAAACCACGATCGGCAGCTAGAAAAATATCTGCAATCCCATTCTTCAGTAAGAGGTCGACATGGTATAAAAAAGGGGGAAGATCCTGAGAAGGCGCTTGTCAATCTCTCTCTCTCTCTCTCTCTCTCTCTCTCTCTCTCTCTCTCTCTCGCTCGTTATTTTCTAATTGAGTTCGAGGGAGGGGGGAGAGAGGTTTGCCAGCCCGACCGTGGGACTAGCGAAGATGAATTGCCTTCAAAGTCTTCCCAGGTAAGTTGGATCCCCTGGTGCGTGTGTTATTCTTTTTCTTTTCCGCTTGAATCAGGACTCTAATCGAGAATTTTCAATGACGGCCTCAGGTCGTGTGGCCTGCGTGTATGCAGACTCAGAGTCCATTCTCAAAAGCCTCCAAACTTTAATCTGGTGCCGGAGGTTAGAATTTATCTATCGCGTTACACATGGTGACCATTGCCCGACTGTTTACCAGGCTTGTTGTCTTCCGATTCCGTGCAGGTGGCAGTGAGAGCCAATCTCCGCCGTAACGTCACCATGAGTGTAAGCTCTCTCGATTTC